GCCGGCGGTAGGAGAGTCATGGCATTCTTCGAGGATACGCTTCTTGAGGGCGGGGTCATCAGGGACGCAGACTAACCCCTCGTGGAGGAGCAGACCGTCGTGAACAGAATATGAGTCTTCAGCATCTGGGGTTTCAGACCGCTTGGCGAGGATGGGACCAAAATATGAGTCGTTCGAGAGCAGGGTTCGGATGGTGTCCTGGATCAATGATGTTTCGGGAAGCAGTGGCAGAGCTTGAATATTATTTAAAAATTGAATTGGTGGGAGCAGGGTCATGGCTGTCTTGTCCAGGGGGAGCGCACCCCCTCACTAGGCTTGTCCCTCCGGGACAAAGCATCGGCAGCGGCGTTCTGGGAACCAGGGCGGTACTTGATGATAAAGTTGAAATCCGACAAGATCTCAGACCAGCGGACCTGACGGCGGCTGAGGTGTTGCGTTGTTGAAAAGTACTCCAAGTTGCGGTGGTCTGTGAGGACCTCTGTGGTAGAGTTGGAAAACTCAAGGTAGTGTCGCCAATGCTTGAAGGCGCACATAATGGCCAAGAGTTCCTTGTCGTAGATTTGGTAGTTCATTTCGGCAGGAAGGAGTTTTCTTGAATAAAAGGCAATTGGGTGAAGCAATCCGCTGTCGTCGTATTGACTGCAAACAGCTCCAAGGGCGTAGTCGGAGGCGTCAGTCTCAATGACACAAGGCTTAGTGGGGTCAAAGTGCCGAAGGATAGGGCCAGAGACCAGGCGGGATTTGAGTTCGTCAAATGCAGCTTGAGCTAGGGGAGTCCAAATGAATTTTGTATTTTTCTTTAGAAGGGCCGTAAGCGGAGCAGCGATCTTGGAGTAATTCTGCACAAATCGGCGATAAAAATTGGCGAGGCCCAGAAAGACCTGGATATCGAAAGCTGATTTCGGCGTGGTCCAATCTTTGATGGCGGCAACCTTGGCGGGGTCCATGGATATGCCGTCAGTGCCAATAACGTAGCCTAGAAAGTCGACCTTGCTCTTGTCAAACTCGCACTTTTCTAGTTTCAGGCTGAGATCGGCATCTTGTAATCGCTTCAGGACTTTTCTAACATGCTCGTCGTGTTCTTCTGGAGATTCAGAGAAGATTAGGACATCGTCCAGATATACCACTACAAAGTCATCCAAATAGTCGCGCAAGACATCGTTCACAAAGGCTTGAAAAGTTCCTGGGGCGTTCATCAGTCCAAACGGCATGACTTGATACTCGAAGTGGCCATAGCGGCATCGGAATGCGGTCTTCCATTCATCGCCCTTGGCAATTCGCAATAGGTTATAGGCTCCACGCATGTCCAGTTTGGTGAAACGTTGGGCTTTACCGAGGCGATCAAATGTTTCCGCGATCAAAGGCAGAGGACAACGGTTGGGTACAGTCACCTTATTCAGGCCGCGGTAGTCAACGCAGAGGCGGAGGGAGCCATCCTTCTTTTTCACAAAAAGGATTGGGGCCCCAGCAGACGATTCCGAACGGCGGATGAAGCCCTTGGCGAGGTTTTCCTGGATGTATTCGTGGAGGGCCTTGAGTTCGGTCTGGGACAGGTTGTAGACAGGTCCAAATGGCACATTGGCACCTTCTACCAACGGGATGGCATGGTCGTAGGGTCGATGCGGCGGGAGCTTGTCGGCTTCTAATTTAGAGAAAACCTTTTCATATCTGGCATACTTGGCAAGGAGTTCAAAGGCGGGGGCATCAGTGATGTCGATTGCTGCTAGTTCTTCGATTTGGGACACATGCATCATGTAGCCAACGCCCTGCTGCTGGTTTACCAGCTGACAAAGGTTGGCGTTGTGATGTGGTAAACCCACACGGAGTATAGACGGGGTATCCAGGTACAAGGGACGGACACAACACCTGATATGACACGATGGGAGGAATAGTGCAACAGCAGCAGAGTCAAGGGGTCAAGGGCAGTGGTCAAGTAGGAATGCGTAGAAATGAATGCTGTTTAATGATCGTAAGTAGGGTCTATATATACATGTCTGGGGCCTATTGTACAGTGTCGTAGTGGAGTTGTCATGATGCCGGGCTCCCATCCTGGCTCTGTGTGTCGTAACCGTGCAGCTTGGTAACCGAGTGGTAATCCTGTTGCAAGAGGGCTTTTCCACAAGGAAAAAAGCTCTCCGCCTCGACATCTCCCATACCACTGTCCGCAGGATCCTTTCCAACAACAAGGAGAACATCCCAGTCAACAAGGGAGGTCGACCCAGAAAGATTCTGGCGAGTGCAGTGGAACATGTCAAGTTGAACCTAAAACGTGGACTCATACAGACTGCTGTTGAGGCCACTCACCAAGCCAACCAACTCAATCCGCAGCCTGTGCCCGTCCGTACAATCAGGAGGCGCCTTAGAGAAGCTGGATTAATCGCCAAAAAGGTGGTCAGGCGGCCGGCTCTCAAAAAAACACATATTCACGGCCGTCTGCAATTTGTTAAAAAATATCGAGAGTGGACAGAGAAAGACTGGGCTTCAGTTGTTTGGTCCGACGAGTCCAAAGTCAACAGGATTTGTTCAGACGGGTTGAGATGGGTCTGGGATGATCAGCCAGGGAGGTTAACCAGTCGCACAGTCCAAGGAACAATCAAGTTTGGCGGTGGCAATGTTATGGTATGGTCCTGCATGTCATGGAATGGACCTGGCTATATAGCCTTGATTGATGACACCCTGGACTCAGAGCTGTATATACAGATCCTGGAAGAGGATCTACACATGTCTGTTGAAGAGTGGGGCATGGCCAAGGACGAATTCATCTTCCAACATGACAACGATCCCAAGCATACAGCCAAGGTCACCAAGGCATATTTGGAGTCAGCCGGGATTACAGAAACCGAGGGAAGGCTTCTCTACTGGCCAGCGCAGTCCCCCGACCACAACCCCATTGAGCACATGTGGGCGTACCTCAAGAAACAGCTTGCCAAGTACCCAACGCCGCCAAAAAGCTGTAAAGAACTGTGGGAAAGAATATCAGTAGAGTGGTGCAGGATTCCAGTCGACTATTGCCGCACTTTGATCAGGAGTATGCCAAAGAGACTCAAGGCAGTCTATAAGGCCAAGGGGAAGCAAACCAAGTATTGATCAAGCGTGCATTCCTGAAAAGAGTATTTTTTTATGTGAAAATAAAGTGAGCGGTCATAACTGGAACAGTTGGTTAGAAATATCAAGAGTGATGTTTCTCAGTATCTACCATTGCTATCGTCTTATAACTCTTTATACATATTCTTTGGTGATGCAACTACGGTTACACTTGTTTTTGTAGCGATATCATGACCATTGGAGGAGATAGGTAATTAATTGTAGAAATATAAAAAATATTGTTCCAGTTTTGGCCGGTACTGTACATGCGTAGCGATGCATTGAGTTAATTTTAGATATGACAAGTGCGACACGTCGACGCGCGTACTTTGCTTAAAAATCAAACGGACTGTGCCTCAAGTGGCCCTTCTATTCCTGCAAAGTTTACTCCGCACGCCAATACAATCAACTCTGAACAGCAGTTAATGACAACAGGAAAAATGGATGATACTTTTATTTTTCACTTGTTAGCATTTGGATTCTTGATAGGAGTCTGTCCACCATTGCGAAATGTCTGTTGGGAATTCCAAGCGTAGGAAATGGCCGAACTTCAACCGGCATTTCCCTCTTGTGCTGAATCTTAGCGTTGACGATCGTGATCAATGTGTGCACCTGAAAGAGGGCATAAAATACGACTTCATGCAACTCAAGTTGATTCAGTTGAGAGGGCAAGGTGATCGTGCTCAACTTGGAATGAACGGTTGTATTGCCGACCTTGACGCCCAAGTACAGTGCGCAACATGTTTTTGTAAAATTCGCCTTTTTCTTCATGACTTTGCGTTCGTGCATTCAATTGTTCCAGAACCTCAGAGGAATATACCCCGGTATTGCTTTCACCACTATGCAAGTTTTGAGAAGGATCTGTGTAGGGAGTGAATATGAAGGGGAATGCAGTGTTGTAGTAATGCTTATTTGACACTTGGGGATGTAAGTTGGGTTCTTTTATGCAAAAACAAAGTTCACATGGGCATGAGACTTTAGAATCGCATAGAAATCCATAGAGTCATCAGATCCTTCTCAAAACTTGCATAGTGGTGAAAACAATACCGGGGTATATTCTTCTGAGGTTCTGGAACAATCGAATGCACGAACGCAAAGTCATGAAGAAAAAATAACTTTTTTTTTGCACACCGTAGAAAGCAACAGAGTGAGTGAGTGAGGATAAGGTCTTCTATCACCGAATTCCTTTTTCATTTTAAGCCAAACGTCATTCAGCTTCTAAATAATTAGCTTTCGAAGCAGGAAAGGGGTTCTCATACACTTCAAGAAAGGAAGCTTTGAAAGGAGGACAAGTACACTTAAATGGAGAGTATCGTTTTTTCCATTGTGCTCGTTCGCCTTCAAGAGTCTTCTAGCTTACTCTATTGCTGATTAAAATTAATACGGAAGGAACCATTCATTCGAGCCATTGGTATTTGAACCTACTTTGGTACTCAATGGCCCAAAGTTATCATCTAAAGGATTGTGGCTGAACTTTTCAGAGCCAGAACCCCTACTAGAGCGCGACGAATGCCTACTTCGTGTTTTAGTTAATCCTTAGGCCCTAGGCTATACTGCAAGATATCAGTCCTATGGAGCGGAAATGTTGTACTGAAACCCTTATCTTAGAGCTCAATTGCAGAGCACTGGACAGAACGTATGCAGTGTACTCTAGGACACTTGTTGCATGCGTCGTGGACGTTAGACACATAAATAATATCATAGGGCGATGTGCTCCTGCAAGGATATGTCGCCATGCCGAGAAGCAGATCAGAGATAAACGATCTCAAACGATATGACTACGCTACGGTCTCCCAAGTAACATGATCGGATGCTTAAGCGTCGGACGGTGGGACAAGCTGCAGTTCCCTCGCCTAGGATTGTTTAAATGACCGACATCGCGTCTTCGCGTAATGCAGCATTCTTTTCTTTTATTCCCACTTCGAAGATGCACGCTAGAGTCGCCTGGCACCAGTATCAGCAGAGAAAAAGACTTTTGTCGTGTTGTCGTACACTATTTTCGATAGTGCCTCTGCTTCCATGGCATGCAGCGATGCTATTACGCAAAGTACTTGACTATACAGATCGACGACAGAGGCAACAGGACGTCTTCAGTCTATCACACAGGGACAGCAAAGTACAGCGTTGCAGCTCAAGGAAGTTCATCACTCTAGAATAGTTTAGCCCGCTTACCCGATAGTGCACGGCTCATTCCTGCTTTTGACCATGGAGCCAATCTCGAATCGTTCCTTCTTTTTCGACGTCGGATTGTACAATGCCTGTTGCTCTGCCGTCATTGTTGACAGACACTTGTAGGACGCGTGAGTTGGCCGTATATCACACCATGGCCCATCCGTCTCAAGCATTAGCCTATCCAACGGTACACTGGCAGCAACTTTCAAGTTCTCCTCTGTCTTCAAAGAGCTATTTCAATGAATAAAAGTATCATTGTCAAGTATCTGTTAGTCAGAAGCTTTGTAAGACCGGGCGGCAGTTTCCGCTTTTTGTGTGTCTTCTCTTCCTGTGACTATTCGCTTACCATCCATTGATACCTATGTACAAGCCCAAGTCCAGATAATGTTGCATTTCCTCCATTGTACCTGTAAACGAGTGCACAACGCCATTGGTGAACCTGAAGCGGTTTTTTGAGATGAGCTTTCCGAAATCATTGCCCGTGTTGCGATTGTGAAAGAACATAGGTAGCCGAGTTGCCTCCGCCAGCTCAAACTGGCGCTCGAAATATTTGAGCTGCGTCTCCTTTGGGCAAAAGTGAAGTCGGTCATAGTCTGTATAACGAAACCCGTCCCCAATGTGAGTATAAGAGTCCTTCCTCTTTGGATAATTTTGAAACACTGCTATTAGTTCCTTCTTACCTAATCCGCACTCTCCAATGGCAACGACTTTTGTCTTAGCTTCTGGCTTCTCAAGAAACGCCGTGAGGGCATTAAAGTATCCCTCGGGGCCATCTGTATGGCTCTCAAACTCGGAGCATCGCGTAGGGTGGCAGCCAACAGTCATGAACAGATCCTCTGTAGTAAGTACATGTATACAGACAGCACATTCGATAGTGAATACTTGGTCAGACGTCGGGGCTATGACATAGACAACGCTGGATTCTAAAATTGACTTACCATGGCCCTTGACAAGATCCAAGGCTTCATGGCAGTCGCTCAAATTCCCTGCTGTGACAATCATGCGAGCCACTCCTGCACGAGTTGCGCGAAGAAGCACCTGTTGCAGATCATCTACCATGCGTCGTTGTAGTTGCCACAGTGGAGATAGAGTAACGGGTCAGCCCAAACATTGGGTCAAAGCCCTCGAACTATTACTAAGCGCGATTTTCTGACATAGAATCAGTATTCCTATACCTGCATGAACCTGCTTCCCATGGTAGATACCGCGGAACATTGGATCCGTGAGATTAATGCCAATATCTGCAAAGACAAAAGCAACATGGCATTCCTTAATCAGTAAAATAAAGGATCTTTCGGTTCCCGGGCTCGATGCTACGAATGCAATGCACCAATCTCAAGTGTCATTGCTTCCGTACCAATGAGTCGTGGAGGCATGGGTGCGTAAACTTGGAGTGGTTATGTCAGAGAGGATGAATCAATAAGAAGGGCTAATGTGACCCTTCTTCATGTTGTAAAGTTTTAGACTTGATTTATTTTTTCTTCATCCTATCCATTCTTACTACGCGTCAGCATGAAAAACATCAATTCGCAGGTGGAACTCAACAATCAGCTTTCTTCAGCAGGGTCACAGCTGGTAGGTGCATGAGCGACTTTCGATGACAATGGATTGGCTCTCAAGGAAAGCTTTTTCTAAAGTAGCCGTTTGCCTGGGACGCATGATTGCACGATAGGTGGTGGTCGACTTTTTCGCAACATGGTATGTGGCAGTCCATGATGCTCAATGTCTATAGAGGAAATGATAGTAACGACCTGACCACATAATACCTTGCATTGTAGGTGCGGGCCCTGCAAAACACTCGCGCCCATACTCGAGGGACTTGAGCGTAAGCACACATCGACCATTTTTGCCAAGATCGATGTGGACCAGGCCCAGGACTGCGCCAAACAGTATGGGGTCTCTGCCATGCCAACCATTCTCTTTTTCAAAAACCGTTCTGAGGTCAGTCGCGTCGTAGGTGCGGATGTGGGCAAAATCCAGGCCTTGATCAAGACCTACGAAGGCGGGTCTTCGTTTAGTGGAACTGGACAGACCTTGGGAGGCAGCAGCAGCAGCAGCAGCAATAATTTCGCGGACAAATCCGCCTCGCCATCGATTGCGGGTCGCAGAAACCGTGCATTGGACAGCGAGCCATACCATATGCGTCTTTGGACCGCCCTTGGGCATCTCTCCACAGGCGTACTTAATTTTTGTGCTCGATGCGTCCAGAGTGTTTTCTTTGCTGCGACCTCTGCAAAGGCAGGGCTTGTTCGTAGTGGCAGCGCATCAGCTGAAGTTAAGACCATCGAGGGTCCTGGGGGAAGCTGCCAGATCCAGGTGCGCATGTTGGATGGATCATCAATCCGCGGGGACTTTGAGCCGGAGCACACGGTACAACGAGTGCACGACTTTGTTCGGGCAAACATGGAAGCAAGAGGCATCAAGGCACCAGGTTTCTCGCTGATGACCAACTTTCCAAAGACGTGAGTACTCGTTCATTATTTCTCTGCTGTCGTTCGTCCCTCTGCGTGTTCAAGGCGCACATTCTCATTTGACTCTTCTCTGTCCCTGCTTCGTGGTAGTGTCTACAAGGGCGAGAGTCTACAGCAGTCGTTGGAGGGCGCAAAGCTGACTCCACGCGCGCAATTGATTGTTCTGGCGTGATCGAATTTTTTTGCTTGCTGTCCTCATAGCAACAGAGACGTTTGAATAAATATGATGGAGCGAAGCCTGTTTTATTATGGGGATAGTCTATATTGATTAAGATGCTTACAGCAGTTGCAAATTGATGCATATGCCGTAATTTATGCTTTGTATGCCTAGTGAAATGCCTCTTCTTTTCTGGTAGCCGAAGCACGCATGCTGGCACCTCTAAGGCGGACCAGATAAAAGAGAGCCATGCAGACGATGTTGAGGGCAGCCAAGATCACGCCGTAATAGCCATAGCCGATATGATCTACGATGATCTGTGCAATCAGAGAAAAAATGCAGGCCATGACCATACGCAAAAAATTGGCTGCCGCGGTGGCTGACGAACCCTGGCCAGGGATGCAGTTGACAAGGTAGGCAGCGCCTGCGGCAAGAACCTGCGCCATACCAAAGTTGTAAATGGCAAAGCCGATGATTGGTGCCGCAATGCTCAGATGCTTCTCGGCACCCCATCCAAACAAGAGGGAGCCTAGTGGAACGACCGCAAACCCAGCAATCCACATGTTGAGTGACAGGCGGTCTTCAAGGATGAGCTCGCCACCGTTCTTCTCTTTGGCGCGCATCAAGGACAAATCCGACAGCTTTCCCCCGATGATTGCGCCAAAGATGCTTCCGCCTCCAGCTCCTAGGTAGGTCAAACCGACTTTCGTCTCATTTAAGCCGTAGTGGTTTGTGAAAAGAACAGGTACAATGGTCTCGACTGACAGGTAAGAAAAGAAAAAAAAAATAAGAGAGTGAAGACGCACGTTAGATATTCATTGTATAAAGGCATCATCTGTAGACATTGGTAGAGTAAGTGGGAGCAGAGCATACTTGAAAACATGAGTGCAAAGATGATGCCAGTTTCGATGGATCCCAAAAGGACAACGGGGTACTTCAGCAAGAGGAGAGCCTGGAACGGATTAAATCTCGCCTTCGGTCGAGCGGTCTGTTCGTCGCCATGGACAGCGGTTCCTTTTTCCTCGATCATGCTAAGGGTATCCTTGGGCTCTTGTCGATATGTCTCTGGCAAGAGGAAAAAGAGCTGGACAATGGTTATAGCGCTGACGATGGCCATGAAGAAGAAAGTGGATTGCCAACCGAATGCATCAGCAAGGAGTCCGCCGATCGGGGGTCCGAGAACAGGACCGAGGAACTGGCCTAGGAACATGAGGCCCATCGACGTGCCTTGTTCTTCGGGCGGCTAGTTTAGTTTTCCAATCAATCTAGTTATTAGAAAGCGCACTCAATTTATTTTTATTTTTTACAAGCACAAGTTAAAGACTTACATAGATATCTGCAACGGTGCCGGCACCAAGAATGGAGGCACCGCCTGATCCAACGGCCTGGAAAATACGGGCAAGGATGAGGCCAACGGCAGAATTCGCAAAGCCGCCGCCGATTGAGGCGAGCGCAAAAACGATAGTGAAGGAGATGTAGAGGATACGTCTGATTTTGAAGTGGTCAGAGAGGGTGGAGCAGACAAGGGGACTGATGCCCATGAACAGAATGAAGAGCGAAACGGAAGCATTGATGGCTGTCTGGGACGCCTTGAGATCCTCAGTGATCTGTACGAGGGATGGGAACTAGAGTAGAGTGGATGGTTGCTCGAGTTAAAAACGGCCGCCGATTCGAGCGTGGATTCCGTAGCACAGCATTTTTAAGGGGGCCCTCTCATTTTGATGGAGATAAAAAGATACGGCACCTTTCCTCAGGTGGGCTGTGGATGGCTGTTCGAGTGAGTGTCCGTCTCCTTTATCTGATCAAGTTAGAAAGGATATTAGCGCATCCGCCCCCCTCCCCTATTCCTGTCACACTTACATAGATGGTGCTTGAAAATCCTCCCAGACACCCAGCCTGAGAGATGGTGGCGAGGATAACAGCTTTCCTGAAGCGCGAGAGCTCGATGCGTGGGTCGCCCTTGAATGTGGGGCGGACCATCAGCCTTTGCTTCCAGAAACCCCGATGGGCTGAAGTATGAGCAGGTTGTACTGATGCTACTGGGTCTGAGGAGGGTGTGGAGCGGATGGAGGAGGGAGTGGAACGGATGGTAGAGCGTGTGGTCGAGTCCTTCTTGTGCAGGTCAAGGTCCACGTCAGGCAGGGCTACGCTTGTTGCGGTGGGATCGATATGGAGATCCTCTATGGAGGGCACGGTGTGGTCGAGTTCCCGCACGGTGCTTGCTGAGGCAGCATCGGCATCAGTATCCTTGTGCGAGCTGTACAGGGTCATTGACAGCTAGCTAGGTGAGGAAGTGACAAGTTGTTATGGGGACAAAGAAGACAGAGGAAGAGGAGGGGGGAACGAGGGGTGCGAAGTGGGAGAAAGAGAGAAAGAGAAGAAAAGTAGAGGAGCACACCATTTTTTATTTTGTTTCCTGTGTAACAACTACGGTGGTGATGGGGCTCCTGGGAGCATCATTCGTCTTGGCAACAAGGTCGTTATTTCAAGCGCCGACCAACAGTAGCCCAGGTTCGATAGGAGTTCAGCCAGGCACTGGTTGGTAAGTGGGCACAGGCAGCGTCCAGTGTGTCTGTAGCAGGACAAGACTTTATTTTGGGTTCAGATATCTGCACGACTGCAGCGACCAGTTGTAAAAGGGCACTTGAGGGGTTTTGCAACAGGCCCCAGTGCAGTAGATTTGTCAGAGATAAAAAGCGTGGCGCAAGTGAAAAGGAGGGTGGCTCATGTTCGCAATCTGGCTTCCCTCTGTAAAAAATAGAAGAGAGGGAAGAGGGGAAGGACTAGCCCCACACTCTACAAAATAAAAAGCATGGGGTAGAAGACGGAGGGACCCGCCGGATGGAGTAGAAGAGGCCTGGCGGACTGTTCGGGGTCTGTGCAATTAGAGAAAAAATTTTCCCTCGATTCGATCGTCCGCTCCATTCGTGCACATGCGAACCAGTGGCACCACACACCGAGAGAGGGAGTGAGAATCTCACAGCGCTCATCACCGCCCATCACTGCCCATCCCCCCGCTACTTTCTCTTCTCCTCAGTCCTCTTGAACCACCTCCCTCTCCCTCTGGACCATAGCCCCTCCTCCTTCCCTCTCCCTCCCCACCTTCCTCCATCACTCCATCCCCACAACCGGTTGTTTTCTTTCTCCATCGCCCTTCTATACTCCACTCTTTCTTCCCTGAGTGTTGCATGTCCAACCCTATTTGCTCCCCACCTTCTTTATTAAGTACCTGAAAAACCAAAAACTACCCTCCCTTCCCCCCCCACACAGCCCTCCAATCTGTCCCTTGCCGCCCCAGCTCCCCTCATGCCCACGGCGCCTGCGACACCTTCCCTGCCCCAGGTGTCCTTTGTGAACCTGTACTCGGAGGACCCCTGGAAGAAGCGCCAGCGGGTCCGGATCCAGCAGGCCTGCTCCGAGTGCCGAAGGCAAAAGATCAAGTGCGACGGCCAAAAGCCATGCAAGTCCTGTAAGAAGAGCGATCGCAACTGTGTCTACAATGCCGCCGCCTCCGGAAGCCATTCCTCCTGTTCCAGGGACGACCAGCATCATCAAACAACTGCGGATGATCACGACCACCCCTCTTCTGGCGCCTCCACTTCTGTCAGCACCCCAGCCGACCTCACAGACACCGCAGCGGACAGCCACCACCATCACCCCCAGACCGAGTCCTCGCAGCGCATCTCTCCAGTCCATCCTCACTCGCCTCATCCTTATTCAAAATCGCAGCACCAGCACACTGTTGGGCACCGCCATCATCATGTTCAGCACAATCAGCATCATTCCAAAGACGGTGCCTCTGGTCTCATCAAAGAAGAGCCTGCGGACCACGCCAAGCCCTCGCCTCTTCGGAAAGACTCGAGACACGACCGCAGGAGTCAAGAGGCCGAGAGCAGGAGCAAGGTCCACATCAAGGACATTGGCAAATACGGAGTCCCTCTGGACGAGTGGCAAAAGCAGGACGAATCCCCAAGCACTATCGCTGCACGAAAGAGTAGTACGTCTGTTGTTGCTGGGGAAGAAGGAGTTTGAGTCTTTGTATCGTGGGGCCTGTTGTTTATGTTGGGCATTTGTGTAAATATGGCGATATATGTGTGTTTGTGTGTTTGTGTGGGAATGTGTTCGTGTTCGTGTGTGTCTTGGTTCTCGGAAGCAGTCGGATGGATGGAGCAGAAGCTGGCTGTGCTATGTAGTACTCCCCCTTGATGTTGCTGGTATTGGCGTTGGTGTTGGCGTTGGTGTTGGTTTTCATTGGTATTGTTGTTTGATAAACGTGGCCGAGAATAGAGGCCGAGACCCGAGAGATACAAGATGCATACAATAAGCACACTCCACACGACATCTGCATGCGATGTATACACACGACACTCACACGCGCGAGAAAAGTAAAACTGTGGCAACGGCAGTGATGAGCGATGGTTGGGGGGGAGAGGATAGTCTGGTTTGGTGTTGGCGCAATGGGAGGGGAGGGGGAAATAATAGATATGGCACCATGCGACGGTTGACATACGAGATGGTATGATACGATGCTGATGTATGAATGTATTGGGGTATTGGGGGGAGAGGCCAGGCTAGGCTAGGCTGGACAGGACAGAGAAACAGGGCGTAAAAAGGGAGAGAGGGAGAGATTGTGTTATTGTATTGTATGGAGTCGTATGGTGTGTTTGTTGTTGCCTTGCAGCAACGCAAACAAGCAAAGAGCACCAATAATAGGATATGAAATAGGGAATATGAACCGACACAAATAATCCGTGGGCAACTTGCATTAACAAACTTTTCTTTTCTCTTCTTTCTTTTCTTTCCCGCAGGCGCATCCAATCCAAGTCCGACCGCAAAGCAGCACCAGCCGCCCATCCATGGCTCACTCTCGCCACTTGGAACACTCGGAACACTTGGGGCACTCGGCACGCATGGAGCACTCCCGAGGGACCCCATGCAGCCGCAGCAGTTCCAGCTACCACTTTTCCAGAGCTTTTTACAGGCCCCTGTGCCCCAGGACATGCTGATTCAACAGCAACAACAGCACTTCATGCAAGAACATCAGCGTCAACAACAGCTACAGCAACATCTTCAGCAACAATTGCAACAGCAGCAGCAGCAGCAGCAGCAACAGCAGAATCAGAGTCAGAGTCAGAGCCAGAACCAGACTCCGATGCTTGTCCAGTCACCGTCGACTAGTTCGATCCACGACATCAACACCTGCATCGACGATCTGGAGAGCAAACATACCCACAACACCCTTGTTTACATTATGGAGTCCCTAAAGCTCACTGACACAACCAACCAGACCTCGAGAAAGGCCTACGACCTCGTCGTCGAGAAAAAATCCGAGGCCCTCAACGCAATACCGACCGAGATCAGTCTGCCCCCGGACCTGTCGCTGCCCACAAGGTCCACTGATCTCCCGAGCGCTGAGATCAGGGATCATCTTGTCGACACCTACTTCACTTATCGATATCCTATCTGGCCGATCGTCCACAAAAAGATCTTTTTGACTCAATTGCACGATCCTAATAGCACGCCTTCGCTTTTACTATTGAATGCCTTGTTTGCATATGCTTCACGCTATTCCACCTGGCAGGTCCTTCGATCCGATCCAGATAAACCTGAGACCGCCGGTCAGCTCTTCCTTGAGCGCGCACAGGCCATGCTGCCGGCCTTTCTAATGGCTCCTCGGCTCTCGACAGTCCAAGCATTGCTCTTTTTGGCCCAGCTAGAGGACAACGCGACCCAGCGTCACACGTACCATAGCATGGCCGTCCGCATGGCTCAATTACTCGACCTGCACAAGAACTGCGCCCATCTGGGTCTACCTGATGATGAAAAGGAGACGCGCCGCTGCATCTGGTGGACTTGCTATATGAACGACCGCCTACTTGCCCTTTCGACTCGGAAACCCGTCATTATCCATGACGGTGACTGCAACATTGACCTGCCCTTTCAGGAGCACATCTACGATGGACCCAGGAATAACTCGGTTTCGCTCTCGCATTATTACTCTCCGCCTCAGTTGTTTTATCAGTTGCTTCTGCTGAGCAAGATCGTCGGCGGCGTCCTGAAGCATTTTACCAAAGTCGCCAACAAACGGTATCGGAGTTCCGATGCACATGAAGTCGCTCTGACAGCTTTGGATGAGTCACTTTTCACCTGGCTGGCATCGTTGCCCGATCATCTCCAATATACACCTGCCTCGGATGCACTGACGACAAAAACGCTCCCATCGCCTTATGTTGCGGCCCTCCATCTATATTTCTATTCTATCCTGCACACTCTTCACAACCCTTACATGGACTCATCCAATCCTAGGGCAACCAGCGACATGCCAAAGTCGCCTCCTTCTCTTGAACGATGTACTCTGGCGGCCTCGATGATCACAGGACTCTCTCGCTCGCTCTGCTTTCAACCACAGTATGGACTCAACTTTGGAACACAGTGCTACGCCATTCTGCACGCAGCCATCATGCACCTCACGAATACGGCCAACACGACATCGTACCAGAGTCTCAAGTCCAAGTCGCAATTCATCTCAACTCTTAGTGTCATCAAGGCGTATTCACAGCATTACGCTTTCGAAGGGGTCAAGAAGAGCTCAGATGTTATGGACAATATCTACAACTGGCAGGTAGCAAGGCATCAGGATGACAGCCCCAGCCCGTCGATGGGCCCGTCGACACCCTCAGCTGCCTCGTCCGCGTCGGTGTCGTCGCCGAACCAGGGAACGATCATGAGAGAGGTCAAGCATCCGGATCACCACCACGTGCTTCATCATTTGCATCATCCGTATCTCCGCTCGGACTCCACGCCGTCGAGCCCAAGGCTGGGACCTAATGCTGGCGCCAGCGCCAACTTCCCCTCGCTTTGCATTCCTTCTTCTCCTGCTCCGACGCATGAAAGTGTACTGACTTCCAGGACTCGGTCACCGCACGCATGGCAGTTCAACAGCGTGGCGACCAGTATGGCAAACACGCCAACGAATTCAGGAAGCCCGATGCTGAAACCTGAGGCGGATAGGAATCAGGCAATACCATCGTCCGCAATTGTATCTCGCACTGTTGTCAACTGTTCATCCGAACCCACGCCAGAGTCCCAGGCCTTGCTTTCAGATATTTACAGCCAGAATCCAACCATCACTTTCGATAATGGACGGACATCACCTCTGGATCAGACATCACTGGGCGCGATTCTAGGATTTGAGCTGCCGCACAGCTCGAACGAAGATGAGGACAATGCTTATTGGAACGCACAGGCGAATTCTCTTGGTGGCATGGATGGTTGGAACCAACAGCTAATGACAGCACAGGAGCATGTGTCGTACAAGAGCACGGTGGGAGGTCCTGCAGAATATCTGGGAGGCAACAATAGTTTGGGCTCTCTCGAACCAAATTATTTCGATACCCTGGGCGCGGCGACTGGTGTCGATTTTTCAGGCTTTGGTGTGGGCGCTACAGGAACTTCGTTTGGAGCGACGTTCGGAAACCCTATTACTGCCATGGGTGCGAGTCATAATATTGTGTGGCAAACACAGCAGCAGCGCGAGCAGGAGATGCGCGAGCAAGAGATGCGTGAGCAAGAGATGCGTCAACAACAACAACAACAACAACAACAACAACAACAACAACAACAACAACAACAACAACAACAACAACAACAACAACAACAACAACAACAACAACAGCAACAACAACAGCAGCAACAGCAGCAACAGCAACAGCAACAGCAACAACAGCAGCATCAAAGACAACAACTCTTTGGCAGCCCATCATCGTCTACACAAGATGCACCGCAGGTCCACATCAAGCAAGAGTCATTTCAGTTCTCTCCAGATCTAGTGAATCAGGTGTATCAAAAGTCATTAACGGTGATGGAAACAGGCCAGGCACCCAACGACAGCAAGCAAAGTCCGATGAGGAGCAGTGCCAGTGCGAGCCCGTTGTCGGAAATGACGTTACCGGTACCGATGCTGAAATCAGAGACGCAGGACGCACAGCAGCAGCAGCTTCAACGAAGGATGTCGGAAGCAGATGGCGACAATAACCTTGGCCTGGACATGCAGTCAGACACTTCCAGCTACTTCAACTCGCCGCTTGAGGGCCTAGCTGTGGATGACACGGCTATGGAGGACATTGCGGAGGAAACGTGGTGATATAGAGGCGAATGAAGGATATGTTTTTTCTTTCTCGTCTGTTCTTTTTTTTACCTTGTACATGTTTTTGTCAAATAGATCATACTCCCTTTTCTTGTTTCATCATCTCTTCAATCATGGCATTACATAAAGTACCCTTTCATTACGGCAAAAAGGAGTCGATATGCTTTATTTTCCAAAATGCAAACGTTGCAGTGCATTTGTATCCTACGGGTTAAATTACAAAACGTGGTCTAGGCGCTGTGGATCCATGCTTGCGACGGTTAGATTTTACTTGTTTTCATTAAAGAGCTTGTTGAAGATGCCCTTGACCCTGGCATAGACCTCATCAGGGGAGTCTACGCATGACACGGTGTGAACCTTGTTGCTCTTATTGTAGTACTCGACCACAGGGTAGCTCGTCTCACTAAAAGTTCTGAAGCGCTTCTTGATTGATTCGATGTTATCGTCTGCCCTTCCACTGGTCTCTCCACGTTTCATCAGACGCTTGAGCATGACCTCCTCTGGACATTCAAAGTAGAGGGTAAACTTGCTTGGAACAACCTAAAGGCAGTATGAAAAGGAATAATGTGGATTTAAATATGGTCCTTGGAGATGGGGAGACTGCATAGGTTTTGGAATGAGTGGGCAAGTGGGCAAGGGGGACTTACGGCCTCCTCGAACTTCAAGGCCTGGTCCATCTTGCGTGGGAAGCCATCAATCAAGAATCGTCTCTGGCCACTGGCCAGCATGGCGTTCTCAAGCAGAGCGATCGTAACCTCCATGGGGACGATATTACCCTCCTTGATGTAGGTCTTGATAAGCTCGCCGTACTGTGATCCAGGACGCTCCTGCTCAGCACGGAGCAAATCGCCGGCTGTGACAAACGACAAGAAAAAAAAAACTATTAAAAAACGGAGTTTGCTGCTATTGCTCTGGGGGTTGTACATTTCCGAGTCCACATGGGGAGACATTCTGTTGTGCGCGACCTACCAGACAGGTGCACGAACCCAAAGTCGCGAACGAGATTCGAGCACTGAGTTCCCTTCCCGGCACCAGGACCACCTATTGCAATTTCAGTTGAAAGTATGGCCAGATGAATGTTTGTTATTCGCTATTAGTCGGTGAGTATACATACATCCCAAGCATGAACAAAAAAAAAGATGGGACAGTGTTGTGTAAGAATATGGCTCCGTACCAAGAACGAAAATAACGGTCGTTTCCTGGAGGAACTTCTTCTTCTCGGCAGCAAGGGCCTCGGGACTGGAGGGTTTCTTTTCGGGAACAGCCTTAACACCACCGCCGGCTGCAGCTACAGCAGCGTTGTCCTTCGTGACAGCAGTTTTGCCTACAATAAGAAAGCAGAATCGCCAGGAACGGAGCAGAAAATGGTCGGGTCTGTTGTCAGGGCAGGAACATACGTAAAAGGGTCCCTGGACGGGTTTCTGTTCAAGCCAAGTGAGACTCCACACCTTCGGCAGGGCTGAAAAGGTAATATCCAGAGGTGGCGGCAAGGGCGGTTAGGCCTGCGATCGTCAGCCAGCTAGAGCCAGAGGACGAGGGCGTGGAAGGCTTGTTGTTGGCCACGGCCCTCTGGACGGCGCTAACAGAGAACAGGCGGCGACCGCTGGTCTGGGAAGAGGAGATGACAGCGCGACGAAGGGCAGCGGAGGTGGCGGCAGAGGCGCGCACAGAGGAGAGCATGATGTGGTATTGAGGCAGCTGGATGGGATTAACGGATGATGGAGTGAGAGATGAGATGAATAAACAAGATGGGGAGCGAAATGGTTCGTTTACATACGTGTGCTCCGTTCAAAGTCAGCCAATGTCCCAGTACATGTTATTTTTCATGGAGCATTAGACCATCGAAGGCAACAACACTGTACGAAGGTAATATACAATAACGATTTGGTGCTTCATATTTCACCGGTGTCTATCGATCTATCTGGCACGCAATGGAGTAAAGAAAAGAAGGTATACAGCGATAATGAAAAACAACAACAACGGCGACGCAGGTGAAGGCAAGTCGCACCGGACTATGAGACGCTGCTATCCCCGCTGGTCACCAAAGACCGTGATCGCGACCGTGAGCCCAGCCGACGGACCCCAATGCCCTTCCCCGTCATACGTCCTGCGTTCTTCCGCGACGAAATACTGTCGTGCAGAGGCACCACCGTCGCTGGATCCGCTGCCGCTCGACTGGCCGCATCTCCAAAGACGTCCGTCCCTAAGGTGCTGTCGCCAACGTCCGTTTCTACAACTTGTTTCGGATCTCTTGATCGACTTGCGTAAGGGCTGGTGCCAAACAATCCCGCTGTCTGTCTGCCAAGTCCACTCCATATCCGCGATAGGATCGCTGTAGTTGATCTGAGTCTGGTCGCTGACGCATGTGCCAAATCGACTGAATCTAGCAAAATCAACGAGCCTGTGGCAGTCAAGCTGAAGGGCGATGACATGAACTCGGTTTCCTCTGTGGACTCTGTCATCAGAAGTGCCGTCGGCGATACCGCCGCGGCATCAGCCTTTTTCTCTGCTCTACCGTGGCAGGACTCTCGCATCGCATTTGACATAGTCTTGCTCCTGGACCTACCCAAGAGTACCTTGTGTTTCATCCCGGACGGAAACCGGAAGCTAAGCGATGACGAAGGAACCTCTTTTTCATTCAACTTTAAGGGTTCGCTGATATGTCCTTTGAGCGTTTTCCGCGACTCCCCCTCTGCGGATGACACTCCTACGTACGGCTGCACCACGTCTGTAAATGCGGTTGAGGTCGATACCGTCTCTGCCAGGTCCTGGGCCTCAGTCATGGGTGATATCATGGTCGATACAGAAAACTCGGACCGGCCTTCATCACCATCACCGGCATCATCAGCGTTGTCACCGCCTGCAGCAGGAACAGTAGTTGAGCTATCGTTCGATCTGCGGCCGAAAGGATTGGTATCTCCATAGGAGCCTTGGGCATCCTCATGACTATTATCTGTCTGGGTTTCACTGGCGGTCGTGTCCGAGAAAGAGGCGCTTGTTTGAGTCTGGATACATCTGGTGACCAATAAAGCGTTGGACAGAGGACCGGCTTCAACGAAAGTATGGCTATTAGAATGAGGCGCCGAGTTATGTCGGGAGTCCTTGGCAGTCACCGAGGGAAACTGGGCCTCAGAACCTGCTTCAGACGTCAGAATAGTAGTTGCATCGACTCGCAGTGCCAACTTGTCGTCGTAAGGATCATCGTGATTGTCTAGTGGCGAGAACTCTGTCGGGAAGTGTCCGCTATCCCTCAAAACGATTCGGTCTCGCTTCCCTGTGGCGAGCTCTTGGTTGTTGTCGTAATGATCGTCGTCGTGAAACACGCTGTCCATTTCACCCACGGCAGTCGATCTCAAGGACCCTGAGCAGTGCTCGGATTCACTGAATGGCATTGCTGGAGAGCCGTCCTGTGGGCTGTGGATGGATGATAAATGTGGAGAAACCAGATTTTGCACATCGAGATTCAGTTGAAGACGCGGACGTCTTCGTAGTGTTTGACGTGGACCGACAGGCGCTGAAGTGGGGCCTGCGGTACTTGAATCAAATGATGAAGTATATTGCTCTCCTGTGTAGACTGCTGGTGCGACAACTTCCGAGGCGACAGTTAAAGTGTGGGCATCATAAGAAAGACGATCGTAGGCCAAGTCTCGGAAGCGATGATGTGGAGCCGGAGCATACCCTTCGCTATCCTCGTCGCCTTCGTTCTCTTTGACCTCCTCGACCTCCTCGGTCTCATCCGCTTCGCTGTCCTCTTCCTCACTGTTATCCGAGTAATTGCTGCTGAAATCATCCTCCTCATCCTCCTCATCCTCCTCGTCCTCGTCAGGATCGTAAGAGTGGCCCAGCATGCCGTATTGTGAGTTGCCAAGGGATCGGTTTCTGTCGTCCATATCTTTGTACGCAGCCTCCTTCAGTAATGCACCCAGCCTCTGCTCGTCCTGGACCTTGAAGACTGTTGCAGATCCCGAGTCCTTTATTGATGCCTGCTGTAGCTTCCCTGACCCTGAAAAGCTAATATTGTGGTGTTCAGCAAGCACACTTTCCATGAACTTGGTCTTCATATAGGCTTGGCGGTACTCTTCTTGCATTCTTTGAATCACGTCCTCCTTCTGCGCCAGAATTCTCTTTAGTGCATGGACTGTTTGCCGGCAATGTTGAATATCCCTGTTGAGCGAGTCATTTTGGTTCTGTAGGAAGGCGTTCTCGACCTCAAGTCGGCTAAGAGTATGTGTTTGAAATCGCGAGATAGGCTGACCTACTGCCGGTATGCGATAGGACGCGGTCACTTGAGGAATAGCTAGTCGACTACGCCTTATTGATGTTGCTGAGCCATGCTCATGATCTGACTGATGTGGTAATCTCAATTCTGGGACTTGCTGATGTTCTTGTAAAGAGACGCTCCCCTGGGGCGTCACCGCAGGGTCTGAAGCAGTTGGAGCACCAAGAAGCAGCAGCGGCTCATCGGAAGACGAACAATCGTCCATGTCCTCGTCCTCGTTCATGCCTGTGTCCTCGTCCATGCCTTCTATTTCCTCCATTGGACGTGGCTGTGGTACGAGGCCTGCTATGGAGATAGTAGCGGTGTTGCTCCTGCTTTTGTCGATTGCTTCAAACGCTTGGCTGCTCGATGATAGTGTACTGTTCTGCATATTGGATGCTGTGCAGTGAATGATACGGTATTCATTAAGATCGGAATTGTTGGTGTCTGCATTTGAGACAAGGTCCTGTATGTGAGGCATGGTTGTTTGTTGGGACGTGATATACGGTTGTCGCTCGATAGCTACTTGTGTCTGGATAAGGTGTTAGTTACGGAAGATGAGTAAGGGGTGGACAAAGAAAATGTTTGGGCAGACATACCAAATAGGAGTAGTTCCGACCAGTCCGGATGAGCGAGTGAGTCAGTGAATGAGTGGGAAAGTGGGAAAGACGACGGGGGGCGACGGGGGAACGGTCGACAGGTGGAGAGGAGACCTGCGGTGGAGGAGAGGAGAAGAAGCGATGTTAGTCTGGGAGAAGGGGGGAACCGAGCGCTTGGCGGGATGCAATCGATATCGATCGTACGCATTCACACTTGCATTCACCCCCGCACTCACACTCACGCCCACACTCACAATAACGTGCGTTCGTCTTGAAAAGACGATGCTGCAGGGAACGTGTTCTACAGCCTCAGAGGTCTTAATGTGTCCCAGGGAAGGAAACCTTGTGAGCCAGACAGCCACGGACGCAAAGCTGGTAGTACTGACGAGTGGTGTTAATGGGTGGTACTACGAGTATTAATAGTAAGCAGTAATGGCGGGAGGCAGAAGGGGGAAGGAGGGGAAAGGAGGGAAGAGGAGGAAAGAAGAAGATGCAAATAAGAAGGAAGAAAAAAAAAAGAAAAAAAAAGTGCGGTTAAAATGTGGTAAGGGAAGAAAGAAAAAACGAAGAGAAGGGAGGGAAAGAGGAGGAAGTTTCTTTGAAGAGGAAACCACAGCGCACAATGCATTACACGGAAACAACGGCAGTGAAGACAGGCGTGAATGAGGAGGCCAAGTCAAGTCAGGCAACAGCTGTGTGAATGTACGGCGCATAAGCTACATGGGCTACATAAGCGTAGTCTTTTCTCGCCATACGAAAACTAGCCCGCGAACAAAGAAACACCACGCCCTCTTCCCATTCCCTTCTGTCTTCCTTTCCTGCCGGACAGATGACGACAGAGACAGGGAGACCTCCGGCCTGCTGCGGGCTCGAATGGGGCACGACCGCAACTGTCGGATACACCCACCACAACAGCGTGTACTGAGAGTAAAGGAAAGCAATGGCCGCTCAGGGGTAAAAAAATAAATAAAAAGATCATTTGCTCATTCTCCGTCTTTTACTTTTTCCCGCCAAAACTTTGGATCCTTGTCCTTTTACACTGAAAGGATTAAAAAATAGGGACTGAGTGAGTCTGTTTCCCGACGGATATTCTTTATTCTAGTCGGCCAGCTAGTCCATTAGTGTATGGCTGTATGGCTGTATGGCTGCATGGCTGCATGGCTGGGTGATATTCATTTTCATCAACGCTTTCTTCTGCATCCCACGAGTGTTTGAGGAGAAGGGAGGGAGGGACGGAGGAAAACAAAAACAAAAGAAAATGGCGGGAATCCATTCCAACGGGGATTTTTTGTTATTTATATTTGGCTGTGTACGTGTAACTGAGCTTACGACATGTGGTCTATAATGGACACCCAACATTAAGCCGCGTCGCTTACCTTAAGCTGAGGTTCCGTTTCTTGCCCAAGATCGCGAGACTGACTAAGAAGGCACCGATGTCGGTGTATCCTGCGGCGTAAAAGAGCTCTGGAAGCCACTGGCCAGGTTCTGTTTCAGCAAAGTACCTCGTCGGGAGATGCCAATTGTTCACATTCTTTATCTCGAGGAGCTTTATGTATGCAGAAGGTTGGTAATCCTTGGGTGTTTCGCTCTGCATTGTCGGTCGAAGACTGGATGGTAGAATGTTCATTATAGCAGACGGTTCTGATTGTTAGCATGTCAGAAATCATTCATGGTCATCACATGCGAATTTTAAACTTGCGATTTTCGGTGGCGTATTATGTACACCCTAGTCTTCGCGTCCATTGTCCTGGAATCTCAGATCCATCTCATCCATCACGTCAGGTAATGTTCAGTGTGATATAGCTACCAATGCCGCAATTTTTGTTGTAATGTTGCTCTATATATATATATTTTTTGAGATCCGTGGGCCATGGCTGCATGGATGCAGGACCCGCTCAGAGCTGGTTATCCAAGGTGCACCGCCTGGTTGTTCCGGGTGTGCCTGGACTCCACTCGGGTCCGGCTCTCCAAACGCACCGCCTGGTTGTTCCGGGTGCGTCAGCTTGCTGTTTGGCAAGCCAGCCATCAGTGTATGCCGCCTGGTTGTTCCGGGCATGCACAAGGTAAGTGCACAGGGTGTTGCTTGACCAAGCTCTTTCACCCGTTGGTGAAGAGTAGGAGAGCCATCCTGGACTGCGGTATCTCTTGGGCGGGGAGACTACTGTGGACCCTTTGCCGACCCTTTCACCTCACTTTTCCCTCCTGCTCATGTCTATACCAATGAAGTGTTTAAACAAAAGACGATTATCCCACCTACTGAAAACATGAGATGAACATTTTTCTCGCTCGACTATTAATTCTTAATCACTGTTTGAGGGTCCCGGATTGTCGCCAGGTGTTTTCAAGCGCAAGTTGGACAATACTCCAAGTATGTCCCAGCATATTCAAGGTTCTCGATGCTACTCGAATCCGGGGTAAGTGTCCGTATCCATTGACCATGATAGTGCAAACATGACATTAGGCCACTTTACTGCATCGCTTTCTAACGCTATATCTTCTCTTCTACTCGACACAGGTGGAGCTTCTCATCTCTGCAAAGCTCACGGGCAAAGACAAGGACGACGACGACGTGCGTGTTCTCTGATTCAGGGGTGCCGCCCGTGTTGGTTAAGGAACAAAAAAAAAAAAAAAGTTACTCCAATTGTTTCCGGCTTCTCAATGTATCCGATAGAGCCTCGTCTTACACTACTCTCAATACAGATCCGACACCCATTGGCAAAGTTGCCATGCTTCAAACATTCGATAACTATCCGCATTTTATTTGGGGTTTATCTATAATGGAGTGCTGTTGCGATTACTGTCGATGTCAGTGTCAGTGCCAGTATCAGTATATCAAAGTCGATATCAAGTCAATGTCAGTGCCATGATTGAACACTCAGAAGCCGGTGGTCGTCTCTTCGCCAGCTGCGCTTATTGATCTCCACACAGCGGACATTCCTGCATCGCTCAAACACCGTGCTGGCCAGTCCAACCGCCTCTGAGTCTAGGCTATCAACATCCAACCAGGGCAGAGCCAGGACCACGTTCTCGAGAGCTGCCTCCGCACTACAAGTTTCCTCGGACTCAGGGGCCACAATTGCCCGTGTCAGCTCCTGCCAAGGCAAAGTATTATTACAGACAAGCATTAGCCCCATGCATTACGAATTAATTCTCTCGCCTATCTGCTTATGCAAGTTTTACTTACCTTGATCGAGCATTTAAAGACACGGGCATTCACAGTCCTGAGTGTCAACCGCCAATGTGCCATAGCCTTACGCAGCTCATCCACACTGACCCAGTGCTCGATTAACACCAGCGTTTCCAGTCGACCTATCCTCCCCCTGCCCTGCGCATCTCCCTTCTGCTTCAGACCTGACAACAGTCGATCGCCCGTCGACATCCTATCAATTCTAGTCTGCTGCGCCCTCCCCTGACGAGCGCAGCTCGCACATAGTTCAGGCGAGACCGACCGCTTCTTTGGACTGGCTCTTACTCGCCAGCACGACTTTCTGTCTACAACAAGGACCTCAAGATTCGGTCCACACAAATCCAAAACTCCCTCGATCGTCACCTGCGATCCATAGTAAGAGTCCAGGAGCTCAATCTCCTGCAGCCCAGGTCTCATCTGCGAGGGGCATCCAGAACGGTTCACAGCCAGATTTGGTTGAAATTCTGATAGACACTCGTCAGTCAGCCAGGTGACATGCTGCAGTCGAAGGTGTGTTAGGTGAACGCCACGTTGACCAAACTCCTTCAATGCATGGTCCATTCTCGATTCAAGATCCATCTCCGGAAGCACATTATCCTGTGGTAGATCGGGAGTCGTCTCTACACCCGATGCTGCGGTAGGGTCACCTGATATACCAAGCTGATCGACAGCGCTCTCAATCGCGTCCCTGCCATCCTCCTGCTCTTCTGCACCGCAACGTGAGCACATTTGCCCTGGCGACAATGTCCTAGTCGCCGACTGTAGATCTGGGTCCAGGTGCTCTTGAATTTGCTCCTGCTCTGTATGTTGAATAAAATCCTCGGGACCATCGACAGGGAATAGAGTGTGATCGCCCATGGGTCTGATCATGATGTGTTGGCGAATTTCCAGCGTCCTGAGAGACCGTCCGCAACTCTGAGCAAGCTGTGTGAGGACAGTGTTTCCTGCAGCCCGACAATGGTCCAGTCTGAGGGTATCGAGATTTTGAGCTCGTTTGAGAAACTGAGCGATGGCCAGGAACTCGTTCTGTCGGGTCGGTGGCCGTGCAAAGACGAGCTCCCGAAGAGCAGAGAGGTTCATCTCAAGTAGGTCCAGCAGTGAGACATTCAATAGCCATTTGTAATGCAGTTGACGCAGTCTCATCCCTGGAACCTCGCGCAGGATATAGTACATCGTATCCGAAAACACCTGGGACACATCCAGAAGCAGGACCACAGGCCCCAGGGGGGGTAACGTTTTTTTCTTTCGGCGGATCATCACGGCCTTTGTCGAGGAGGGAGGCGAAGGGGCTCTATGCAGCTGTGATGCTGGCCCAAGAGACTCAAGCGAGGGATGAGATGATGACGATGATGATGATGCAATGGTATGTGGTTGCTCTGCTGAAGGTGGTGATGATGAAGAGGATGCTTCTCCTGGTGCAGGTCCTGATCCTGGTCCTGGTCCTGGTGCTCGAACTGGGTTTGACACTGGCGACGACAAGGATAATGCTAAAGGAGCACTCATTGGTGCAAATGCGGGTGCAGTCCAAAGCAACGCCTGCAGATCCCAAAGATGGATCAGATCTTGCTTGACGGGGGCCGATGCGCCAACGATGCGACAGGGCTTCTTGATCATAGCACGGTAGTCGATGCCGAGGCTTTTCGGCTGATCTTCTGAGGAATTGTCCTTGGTGTTCAAACAGGTAGCAGAATCCCAGAAGAGGGACCGACCGTCTTGGAGTCGGTCCTGGAGGCCGAGAGTTTTAACGAATGCATCAAGGTTCTTGAGGGAGACGACGGGCTGGTCGTATATCAGCTCGAGGGCAAGACGGGCCCACTGCTTGCAGAGGGTGAGGATGGGCCAGAGCCGTGAGGGCTGGTCATGGCCTCCGAGGAAGGAGAGGATGTGAAGAATAACCTCGGGCGCCAGTCGGGAACATGCTTTGAGCGGAGTATGGGCAACTAGAGCAGTTTTCGACATCGGTCACAATGATAGAGGTATGAGGAAGGTATGGGGAGATGTGAGACAGGAAGCGACAGGCGAATATCAACGAGGACGATGGAGGCGAAGAAAAACCAGGAGAAGACAAAGGAAGAGCAAGACGGGGGGAAGAGAAAGAAGAGGAGGACAGGCGGGTGGATGCGTGTGCCGGGGTGATGTGGAATCATGGAAGCATTTGAGTCAACGAAGAAATCCAAATGGACGGGTCTGGCATATGTCAATGCCTTTCTCTGATTGGTCAATTGCATGCAACAAGCAAACTTTGATTTGTCTATAGAAACCCCACTGTCATTCCCCTCTATCAGGTCTCTCTCCGCTCGCGTGGCAGATCCACAATGTAGTGCGCGGTGTCCTTCGTTGCATTGAACTTTGGCACGAAACACGGCACCCCGACTGTCCGCTCCATCCCCGCGTGCTCCATCACCCGCCGGCTGCCCACGTTCTCAACCCAGGCCTCGCCATGCACCCGCTCGTATCCAAGTTCGTCGTATGCGATACGCTCGAGCGCATACACCAGCACCTGTTTCATCACGCCCTTGCCTGTATGCTCCGACGAGACCCAGTACCCGAGGCCACCACAGTTCAGGGCCCTGCTTCTTCCAATGTCTGTACAATTTGAAGCAAAGCAGGGTCCGATGTCGTCTCCGTGGTCGAATGGATCTAGTGCAATCAATCCGATTATAGGGCCATCGATGGAGGTGCGAATAGCCCAGCTGGTGGCAACACCCTTCTCCATTCGCCGTCTCTCATGTCGCTCTGTAAACGAGACAGCGCCAGCCTTGGGGTAGGGAAAGGTCATGTTGCTGGAATACAGCCCCTCGTAGATGCTCTTGTCGATGTTCAGAACCCGGTACAGCTCCAGTGCATCCGAGCGCCAAACTTGAGTCAGCCAGATCGATCCTGAGACCTGGTAGGGCCCCATGCACCGAATCGGACTTGAACCAGTCTGTTGTTCGTTGACCACATCCTTGTCATTGCGGTATGTACTGCCCGCCTGGGTTGTCACGGACGATATGACTTTGTTTGTCATGCTGCAGTGTTCGGCTAGTGAGAAGAGTAGAAAGAGAGGATGAAGATGTTAAGGTTGAGATAGATCCTGATCAAACTGCTATTCCTCTTGCTCTTTATACTTTTTCTTGCATGGTGTCCGCAGCACCATGTAAAAATAAGGTTTTTAGGAGCGCCACTCTTCTTCGCAAAAGAGCCAGCGTTGTCTTTTGCACTCATCTTTACTTATCTCGACTCACTCTGCTTCTATAGTAACTCATACGCAACCGGAAAGGAAAGTCGTCACCATAGATACCGCTCACCATAGATACCGCTCGCCATGACCTTGAAAAACCAGGAATGATCGCACATTAAAGTAATTGTACAGGCGTGCACAGCACTCTTGGAACTTTTATAAGTATTTTTACATGGATTTTGTGCGAACCTCCATAACTGCAAACACAGCGACACATAAGAAATTTTTTTGCGAATTGAGTTAGAAATGCCAAAATGCAGTGTATATTTTAACGCATGTCAATCTGAAGACCTGAGAAAAGAAAAAAAAAAAAAAAAAAAAAAAAACTCTTAGGCAACAAACACAGCGCCAATAAACGCTACTACAGCCAGAAGAGTTGCGCTGCCCACCACGACACTAGAGGCTGCGTTGGAGGTTACTTTAGGGCCAGTCTGCGACTCATCAATCTTGTTGCTCCCGCTGGGTACATCGGGCTTGCCGGTTGTTGGAGGGAGCGAGGCACTATTTTGGTATGGGCTGGCATCGTTGAGGCACTCGGCCACGGACGTGACCTTCAGCTTGGCATGCGCACCAACAGGGATTAGACGCTTCGCAAACTCGACCGTAACTGGATACAGATCATGCTCGAGCGTGATAATGCCCTTGGCTCCTGGATTGGCACCATAGGCCATCAGGGTATCGGTCATGGTCGTGACAGCAGCTGAAAGGGCCGCTTCGGTGGGATTGGCGTTCAGAGAGAAGTCCTTTGAATCATAGGTATCGCTCGTCCTACACAGTTACCCACCGATACACATATACACATATATACAGGACATCAATGAGTAAAGAAAAATAGAGCTCTTGGCGCGATGTATACAACAGGATGATAGTTGCAGCTCAGACGATGATAGCGCTTTTCTTACCAATCTACGATAATGTAGCCCAACTTCTTGACGACAGCTCGCACGCGATTATCAATGTCGCCGTAGGGTGGACGCATGTACTTCATGCGCAGCCCTGTAGTGTCCATGACGGCCTTCTCAGTCCATTTGAGCTCGGCAACGATCTGCTCATTGCTGAGGGTGGTGAGAGGGTGGTGAGACCAGGTATGGGATGCAATGTGGTGACCATCCGCTACCTCCTGCTTCATCACTTCTGGGTTCCGGACAACGTTGCTTCCCATGACAAAGAACGTTGCCTTAACGTTATTCGTCTTCAATGTTTGCAATAGGCCCACAGTATTTGGGGTAGGACCTTGTTAAAAAGAAAAGGAGGAAAGCATAAAGGCGAATTAGCAACTACGTCGGTAGTTCATTTCATATCGACCGAGTCCAGACATCAGAGTAGAGTGACAAAAAGTCCGAGGGGGCGGTGGAGAATAGGTAGCATGCATGCGGCTCCTTACCATCGTCGAATGTGAGGCCCCAGGTACCGGGCGTGGGGCAAGTTTCGATATCATCCGCTGGACAACTCTGACACGTCCACCAGCATTGATTAGCTGGGATAGCTGCCAGGGGCGGGCATGTTGGGGGATTGCCGGTGTGAACAGGCAGAGCAGGGACATCTGCGAACGAGAGTCCTTTGAGCCACTCTTTGACTTCGGTAGAGTTGACAGGTGGAACCTCGTTGACAGCAGGGAATGCTGCAATGTTGAACTGGCCCTGCGCGGTCACTGTTGCGGCAAAGATGGCAAACGCCATTGTGGAGAAAATTGCCTTCATGATTGAGGCAAGTAGTGCAGTGTCTTCCTGTGTTTACAGACGTGAAAAAACTAGACGAATTGGCACAGCAGGGAATAAAGGGATGAGATGAGAAGGAAGCAAAGGAAAGCAAGAGAGAGGGTCGTTGTGGGTTATATGATGTCCTAGTAGGAGGTTGGTCTAATCTCAAGATGCAGGTGGTAACGGAGGTGAAGGCGAAGGTGAGAGGGAGAAAGAGCTAGGCAATAGAGAAGAGTGTGATATGAACCTTCAAAGCGTTTAATAAAGGCCAAAGGACAGCTAAAGTACCCAGCAACAACAGCAGGGGACCCACCCTGTATATAGCGCTGTAGGCGGTTCTCGCCTAAGAATAGCACGACCCAGCGCTAGAACCACTAGATAACGCCTTTCGCAAATCCAGCTATTAGCACTACAAGTCCCTGTCGTCAGAGATGAAAAGCAGGAGTAGGGCAAGGTCTCCTAATAAACGATGAAACTAGCTGGCCCGGGATATTTTCCACGACCCTGATTGTTAAAGAACATCCAAGGGCCCGGGGACAGGTCCGCTTCTACGCTTTCCATTATGAGCAAGAGGGTGCTCGTGTGAATCTTGAGAGCGCTGATCCTTTTGCATGTTTCTTCTGTTTCTAAACTTCGTTTTGATGAATCCCCGGTAAACGACGAGCTGTTCTTCACAGACGGGCACATGTACCAATGCTATAAATATAACAATTTTCATATAAATCGTACTCTCCGTGAAGTTGCAAATGCGCCCTCGGATGGAATTTCCTAACCTTCCACCAGTGGCAACTTGGTGGTTTAGTGCGAGCAAGCCTCGCCATCGCGCCTTCTGAACTAAATGGGACAGAGCTTGATGGTGGTGATGCACTCAGGTTGGGTTCCTGGGCCAGGGAACCGGGAGGCCCACAGTTACAGTGACTTAATTTTTTGGCACAGCACTGAACGACATGTAAGGTTTGGTAGCTTAAGGGTCACCTGCTCTGGACAATTTTTTTTTTTTGCATATCAGACTCAGGCGAAGGAGGATCGTTTGTTCCTTCTCTAATCATTCTCGACTACAATGGTACATATTACTGGCAGATTGACCGAGTTGAATCCAACACTGTCGTCCATCGATCCATCCGTGCATCCATCCAACAATCGCATACACATGTCTATTCATTCAATGACACTCAATTGCCAGTCCATCGCTGTGCCACGCATCCTGCGTCTCGCAATTGCATCGATAATCGGTCTCGCTGCCGCACCTGCTCAACAGTGTCCACCACTCGTACATGCCCAAACTCAGGATCCGATTCCGACGCCAGGACTCATGGAGCGACATCGGGGAGACTATATTCGCTAAAGAACGCTTAAGCTCCATTCTCAGCATGACCATGAAAGAGTCAACAGGAGCACGACAGAGGCAAATCAGCTCTCGTTCATAGCAGGGGGAGTACACAGTTGAATCATCCAGCTTTTGTCAGCATCAGATCAGGATAGAGATATACAGGCTATTGGAGCGGCTATTCACGTCAGGATGCTTTAGAATTGCAAAAGGACAGGAAACATACTTTGACGGATCTCACAACATCGACGAGCGAGCTCCAACTGCATGCTGACCATTCTTTCCCTGTATTCCTTGACTATCGTCAATAGTCTCACCGTAAGTTTGAGAGACCTCGTCACGGATCCCTTGGGTTCTTGCCCCGCAAGCGTGCTGCCCGCCATCGCGGAAAGGCTAAGTCCTTCCCCAAGGATGATGCCTCCAAGCCCGTCCACTTGACCGCCTTCATGGGCTACAAGGCTGGTATGACCCACGTCGTCCGCGACTTGGACCGTCCCGGTTCCAAGATGCACAAGAAGGAGATTGTCGAGGCCGTCACCATCATCGAGACCCCTCCCATGGTCGTTGTCGGTGTTGTCGGTTACGTCGAGACTCCTCGCGGTCTCCGCTCCTTGACCACTGTCTGGGCCGAGCACTTGTCTGAGGAGCTCAAGCGCCGCTTCTACAAGAACTGGTACCGCTCCAAGAAGAAGGCTTTCACCAAGTACGCCAAGCAGCACGCCAACGGCGCCAAGCCCGTCCTCCGCGAGCTCGAGCGTATCAAGAAGTACTGCGCCGTCGTCCGTGTCATCGTCCACACCCAGGTTCGCAAGGTCAAGATTGGTCAGAAGAAGGCTCACGTCATGGAGGTTCAGCTGAACGGTGGTTCCGTTGCCGACAAGGTCAACTTTGCCTATGAGCACTTTGAGAAGACTGTTGATATCAACTCGGTTTTGGAGCAGGATGAGATGATCGATGTCATTGCCGTTACCAAGGGTCACGGTTTCGAGGGTGTCACCCACCGTTGGGGCACCAAGAAGCTTCCTCGCAAGACCCACAAGGGTCTCCGCAAGGTTGCTTGTATTGGAGCCTGGCATCCTTCCCGCGTCATGTACTCGGTTCCCCGTGCCGGTCAGAACGGTTACCATCACCGTACTGAGGTCAACAAGAAGATCTACCGCATCGGCAAGGGCGAGGACAAGTCAAACGCCAAGACCGAATATGACTTGACTGAAAAGGCCATCACCCCCCTTGGTGGCTTCCCCCACTACGGTATCGTCAACGAGGACTATGTCATGATCAAGGGATGCTGCGCTGGTACCAAGAAGCGTGTTGTCACTCTCCGCAAGTCTCTGTTGGTCCACACCAGACGCTCTGCCTTGGAGAACGTCCAGCTCAAGTTTATCGATACCTCCTCCAAGTTCGGTCACGGTCGCTTCCAGACCCGCGAGGAGCGCCAGCAGTTCCAGGGCACCTTGAAGAAGGATCTTTAAATATCTACTTTTTTGGGTCTCTAATGAGCATTGCAAGGTCCGCGTGAGATGATTTCAATAAAGTTATTTTGTCGCGCATCCACAATTAATATTGTCATCGTTGGTTTTTTTTTTTTTTTACTTTTGTGCCTGTCTGTGGCAGGGCAGAATTATGTAATAGTCTTGTAGAGCGCGTAGTTTGTATTGAAAAGTTAAAGGCTAAAAGTACATGTACAGGGTATTGCGTATATAGAGCATAGAAGCTGAGTAGAGAGGAAGGGACGGATTAAAGAGGAGGGTACGCTTGAAGGTTGCGCGTGAGACGCTCAGAGACCTTTTGCTTGTTGGCTTTGCTCGTGGCCCGGTCTTCGACAAAGGGAAGGAAGGATAGCTGTGGTCGGTTGTTGTTGAACTTGTCGTTTGCGATGCTGAAGCTCCAGGTGGAGTTGAATAGGAGCTTGCGCATCATACTTGCCAGAAGACCTTGGCTATGAAAGACCTTGTCCATAGCGCTTGTGTCATCGATCGAGGTCTTTGCGATCACGCTTCGTTTTGTGTGATACTTCTTGAAGGCCTTGGTGATCTCGTGGGGTGAGTTGTATTCCATATCGTACAACAGATTGACCAGGCATACTGCATCCAGTAGACATTGAATCGAACCCTGTCCGCCGACGACCAGATGCGGATGGCAGGCATCGCCCAGGAGCACAATGCGCCCATGGTACCAAGTCTTGTAGAGTCGTTCCACCAAGTCAACACGGGCGATCTTCTCGCGTGGTGTATGGCTCAAAAAGTCGCGCACAGTGCCGGTGCCAACAGCACAGCGTGCGTCTAGGACGTATCGGAACTCATCTTCGAGATCGGGTGCGCTCGTCATCCAGTCGTCATAGATCTTTTGTTGCGACAAGGATGAGGATGAGGAGGAAGACGAGACTGAGGATACTTGAGGGCGCGTCAATGCGGCTGTTGAGGCAGTTGCGGAAGGTGACTGACATTGAAACTTGTACTTGGGCGTTGGCAGTTGCGCATTCAGGCCCCAGGCGACGCGGTTGCCAGGAACAGGCAGGTACCAGAACTACGAAGGACAGATGATGAATAAAAACGTCAGCATACGCTGTTCATGCCTCAGAAAACATTTTACACTGCCGTTAATAATAGCACTTGCTTCACAACACATACTGAGCAAGACTTTTCCTTTTCCTTGGTGTAGACCACCCGGAACTCGGACTCCTTGTCAGAGAGCGACGGATAGTGCTTCTCGTCCAACTTATCAGACACGCCAATGGCGCTTACGTGCTCATATACCGAAGGCTCCATGTCTGCTTCTGGCAATTTCCCTTGTTCTATGAGCTGTGCATACAGCCGCTCGCGAGTCAGGCTTTGTGCTCCATCTGCGCCCACGATAATGTCACCATAGTACGTTGATCCATCTGAGCACTTGCACGTGACGCCATTGGGGTTCTGGAGCGTCTCCACAACGGTCTTTCCCCGGTGAAGGTTGCCTTTGGGAACTCTGTCGAGCAGGATCTTATGGAGGGCTGGACGTGTCATGCTCGTGAAGGGATATCCGTATCGTTCCTTTGTGAAACTCTCGAGGCGACCCATTTTCCGACCTTCACTGTCGACGACCGTTATTCCCGTCACTGGGGAGGACGCCTGCTCCACTTGTTCGAGCAAGCCCATTTGCTCGAGCAGCCGTAGGACTGGTGGGCCCAGGGTGAGGGCTGCACCGAACTCAGGCTCGTCGCCCGTGCATCGCTCCAAAATCTCGTACTCCATACCGGCCATATCCATCATGATTGCGAGGGAGAGACCAGCAATGCCGCCGCCTACAATGAGAGCTTTGATCGTGTTGACGTCCTTTCTATGCGAGATCGTGAGAATGGACATATCAAAGGGGACGGCTTTAGAGGGGTCTTCACACGCGAGAGGAGCGTGCGACTGCGGCAGCGGCTTCAGGTCCGGGAGATCATCGAACGAGTCCAGGGTGGAGACAGACATGAGTGCTCGGGAGCGCTGGTTCGCTGCCATCCTTGGAGGCGAGGTAGGTGAAAGAAAAGGAGAAGGGAGGAAGGTAGAGGGGAATGAAGGGTTATTGTGCACACCACGCGGAAGAGTGAGTGTTCTATTTGGGTTATGTTCCGTGGAATAGAATGTTTGCTGCAGAGGACCTGAAATAAACAAGAGACTGATCAGATTGATTGTGATTGTGATCGTGAAGGCGAAGGAGAGAGGAGAATAAGAATGAGAACGAGACCGAGACCGGGAACGAGAATGAGGACGAGAATGAAGGATGAATGAGATCAAGAGCCGCATATATAAACATATTCTTGCTTACATTTATCCACCCACGTTTTCTTTCCATCGCGGTCGATAAAAAAACCTGAGCCGATTACATACGATATTACGGCCGTGTACGACGATACTGCAGCATGTCTGCGCTCATTATTTATTGCTGTTCTTTTTTTACTGGGATTGTAATGGGGGATGGGGGGAGAGGACGAGGGGAAAGTATGTTTACCGATTGATATTGGATGGATGGGATGCAATTGAGAGCCGGCGATGAGCAGTTAGAACCACCCGAAGATAGCACGCTTCTTCATCTCCTTGCCCCAAGAACAAAGACGACTTCACCACACTCCTCTTCGTTTGTCGACTCTTCGCCCCCCAATGACGGCATCATCAGGAACAGCCGCAACAATAAATGACAGTACAGCTACCGCACCAGCACAGCAGTGTTTGCTCCCGATCAGTGCAACCAATGCAGCCGATCTGTGACACTGCGTCGACCTCGCTATTGCTGCAACTGTGTAGTTGGTTGTACATACATTTCTTCTTGCAGCTGTGAGTGGTCTATGTCGACAATAATGAGAATGTTCTCCTGAGCACAACAAGTATGATTGCAATTGCGCTCTTGGCTCTCGGCTCTCAGTTTCTACGGTTTACTACATGGTGTAGCCAGCATACCGCATTTATTACTTTATTACTTGATGTATGTACTGTATGCACAGGTCTATGTATCTATAGACCGAAAAAGCGGTAAAGGGTAAAGGGTACGCAAAGAACAGAGTTCATGAATTAAGAATGATGATCCTCTTCTCTCTTCCCCAATTATCTCTATCATGTCATCCTCAATGCCCCTCCCCGCTTCTGTCGGATGCACATAATGATGCTGATCCCACAGCTAAAGACGCAGGCCAAAAATGAGGCCACAAGTGCCCACCGGAAGCAGCGATGCCCCTTGCAAGCCTGAGGCTCTCCATCGACCACTGGCCTAGCTGCATCCATAACGAGGCCAAACAGGAGATTAAACAGCAGGCCGCCAAGAGCAGATCCCCATGAAAGCCAACCCCTGCAACCATTCATCAGATACGTTCATGGAATAAAGAGCAAAGGGAGGGAGCAAAAAGAGCAAGAAGAGCAAAGAACATTAGACAGTACATCTGCAAGAGCCCATATATTCAACTCTCAGTCTGACATCGTCCTGCTTTAGAACTCACCAATTTTGTCCACAAGTCCCTTCGCCCCAAAACTCTGCCACAATGATCCCGGCCACGCCAAAGAACCCTCCGTAGCCGAGTCCAGTGAGAAGGGAGCAAAGGTAGAGCCACCGCAGCGATGCAAACATACCCACGACTTGAGCAAGAGCCATGCATGCGGCCGCTATAGGTACGACGTTAATTCTGTGGGTGCCATATCGGCGGATTGCAACGTCAGATCCAAATCCAGCAAGGATACGACTGACATAGCTCGAGCAGCTGATCAGTCCCACATGAACCGCGTGTATTGCAGAGATAGGACTTTTATCGCCCAAACGACCTATAAAAGTTGCTGGTAGATCCGCGTTTTCGGAGGCGGCTACAGCGTCCACCATTGCCGTGATTGAGTTGATGATCATGAGGCCTGTTCCGGTCAGACAGACCATCACTAGGAAGAACAACTGTGCATCTCGATCCAAGAAGAAAGCCTTGCCGCTGATAGAGCGGGGATGGTGATGAGGATGCCTAGTAGGTGCCGTTGAATACTGAGAGTCCACGCTCGAAGCGTTGGCGATGGTTGGCGTGATCGAACCTTCCCTCAATAATGGCGTCTCCTCGTTTTCATCCCTGACCATTGCGGCTGCTCCCTGGAGGATCGATGGTTCAATTGTATGGTCGTCCAGGACGTTGCTTGCGGTATTAGGGTTTGGTGCAGGTAGGATCCGCATGCTGACGAAGGCGATTGCATTGACAAGTCCACCGAGCAACCCGAGAAAGAGCAAAAAATTGGCCGTATCCAGTTCCTGTTTGTCCTCCAAAATGTGGAGATGGCTGCGGACCTTGATCACAAAGAAAGAATGTGCGATCAGCGTCAGAGCTGCGGCAGAAAGACCGAAGAAACTGGTCGGGATGCCTGACGTTCACAAGGAGAATGTATGGGACGATAGCCAAGAGAAAGAACGTCAATTAGAAGGCTGCTCATGGGCGTATGATGCCATGTTTAAAGAGACAGAAAAAAGACGAACTTAGAGCAAGACCACGGGCATGTGTGAAATTTTTTGCGAGGGAGGTAAACGCTGCCATGTAGCTAGCGCTGTTACCCATTCCAGCCAGGAAGAGGTACAGAGCCATGAACAGGAACGGAGTTGGGGGCTGGTTGTGGTGGACACTGTCGAGGCCGTTGGCGTATCCTGCTGAAAGGAGACCATATCCGAGAGCGAGAAGACACCCTGCAATGAACGAGGTCGGACGTGGGCCTAGCTTATCAGCCATGTGGCCACTGACGGGACCCACGCCATAGAGACCTATGTTGCCAATGATGGCAATGGCGCTGGTCTCTGTCTGAGAGTAGCCTAGCCTGGTCGTGAACGAGGGCGCGTAAAGAGCAAAGACGTCGAGCGATCCTGAGACTAACATATTGAAGCAGGAGCAGATGAAGGACGCCGCCAGGAGAAGCGGTCTCCTTGAGCTGGAGGGGTCAGAGGAGGGCATGGCAAAGGGGTCCTCTGCAGTGGTTGCGTCCTGGAAAAGAGGAAAAAGAAGGCGGATGGTGGGGATGGGGATGAAGAAAAAGAGGAATGATGATGAAGACGATGAAGAGAAGAAAAAGAAGCCCCTGTGGTTATCGTTGGAATACTTCACAGTTGATAGTCCAGTTTATTGAATATAGTGATAAAAAAAAAAAAAAGGCGCCCCAAGGTGCCCAGGATGAAGGATGAACGAAGACTGAGCAATTACAGCTCGTCGGAATCATGCTCCAGAACCCCTTCACTTCGATCCCTTCTTTTTCTTCTTCTTATCCTTATTCTTTTCCTTGGCCTTCGGTGCCTCGTCCTGGCTGGTCGTCTGGTCCTCAGAGCTCGAGCCACCCTTCGAGCCTGCACCCTGGACCATATCCTCAGACACCGGGTGGGTTCTAGCATCTTCCGACACCTGTCTACCCGTGCGCTGCAAATCCTCTCCCGCGTGCTTCTCCTCTCCTTCCCTTCGCACGTCCTCTGCACGCTTGGCTCGATCTTGCTCAATCCTCTCCTGCTTCAATTGAATCTGCACAAGTTGCTCTTGCTTAACGTGTTCCTTCTCCTGTAGTCCCTTCTCCAGTCGCTCCCTCTCCCTTTCTGCGCGTGCCCTCTCCAGACGTTCCCTCACGACGCGTTCTTTTTCCGTTCGCTCCTGTTCAAGACGTTCCTGCTCAAGACGTTCCTGCTCAAGACGTTCCTGCTCAAGACGTTCCTGCTCAAGGCGCTCATTCTCTACCCGCTTCCTCTCCACAAGCACTCTCTCCAGCTGCTCATTCTCAAAACGCTCCTTCTTAGCGCGCTTTTTCTCAAGTCGCTCCTGCTCGAGACATTCCTGTTCGAGACGTTCCCGCTCGAGACGTTCCTGTTCAAGACGCCTCTGTTCGAGACGTTCCTGCTCGAGACGCTCCTGTTCGAGACGTTCCTGCTCGAGATGTTCCTGTTCGTTATGAACAGCTTTCTTATTTCGTACATGCTCCTGTTGATGATGCTCCTCCGGCTCCTCCATAAACCTCTGCTGCTGCTTCAGTACTGCTATCGCATCCGCATGGATCTCCTGCTGTTGGATCAACGTGCTCAAAACATGCATCGCTCGTCTTTGAGTATCCTCGTCCTTGTTTGTCATTTGGATCGTCTTGACCAACCCAATTGTGGGCCAGACCCGAGAAAAGACCTTAAAGCTCTGGTTCGATAACGGGTCGTCGGTAACAGAGGTCATCAGGTTGTCGATCGCCCGGACGATATGGCGCTGGACATCCTCCATGCCTGGAACTGTTCTCCATTCCGAGAGTTCCTCATCCTCCTGCTCTCCCTCATCGGCGTTGCCGCTGCAATTGCTTTCGTTGGCAATAGTCATTTGGTTCAGTGCACGATGATCTTGTCCCAGGATATCGTTCTCTGAGGGCGAGTCTGTAGGCGTCAGGTAGCCTGGGTTGGCACGTCCGAGTGGTTGGCTACCCTCATCATTCATAAAATCGATCGTGTCCTGCTCTGGAATCAAAAAAGACTCGGTGATCTCTTGATCCGTGGCAAGAGGGCCTTCTCGTTCTAGGGTGAGTGCGCCAATGAAAAGGAGGGTCGGAATAACATTGTTTCTGGCGCGACGAACTGGGGGAGGCGGTGAAGAGTAGCGGTGCTGTTGCGAAAGGTAAGAACTATCTGTGGGTCGGCTCTCAGAAGACGAGTTGTACGCTGTGAGAAGCGCCAATTTGTTTTGATCTGCAAGGGATTTAGTAAACAATGACTCGTTAGGAATAACTTCTACTCCTTCATTCTGCTTTGACAAAGAGGCAGCAGAACCGCCGTGCTTACCGTAGAGTGCCAGATTCGCGACAAGTCGAGCAACATGTCTAGTGAAAAGAGAAGTACATCCTCTTAGTCATCATGGGACGAACTCCTCTACCGAAACACAACTCACTGTGTCATCAAGCATACCTTTCAACCTCGCGTTGATGCGGGAACATGCCGACGACAGCACAAGTTACACTGAGAAGATCCATATGTGACATCAAGATCTCCTGCGATTCCGTGTTCGTGGCCAGGTTGGCGAGCGCACAGCAGGCATGCGACACCGCATCGGCCAACGTGTTGATTCCATTGGGATTTGATAGGATATGATTGTCTCCACTGATAGCCGTATGGATGACTGACAGCAAGGCAGCTGCACCAGACCCCTTGACGATATCTGGCTTGTATCGGTCATTTCTTAGGGACAAATAGGCCATCGTCTTAGAGACATATTTGACCACATCCAGATTGGTTGAGTATAACAGCTGTACCAACCGGTTGATCCTCTCCGGTTCATCCACAATAAAAGCCTGATTCGACACATCCGCCGTAATCATAGAGATACATTTGGCTGCGAGACCCTGCATACTTTCCAAACGCGCATGGAACACATCGTCCATGGAAAGCAGTATTCCTTCGTTGGATTCAAGGCCTTCGCCTAAATAACTTTGGTTTCCTTGCTGGGATTGGTGGTTTTCGTCAATACTTCCTCTTGGTTGGCTAGCCGAATTCGTTGTAGATTTTTCTCCGCTGCGCTCGGATGCATTGTTTTCCTGAGACATGGTCCTGATAGCCTCCTCCATGGCGCGAGTGCGGATGCCTGTCGGGAAGTATACACAAAGGCACATCAGGGTATCAATCGCGCCCTCCATGACTAACTGCTTCGCGAGTAGCTCTATAGTGTTATGTATGGATGTTTCCTTACGTTAGCAACCAACATCTTGAGATAGTAGCGTACCTCATCACAGATGCATGAAAACTTACTGTCAGGCACCATTTGAGATACAATATGGGTAATATTCATGAGGACTACGGCAATGGTCTCGATCCGTCTTACGCCCTTGGTATGCACTGAAACCATTGACGCCATTCGAATCAAACCCATGGGTGGAGAGGGGGGTCGAGCAGGCGCAATGGCATGCTGAACGTACGCAGAGACCAGGTGAAAGAGTCTGGGCATGGCTCGCTTAGCGACAATGACGCTCTGAATGTGCTCTATGATTTAGTCGAGGAGCTGAAGACATTAGAATAAAAGATGACGAAAAGCTGTATAGAAGTGTTTACTTCAAGAGATGCTGTTCACTTACTGTGCTCTGCTAGGGCAGCCAAGGAAGAAGTAGCGAGGGCGTGCAGTTCATAACCGTGAACCATGTTGCACAGGTAGATTGCGGCGTCCAATCCACCGTGACTCAATACGGCTTCGATTACTTTTTCTATCCAAAACCGTGATTAATTTAGAGAGTCGAGGTCAGAAACGTCCAGTTCAAAAAAAAAAAAAAAAAAAAAAAAAAAAAAAGCGCCATATTATAGCTGCAGTTCAAGCGGCTGACTTGTGTGTTACCATCATTAGTTTCGATGAGTTCATAAAGGCCACGAGCGCCATGGATCTAAATTTTATAAGGAATAAGATGAGTAGGATGATCATGACAACTGAATCGATGTTTGGCAGTAGGGATTGGTTAAGTACCTGTGTGGATGACCCAAGATCATCAGAGACACAGTAGGCAACAAGGTAGGCGACATTGAAGCAGTCGTTGCAAACCCGCACAGCTTTAGTGTAGCCGAGCTGGGGCAGGGCGATGCTCCGAGAGCTGCAGTCATGGCACAACACCTGTCCGCTAGATGCAAAGACAGCAGATGTTAGTCGACTGTGCCTTCGGATAGGCAAACTTTCTTTTTAACCAAGAAGACAGCTATGCGCTGCTTTACCATTGTCGGCAGTGATGCTGTTTGGAATTGGGTTGCACGAGATAAGAAGGTGACACAAAAGAGAGAAGATGGTTAATTACACTGGGACAATCATGGTGAAAACATGTGTTCTACTCAAGATACGATATATAAGAAACGACCGATAAGTAGGGCTGTTTGACAGGGATCAAAGAGGTGAGGAATCCTATGGAATAACATGTACGTAGGGCGGACTTGAACATGTAGCAGACAACGTCCTTTTGAAGGGGCAACATCGCGACCCGCCAAATGGAATTCCACCGAGAAAAGGGAATGAAGAGCACATCGCCCTGACGCGTTCGTGCTGTCCAATGGACGGCTTCAATTAATATGAAACGCCTTTGTTGGATATAACTGGCAGACAATTCGACGGAATTTGAACTCTGCTTGACCATAGTAATGACAAAGCACGTATCATCCAAATTCACACCATCCCATCCCATGGTCAATCTAGCGAATATCAGGCACATGCATCCATTCCATGCATTCGCAGGCATCAAACAGAGAGTGCATAATAGCCAGGACCCAACAAACCACTGAGTAAATTATGCTGCCATCTTTTTTTTTATCTTCCAATCATCCAATCACGCCAGATATATTCTCTCCTTTTGCTTCCCGCCTCCTATCCAACCATGATCAATCCCATGACTCATAAGTGTCAAAGTGATGTTATTCTCCCCTTTGCCGTCACGTAGTGAATAGATCTGTGTCCATACTCGCTCAAGACAAAAGGTCTAATAGGCCCTTTGGGAATCGCGCCAACATATCAGGGACTAGCCAATGCCGTGTTTGCGCGCCAGGCAATGGTTCGGAATGCAGGGACAAAAAAAAAGGCGCATTCTGGGAAAAGGAGGAATGCACTTCTTTACCTTACGTCGAACGGCGTTGAAGGTTCTCGCGCAAATGCTGCAAGCTGCAGCATCCTGATCTAACACCCACACGGGTCGGACAAGAAGAAGTGTTTGCTCCATCGGTTCATCTGCGTTTCCTCGTGTTCCTCCTTGAACTGGGTTTGCGGCTCCGCCTCCGATAGTACTTGCCGCAGTACTGCCCCGTGCACTCATCATTGGTCCAGTAATCGACCGCGCTCCAGTCGGCGTTAGACTGGCGTAGCGCGCGGTGTCGAGATGAGACCCCTGTTGTTGACTGGGATGTTGAGGTTGCTGATTTTGTTGACTAATGTAATACTGCTGCTGATGCAATTGCTGCTGAAGCAGCTGCTGGGCAAACACGCGAGCCTCATTCAGCGCAATCATTTGAGATGGACTTTGCACGCGGCTCTGAGGCAGAGCCTGGCTTTGTGTCTGATGATGAGCCTGAGAAGGGTGTCGCGGTTGCGGTTGAGCTTTGACACATGAGATTGCTACATTCCTGTGGTTCGAGTGCGAATGACCTGAGGCTGAAGACGAGGGGGAGGCTGAGGTGGGAACCGACCGCACACTGATTGCATGCAGATCAGGAGACGCACCGGTGTTGCCGGTGTAGTCTCGAGTGTTGCTGTCGGTATCAGTAACATGATCGGTGTCCGGCAGAGATCTTTTGTGAAAGCTTGCAAGGGTCAGAGAAGACTGAGGCGCGATAAAACGGCTGGGGTGTGGATTTGTTGGACTACTCTGAGGACTGGATACAACAGAATCGAGTTCCTGCTGATGCTGCTCGTGGTGCTGGTGGTGCTGATGGCGTTGGTCGCTTGGGACAGAGAGGATGTTGTTGTTGTTCTTGCTGGTACAGGATGGTGTGGGAGCTGCAGTCGTCCGTTTCGCGTGTTGGTCAGTATGCTGAGGACGAGATGCTGGCATGGGACAGTAAGCTGGGGAAACTTGCAGAGAATAAGGATTCTTCGTTTGCTAACAACGGTTTATCAACGATGGACAGACCAAGGGAGAGGAACTCGTTGCTGGGTTTGGATAGAGTAGGCCGCGCGTTTTTCTTGCTCTTTCCGAGGGACAGGCGGGCAGCGGACTGAGTGCGATCGGAGGGTAAGGAATGTGGTTCCTGGCGAAGTAATTAATTAAGGCGAGCAAAGTAGAGGTAGTGTGCTTTTCTTTTTTCTTTATGATACTATCTCTCTGTTTAAAAGTAGAAGTGCGGGTACTGGAGATGGGGCTGTGGTTGTTGTTGTTCAAGGAAAGAAAAGAAGGAAGGAAAGAAAGGAAGGAAGGAAGAAAAAAGGCGGGACGGGTGGAATCGATTTGAATGGGGATGATGAGGTTGAGGGTTGGTTGATGACGCCTGTCCAGTCCTCCGGCATATCCGCCCTGCTGTTACACCGATATGTCATCGCGAAGGGCAAATTGCAAGCACGTACATGACAGTTCTACGTGGTGGTCAAGCTGTCCTATGACTGGCGGCTGGCATGACCAGAGTGGGTGTATTTTTAAAATCTGCCTTTACTGGTCCAATCCTCGTGCGCCATAACATTCCTATGCTTGCGTCTTATTTGCGTGGACATCCCTACACAATATATGCAAAGTTCCATCCCTTCCCTCCCCTTCGCATCCACAGGTTTCTGTGCCATGGGCCCATGGATACCAGTAAGACGATCCTCTCCCTCATCACTGGGCACACCCCATGTCCATCCAATGGCTGATACAACTGTCGCACTTCGCTGTATATGTCTGTATATAAAAATATCTCGCCAAAGGAACCGCATCGTGTCCATCTGGCCTTGTTCCTGGTCCTCTGGATTTCCCTGTTGCTCCTTTATTAACTTCTCTCATCGCTCTCACGCCATTCCAAAGCAGGAGATCATCCTTCGCAGATGTGGGATACCAAAGTTAAATATATTTCTCCTGCATTGAAGTGCATCAGTACATGTCGATGAATCACCCTGTTCAAAGGTCCTTACGGGTCGGCTTGCGAATACGGGTGCTATTACGAGTCGAATGTGTATCTGGATCTGGTGTTACCGGTTTCTTGCTGCTAGCCCTTTTCCTACCCTGATTGCTCTTCTTTACAGACTCCTCCTCTTCATCTTCCCCATCCTCTTCCGCTGTCAGCGCCGTCTCTGCCAACACCTTTGCTGGTCGCCCGCGTCTTCTCAAAGGACGATGGGGCGCTGTATCGTCCTGGCCTACCCTGGCCAACCCAATGGACTCGTATTCATCGTCATCGTCGTTCTTCTTGGAGACCGCTGCTTTGGACTGAAGCGAACTGATCCAGCTCAGAGGCACTGAGCCGTAGGAGGCTATATCCGCATTCTGGCCCAGCAAAACCGTGCACATAACCAGGATGGTCATCGCCTTTGCATCCTGCGGTTCAAGCAGCCCACTCTTGAAAAGCGGATATTCTGCATCTCCTCCACGCAGTAATCCATGGAGTTGTGGAGAGGTCGATGCGGCATAGAAAAGCGCGCTCAATAAAGCCGCCTTCATATCGTATGTGGCAGAGTGAACGAATGTGGGGGTAGAGAGCGTCCATTGGTGCGTCTTCATCTTGAGCAGATCTGCCCACATACCGCCGCCCGAGCCAGCAATCATACCCAGCAACAGCATCGCAAACCAGGGCTCGCTTACGCCTCCTGCACCACCCTGGTGGCTGTCTGCTGCAAAGCGCATCCTAGAGCCGTCCACACCCAGCTTGGCAATCGACAGTGCTCTCAGAGATCCGTCAGCGATAAGGAGGATAGGATTAAGGATCGCGGGGGGGACCATGTCCTTTAGCACATCGTACAGGAACGTGTACTGGACCAAGACGAAAGACAGAGCGTATGTTGGGACCGTTATGTTGGAGCCGAGCCATGAGGGAGGCATACCAAGTAACATGCCTTGTATAGGCGACCGATAACACGAATAAAAGGTGTATTGTTAGCAACTGCACCGGCATGCATGTTAAATACGCGACGCGCCAGCGAAGGAAGCACATCGAAGATGCAAAAGCACTTACTGGCAGTGAAGCCGCCGCCAAGGGACATTGTGAGGACGGAGAGCAGGGCTTGGCCCCAGGGTACACGAGCAGGCCTGGTTCCTGTGCCGTCCCTGAGGGACTGCTCCGCAGCATGCTCCAGGGCCTGACGGTATGCCATGGAGACGCGGATGCCATGGAGCGCAGAGAAGATGCTGAGGGGAAGCAGGGCGTGATGGAAGGTCAGCGTGGGTAGCTCGACCAGGGCGGAGGCCCATTGCGAACTGAAAAGGGCCATTGCTGTTAAGAAGAGGTGTCTTGTTTTATTGCTTTTTTGTTCAAGCTGCGATGGTGGGAATGGTGGGGTTGGTGCGGAACCCCGAAACGCGGTGCGCGTGTCTTGGGAGGGCGCTCACCCCTTAAAAGAAATAGCGGGCGCCCTAGTCTCGCAGCCAGACCCTTTCATTTTACGAGGGTTGGAATCGAATTCCTTCGCCACTCAAATGAGGGTCTGGGTTCAAAGATGGACTTATTGACAGGGACGTCGTAAAAATAAAAAAGGCAAGAAATTAAGGGTCGCGGTCCTTGCCCTCGCCTAACCAAACTGAACCACGGCCATATTACCTTGGCGCATGTTCCTCATCCCATCGTTCCCACACACCTTACCTTAGCTCCATATCCATATGTTTTCAATTCGTCTCACACTAGCCCCCTTGACCAGTATCTAGCCCTTGTCTCCAATACCCATCACTACTCTCCGTCGTGCCCATAAAGTTCAGTACGGTTTTCAAATATGGCCAGCCAGTCTTACTGGCGTTTTATAGAGGAGCATATTACTGTAGACGACAACGGTGAGGCTTGTATGGCTTCTGTGCAGGCCAGTACTCCCACTAGGAAAAGGAGAAAAAAAACAGGGGTCAATGAAACCCGAGAGCGTTCACTTTTAAACGTTTTCGACGCACTGTACAACAACAACCTCTCCTTGCGCGAGTTTTTAGTTGCTGCCTTCAACTCTCGCCAGGAAATCATTGCTCGCAGGGTTACTAAATTTTTACACTACTGGTGGGCCTGCCACCATTATCCGCCTTTTGAGAGAGAAGTTGGAGGGAACAGATAGCGACTCAACTTTTGCAAAAGAAGCGATCGATATTGTAGCTGGACGTGTTCAGGCAGATCTCGACAATGCCACCAAGGATAAATCTTTCAAGCATCCAGCAAATTCGATATCCCGCAAAGCTATCAGGAGGTTTTCGCTGGGTCATATCAGATCCTCGCTCACAAACTCAGCCCCACATCTCACACTACTTCTGGAGAAACTGCTACCACAATCGGCTGGAGGGTTCCAGTCATCTTCGGCCTGGAGACCGCGCAGCCTTTCAGTTCATGACCCAATACCTCCTTCTACAAGAGAACGGCCACCGTGGCTCTCAGTATCGTTCTCGGAGCCTGATTCGGATACGGCGTCAGAGCAGGATACAGCATCAGAGTCGAGCTCAACCTCAAATCTCCATTCGGACACAGAACCACAGTGCGAACAGGATTCAGACTGGGAGGACGAACCCGATCCGGAACAAAAGAGGGATCCTAATTCTTTCGTGGTGACCGTGGGTTGCATGTTGTTATTCATGAAGAACCCACGATCGAATTGCTTCCAAATGATGATTGGTATGAGGTTTGATCATTGGTATTCTCTTTAATCGCCTCTCTGCATGGATATATCATTAACCATTTTCTCCTTCTTTAGGGATTCATCTGCGAGGCCTATCAGCTCCGAAACGCCTTATACGGCTTTTATCCACGATGGGGCTATGCATGTCATACGTATATATCCATAGCAACCTCCCCTCCTTGGACATTCCTCAGACTTTAAGCAACCTTCTTCTTGAATACACACTCCTACACACACATACTGCAATCTTATTGCAGGCTAGATGCAGTGCGAGATTTATCTTTGACAAACACTTTATTGTCACTCTTGAGCTGGCTTATTCCGCTTGTTGTGATGGTCTTTGGATGTCCAGAAGTGCCCTTCTCCTGCTCGCTTTTGTGTTTGGCTTCCTGGCTGAGAAGGCGAAGATTTACTATGGCCTGCTTCATTGTGTGGAGCATTTGGGTACCGAATTTCCTGTGAAAATGGGTTTTCGATTTCGTTGTTGAATTCCACGAGAATATCGGCAAGTCGTTGTTGCGAGCCTTTTACCAGCTCTGACCAGTCGATAATAGAGCTGATATCCTCAGCGACAGCTACATCGCCAAATCTCGCTGAGAGCAAGTTGATAGCACCGTCGTTCATGATGCACCTCTCATCATAGATTTCTGAGTGCTTCTCCAGCCCTTGCAACTCCATGCTCCTCCAAGCCTCTATTTTTTCCTTCGCCTCAAGTTGCTGTTCCGGACGACGAGTGCGTTTGAACCTTGGAACTGGCCGTTGTCGAGGGGCTTTACGAATCATCCTGTAGTCAGGGTTGATTGGTGCTGGAAGAGAGTTGTGACACAGATCGCAGCAGTTGGTGACATTTTTGTGCTCATTCTCGAATACGTTGTTGAAATGTTTCCTACGACAGTCGGCCCTGATGAAATCGTACAGATCGGCTTCCATGGCCCTGAACTTGCAGGAATCAGTTCGAGGATAGATCAAAATGCCAAGGCCTTGGAGACTTGGATCGCGAGCTGCGCGACCAAGACGCTGCGCGAGGACCGTGATGTTATTTGGAAACCTGAACTGAACGACTCGTAGAATGTCGCTTATATCGCACCCCATTCCTGCAGCTTCAGTGGACAGCAGAATGCGGATCTCACCTCGTTTGAACTTCAACATATAGAGCTCCTTGGTTTCTGTCTTCAGGTCGGCGTTAAAGTAGGCGATTATATCTGACTGACGGAGTGATGGCTGGGAAGCCTCAGCCTTTATTCTCAGATGTCTGTAGACCGCCATCATATCGTTCATCTTGTCGAAATAAACGATCGTCTTCTTGAAATCCAAGAGAAACTCCAGGTCCTCGTGGCAGCTCCTGCTGTCATTGGACACTCGCACCTCGTATCTGACATTTTGGCGATCGGTGTTGGCTTTGATGACTGTGACATCGCTTCCATAGTGAAAACTCCTCCTGACGTCCTGAAGAATTTGTCCATGAAGAGTTGCTGATACCGCCACAAAGGCTGTGCCTGGGGGCAGTCTAGAGCGTAAGTCTCCAATTCGGCTGTAGTCTTTCCTGAACTCCGGACCCCACGTGCTGATACAATGCGCCTCATCAATGACTACTGCCTGAACTCGCGACCTCCAGGCTGCCTCGTTCCAGAGCAACTCGAAACGTACACTAGTGAAGACGGTCTCCGGAGACATAAAAACGGCTCTGTACTTTCCATTAATGAGTTCGTCCTCGAGGTTATGTGGCAATTGCCGGCCACTATGGATGGGTATACTGCTGATATTCACGGCTTGAAGTTTTCTGTGCTGTTCCTCCATTAGTGCTACCAGTGGCGAGATGATGACAATGACGCGGTTCTCCCACAAAATCAGAGGAAGGAAATATGCTAAGGTTTTGCCCCAACCGCAGCCTGCGATAAGGATGCAGTCCTCTCCACGACCGATGTGTTCGGCGACCATCCGTTGTTCAGGCTTGGGAGTGAATCCGAATATGGTCTCGCACCGCTCGTCGCCATTTTCTGGATAGGAAAGGATAATGGGTTGAGTTGCATTCTCCGATTCATTACCGTGCATGATCGTCGAACGGTGACTGAGAGGAGGCCGTGTTTTAGGGCGTTGACCGTGAGCCATGTCAAAGAGTGGGAGTGGGTGTGAATGCGTGGTGAATAGGAAGGTACGGAGTTAAGGTAAGGTATGTGGGAACGATGGGATGAGGAACATGCGCCAAGGTAATATGGCCGTGGTTCAGTTTGGTTAGGCGAGGGCAAGGACCGCGACCCTTAATTTCTTGCCTTTTTTATTTTTACGACGTCCCTGTCAATAAGTCCATCTTTGAACCCAGACCCTCATTTGAGTGGCGAAGGAATTCGATTCCAACCCTCGTAAAATGAAAGGGTCTGGCTGCGAGACTAGGGCGCCCTTAGAAATCGAAGAGTCGCTGATACATCGACCGTTTGGTGGCAATAGGGGTACTAATTATAAACCAGACTACCTCCGCGGCCAGGAACACCAGCATCAGGAACCACGCTACACTCAGTGCCAACAGGGAGCCTGTCACGAACTTCCAATACATCGCCACTATTGGGTACAGGTTTGCGCGCCACATCCAGCTCGACACCAGATGGTTCACAAGCACCGTCATCATCGAGACCACCGCAAGGATCGCCATCCGCACTCCCCTCTGCAGCAGATAGTCACGCCAGTCCTCCTCGCTTGAAATATTGGGCGAGCCCAGCAAGACTGAGGGAGATGGAGGACGCTGTGAAGACCCAGAAGTTGACAACCGAGAAGGAGAAGAGGGCACTGGCATCGGACTTTGTCTCGCAGGAACGACTTGAAGGATGCTGTCTGGGTGATACGCAATCCTCAAGGGCTCCAATCTACAGATTTTGGCACATATTGCGTTCATGCAGGAAAAGAGTAAAGGTTAGGTGATTACACAAGTCGACAAGGTTTATCGAGGGCGCTACGAGCACTTTCCTGTTTCCTTGGTCATCGCTCTGAAACCTCACAGGTCGCCCCTCCCGCTCAAAGCGAGCTGCGGTTGGGAACACATCCTGGACATCTCTGAGGAGGACGCACAGCTTCCCTGTAGCCTGGTTGGATTCAACCTCGATATCTTGGACCCTCCCGCCGAGCTGAAAGCGCTGATGTTGGAGAAGCATGTCTCCTGTATGTTTATGCTGAATGGTTTGAGTTGTTGCTTCAATAGCTTCAGTGGGAGGATGAAGGCTGCGAGGTGAAGGGAGGGCTACTAACATGAGATGGAGTGTAAGAAGAAGTCGCCCAGAGCTGCCATCTGTTTTTAAAGGAAAGGCTCTGTAGAAGGATGTCGGTGCCAATAATCGTTCATGGTGCCACGTAGAAACCTCCAGGGGCAAACACGCGGTTTCGAAATGCTGTGAAGAATCATAAGGATACGTGGCTCCTTTTCCACGTAAGAGTTCATTTTTGGTAGCGGTGAAAAATAGAGACGCGTCCACTAGGAGAAGAAGCTTCTCGCTCGCTCGCTCTCGCCCTCACATCTCTGGTTTCTTTCCTTCTTTGTTATCTTTGACATTATCTTTTTTGCATGAACAGATTAGAATACCTCCAGGATCTAAATAAGAAGGAGGGAGTGATCCTGTTCATCTACGCCGGGTTTACAGCCCTTTCGTGTTTAAATCGATACTTTAACCATGAATGGTAGACTAGCAGCGCACTTGGATGTGTCTACAGGTTGCCAACAAAGCAGCAAACAGATTGAACCAAGAATTTCTCACTCCTCCTTTCCATCAACATGGCCTCATCTGCTGTCTGCCCCCTTATCTCCTTACAGTGCAGAACTACCGCCCTTTTCCCGCGTTCGCGTATGTCCGCACACCCGCATGGTAACATGTTTTCATCTCTCCCTCAATCGGCCGTTGCAGCCATTACTCCATGAGCAAGAGACATGTCCCAGTGCAGCAGAGACATGGCTTGTGTAGGGTTCTTCTCTGTGAATCCAGGGACTTGCTCCCACTCTTTTACGCCCTGTAGAACGGTTGCCTGCAGTAGTTTGAGGCTCCTCAACGCTTCGGCCTCACGTATTGAGGTGCGAGGAGAAAAAATAAATGACCAATGCGTTCACTCAGTCTTCGATCAATGGAACGCTCCTTTCCCACCCCTCCCCCTGGCCCTTGTCTCGCTTTGTTGAGATGAGCATTGACCTTCCTTCCTTCCTTCGAATCAACATAAAAGTCGAGCCCTAGTCCGCATTTTCAATGCTGTTTGACTTGCTCCGCACATTGTAACCCCATTCATTCAGTCCTCCAAGTAGCCTTGTGAAAGAAAGACTAACATCATGACCCCCACTCTCAGGCTATTCGAGCTCGTCGACGGCAAGACCCGCACGATCTCGTTTTCTCCAGCAGTCTGGCGTGCCAAGTTTGCACTCAATCACAAAAAGGTCACATACGAGTCCGTACCTCTCACCTTCCTTGAAATACCAACAGCAATCCCCTCTGCCTGGTAGGCATTCTGTACATTACCCCTGCCATATCTAATGCCTTTCTGATGATGGTTCCCGGTAAACTGGCATTTATGATGACTTGACTAATAATCTTTATCGTTACTTACATTCGTGCTACCCAGCCCAAACGTAACCGCCCCCACCGTGCCGACGTTGCAACTTGAGAGTGGCCAGGGCTTGCCTGACAGCCTCGCGATTGCAGAGTATCTGGAGGAGAAATATCCGGACCGACCCCTGCTCTTTGGCAAAAGCCCATCTGAAAAGAACTTGCAGAGATTCTTTGAGTCGTATGTGCAGTCAAAGATCCATCCAGCCATTCAGCGGATGGTTTTCCAGGACATGTACGATATGCAGGACGCAGAAAACGCTCATTACTTTAGGATGTCGCGCGAAAAGAGCTCTGGAAGGCCTTATCAGGAGATCGCTGGTGACCGAAATGCGAATCTGAGGGAGCTCAAAGAGAACCTGGGGCTCATCCATACTGCATTGCGATCGGGTGGCTGGATTTTAGGAGCGCAGCGTAAGTTGGCACCAGCTGTGTCGTTTAGTTTCCGTTATTTTCTCCTCACATACTCATCATAATCCGTCCTTTGTGTTCGTTCAAATAGCCGGGTGGGCGGATTTTGTTCTCATGGCCAGCTTTGTTTGGTTCAACGCATGTTCGCCCAAGGATTTTAAGGAGGGCATCTTGGAGGGCTTTGACGATCAGGTCATCCCTAACTACTGGATCAAAGTGCAGCAATATGTTTATTAGAGTCCTCGCTAGAAAGTCGCAGGCCAACAACATATTTTTGAAATAGTTGGCTCAATTCAGTAAATAAGGCGCCCTTTTCATGTACAAAGCTGACAGCCAGGCGCGTCCACTGCTGTATGCATGTACCTGATTATATTCTCAATTATGAAAGAGATGACGGCGCCGGTAAAGGTGCAGAGACTAGATGACCATTAAAGCCATAGATGACAAGAGGACGATTAGACGCGACCATGGGGTGTCTTGTGAACGTGCAAAAAAAAAAAAAACTGCTCCCAAAAAGGCGTGTATTCATTTCAATTGAAAGGGGCTCAAAAATATGTTGGCCCGCGACTTCCTGGCGAGGACTCTAATGGCCACTGAAATAACCTATTCCGTGCATTTTAATAAGCATTTTTCGATTGATAAAAATTCCGTAATGCACCCACATAAACGGCCGTTGACTAAGGTAATATGTCCGCAAGTCAAGGGGCAGCCTGCTGACTGAAGAATGTGTGCAATTGACCGGGAGTGCCTCTGTTGATAAATGAACGCGCTTACTCAAGAGCGGCACGTCTCGTTTCCTCCATCGGCTTTTGTGGGCTGAAACCGCCTTTTGCCATTTGTTTAGGTCCAGCTCTCACCCATTGGCGGTTCTCGGACAGACCCACATTATGTGTGGGTCCTTCGGTACACACATCGTTAACATGCACACATATTTGCATTGTTTTCTGATGATGTTATTAAAGGCCTTACTCTTGATAGTTACGATGGTGATTATTGGTATGGTTCAGTGCAACTGGACTTGAGGCCCGCTTGTAGTGTGCAGATAGAAAGTGTTTGATCTAGGGACAAAGAGAGCGCTTACTCATTTTTGGCCCCACATCTGCAAGGTCGTTTCATTGACAAATGCGATTCAATATCCCCAGGACGTTCAAAAAAGCGCTCATGGCATCATAATATGCAACCGCCGCTTACTGTAGAGAGAACCTTCTGTTCGCCATGAGCCCCGGGGTCGGGTCAAAACGACAGCTGCGGCCGATATAGCCTAGTATTGGTCCGTCCCCAGATATCAGCCACTCATAGTCAGATGGACTATGTTCGCTGCCGTGACAGCAGAGGCCAGTTTCTGAAGGTCACTCATTGACGTGTCCCATCGCAAGGTAATCTCCAGCTCAAGAACGCCTCGCGCCTTAGCCAGCGCCTCGATGAACTCCTTTGCCGACGTCAAAGACCTCAGCTGCATGTAGATCTTTCCTCTTTCTTCATAGAACGTCCCATGATTGGACTCGACAACATCTCACAGCTGCTGCGCTGTCGACTCTCGGTAGTTCTTACGGTAGTGATCGATGCACATCCATTTAACATGACCCTCCTTGGTGACAATCCTGTACAGGTTGCCGAGAATGCGACCTTTGTCCTTAATCTTCAGAAATGACTCCAGCTGCCGCAGATCTGCTCCTTTCAAAACCAGTTGATTCAACCCACTCTGCCGGCCGGAGATGTGCCTGAGCGGAGAATCAGCTGCTTCGCCACTGTCCTTTGCGATGATATCTATTGTGCCCCCGCTGATGCTGGGGAGCAGCGTGATTGTCCCTTATTTACCTTTTATAATGTGCGTGTCGTGAACCTGTCCATAGCAGGCTGTGTGGAGAATAAGCAACCTTGACAAGGCAAGTTCGGATGTTAGGAACACTGTTCAATCGAACTTCGTTTCCATTTTCTTCCTCCTAGCTGCCTGCCCAAGGAAAGAAGGGAATACCGGGTGTCGCCACCAAAACTCTATAGACAAGCTAGACTCATAGCAAGCGATCGCCGCCATCAACGCTAATATGGAAGACAAACAGGAGCGTCATTGCCTTCGCCCCTTCAGCACAGAACATGCAGATAATTCACCCGAAGGCGAATTTTCATATGCGAAGGATGGATACCAGGGAGCACAAACTGTACCTAAACGGACCCAAATATGCCCGAGATGTACTTTTCTTTGTCAGGAACCTCGGCGCCACGTGGGACCCAATTGCTCGCATTTGCATTGCCCTTGTTGGTTTGTGCCCTTTCCCCTCCTTCTCTTCAGCACCGCTGTCTTTTTTTGGTGCCAAACAGGTGATCCGGGGCCGCCAAGGAATATATTAAGAACGTATATTTGTCATTGTGCATTGTGTTTCTGGTCTCGAACCCAGGACAAGAAAATAAAAAATTAGGGTCGGATGTCCGCTTTGGATACACAAAAGGAGAGAAGAGCCTTCGCCCATGAGGCTCCATTAGCAGGAATGATGTCAGGATAGGGAATATGTCGTTGCCAGCAGCAACCGGGCACAGGTATGCATGTGCAAATAGACTTCTGTACTCCTTGGCACTTCCATGGATGATTGTGAGGTCATTGTAATCGTGCCCTGCAGATCCTCCCCGGCAGTAAACTATCAATTTTAACCGATCCCCTATGCACAACATTGATCGACTTATTTAAATCGCCATCCCGCCTCCGATATTTAACTGAAATCGCCGCCTTCCCAATACCACATCTCCATACACACACGCAATCTCTCTCGCACACTTTGCGTTGCCATCATCTTCCGCTCACCGTCCTGCATCCTGTCGCCGGCCTGCGTAACTACACCAAAGCCTACACCCAAAACCTACACAGCTCCTCCTTCGAGGTTACCTTTACTTGTGCGAACCCAGCAATCACAAAGTCGCGCAGAAATCACCACCGACCTTTACCCAACCTCATCTTCCTACGACCTTGATCTGATAAACCCCACAAACGCCTCTCATCTTACTTGTTTCCTCGCGTTCGCTCTTACCACTTCGGCGTGTATTTACCATCTGCCTCCTACTCACCATACCCTCCCATCATACCCTCCCATCATACCCTCCCATCATATACTTCAGCCTCGTTCTGCTTAAGCAACTGCGCCAAAATATTTTTATAATTTTATTCGGTGGTTCATTAAAATTCTTTACGCACGCATGGTCTCTGTCCCAGGAACCATTTTAACCCACATTCCCGCCCCATTTCTCGCGGATATGCACCTCCTTCGCGACCGGTAAGGCCTCATCCAAGTTTTACAAGAAAATGTTGTGTTCTTGATACAGTTGTGGCATAAAGACCGCGAATGATATGAGATATTTCCACGCCGTCCGGCAACCAGCTTCATGATATTGGTCATACGCTATTGTGCTACTCCTAGCCTTGTACCTGATCAACGGCTCTACAAGTCCTCAAGTTCACCCTCTCATCAGGACTCTCTTCCTCTGTCCCAATCACCTATAGGCCCGCTCAGAGCCGTGTCCCAAATCCAGAGGATTCATTATTGTTATCACCTCGATCGATGAAACAACTGACCTGCCAACCACCACTCTCGGGATTGCAATCAGCAAATTCCTCAAGGGAGTTTCACGGCCTACCACCCGAAATTCTTCAGTACATTGTCAACTTCCTTCCCTTTCATGACCTCGTCAAGGTGTACACAAGTCTACCAAAGATCCACCGACCCATTATTCAGCAGCAGCTGGACTATTCGTTGGCCTTGATGATCCTGACTCTCGAGATTAAGCAGGATGCTCGAGGGCCGACTGACCGGAACACAACAACGACAACATCCGCAACGGCTTCGCTTCCGACGCAATGGAGGGTTACGGCTTTCGATGCAGACCGCATGTGGGTCGAGTTTCAGCTGGAGGCAAAGCTCGGCATGGAGATGGCAGAGAGGCGTCGACAAGAAGTCTTGCAACAGTATCAAGAGTTTTCGTCAAAAAAATCTTCATCCACGGCGCAGAGGTGCAGAAGGGATTTGCGCGCTCAGAGTAACTCGACTTCAATCCCGATATTGTGCGACCACACTCGATCGAAGGCTCAGTGCCAATACCCTTCACTCGCGGACGATATCGAAAGCGTGATCTGGAAGTCGCGTCGCAGAAGAGACGTATCAGATCGCCGAAGAACCGTGTTCGAGTTCGCCATGAGCCCAGCTGATGCACTGGATCAGGAGGACCACGTCGTAGACAGTAACTTTTTCCATTGCGACAAATCGTGTGCTCTTCCAGCCCTGGAATCTGCGAGGATCTCCTTCAAGGCTCACAGGAACACGCCCGCGCGTTGGATCACCTCTTGGAATGATCATTTGAACGAGTTCTGTGGTACTTCCATGAGTACAACAGATAGCTCTCCTGTTGGGCGGCCCTCATTCTTTGAGGTAGAGTCACCTCGAGCAAGAAGCGCGAGAGAGAGGAAGGCAGCCTTTATGCAGGATCATGTTTTGTTGCGAGTTTTGTCTCGGATGACGGACACAGAGGCATCGAGTGCAGTCCAGTTTTTGCCAAGAGCTGTTGAGCTGGATACGAGGAACCTAGGACAAAGACGCACCAAAGCTGTAGTGCTCTCTGAAAAGCCGTGGCTGCCTAATCATCGTCTCGGGCGCCAGCGAGAGGAAGAGAAGCGCAGGGCTGCGTCGTCCAAGGTCAACCGTCGGCACTCATGGCACCCTGAGAGCGTGAGAGAGCAGTTGTCGTTTTTCACACGCGAAAGTGAGCAATTCTCGACCGCATTAAAAGGACTCCTCGAACGGTCTTCTTGGAACGGCTCTGGACCAAGGGGATGGCTGTCATATCCTATAGGTGCAACGACCGAGATGCCGGACTACCACTACCACCGCTGGCAAGACGAACCGTTCGTTATAGGTGGATGGGATGCCGCGGAATGGATGTCTGCGCTGTCGAGTATGGCCACGTCCATATACAGGTCATGTCGTGAGTTCTCTGGACCGCGTTCGGACAAGGGCATTGCTATCACTACGGCCTCTTGTGGACATCTGGAGGAAGAAGACACAGCAGAAGAGAAAGAGGCCAAGGAGGAGGATGCGCTATTTGAATTCACATACGACGTTCGGCATAACTATATCCTCAGCAATCGACTCGAGGGCGAACGAGTGGTACGGCCAATCCGTTTCGCGTGCTCGCTTGATTTCTTCGTCCCCCAAGGACAAGGCGCATAGGAGCCACGCCTCGCATCCGTACTCCCCTTCCATGGATCACATAGACATAGACGCATCTTATTACATACAATGCACTTTTCGTATTAATGCTATGGTCAAATAAGTGTTTTTATGTCTCCTGACGAGAAGTGCGGAAGAGCGTTGTTGGTGTCTAAGAAAAGTAGGCCCATCCTATGCAGTGAACGTGACAAGGACTGCGAGCGCCCAGAGCACAGAGCCCAAGGTCTGTCTGTTGTTTGTCATCTCTTTCCTTCCCTCATTCATTTAACCCACAGCAAGGACCAGCGGCCGACTCGCACGAGCAGGACAGACGTGCACAGATACTCAGTTACTTGGGAATACAACGAACGCTGGAAACACAGGATCAGTCCCCATCGTTTTTGATAGGAATCCACACGACACCATGTCTGGAGGCATCACTCTGGCACTGATCTCTTATGCAGGCACAGGAATCGCTTTTCTCTTTTCCACGCTGTCGCTTGGTAAGGCGTCTGATGCACTTGAGTCACTAGAACCCATATCATCTTGAAGTAGAAACAGGGTTATAGGCTGATCATGGCTTCTCTTCTCCTGGCTACCATAGCATGCGGCCTCTACTACTTGGCAGAGCTCGTGGAGGAGTATACAGTCATGACAAAAAAAATTATCAAAGGCTTGACGCTGGTACGTACACACCAACATTGCTTTGGCGGAAAAGCTTTTGGACACAGCTGAGCGATAGTCTCTTGTCATTATCCTGGGGCCTGACCAAAGAACGCTGTTTTTAGACGGTCGTGGCGCTTCATCTGTTGCTCTGGCTGCTAGACGGATTGCCGTTCACGAAGATTGTGTTCTCGCTCGGCTGTCATGCAGTCTACAGTCTGAACTTGGCCAACTTTCCCTACATCAACCTCCTCAGCGCTCCTTTCCTTCTTAGCTGCGGTATGTGCTTTGGGTCTTTGAAAGGGAGGGATGAAGAAAAGAAAAAGTCAAGCAGACGGCTCACAATGATTTCATTTGTTGTCACCATACGGTTAAGTACTGGTTCTGGCGGATCATTTCATGTGGTTCAAGTACTTTACAAGGCACTATTACAGCTTCATGACGATCGCCAGTTTTTTCGGTATTTGCGTCTGGATGGTGCCATTCGTCTATTTCATCTCTCTAAGCGCCAACGACAATGCACTCCCAAGCTTTGACAAATCGCAGGAAAGCAAACAAAAGAAGAGCGGCATTCTGAAGAATCTCTTTGGCGCGATGCTGAACAAGAAGGACTCTTCGCCAGCGCTCGTGGAGACACCCAGCTTTGCCGGCTTTGGAAGTTCTTCACTATCCCAGAGCCACCTCACTCCCTCAACTTCGTCGCCCTACTCCTCGTTTAATCCCGATAAGAACCAGCTCCGACCGGATTATCCCATCTCCCGTCCAAGCAGCAGCAACAGTAATTATGGACACGGATATCAGGGCAGTCAGAGCCCTGATCGCCCAGCCAGCAGCGGCAACAGTTATGGAGGACAACAGCAATACGGAAGCAGCAGTGCAGTCTACAGCAACTCATCGTCGACTGTAGGAAACCGCTTTTAAAATATAAAGACAACTGCATGCAATGTTTATTTGCGTAGTGCTTTCATGATTTTACTTGTGCGTTCTTCTTTATCGTACAAATACTGGACTCTGGTACTAGTCTGGCGCCTTAGTCTTCTGCAAGCAGCGCCTTTAAATCGTTGCGTGTCCTCTGCACCTCGCTGATTGGCTTTCGTCGCTGTCCTAGCGCCGGAACTGGGACTGGTGATGTTGCCGAAGAGTTTTGTGGCTCCTGCTTCAGATACCGGCCGGCTATGCAATTACAAGTAGATTATGAACCGAGTTCATGGGTTTATGATATAAACTAGTATCGATATGGGCGCCTATAGCATAAACAAATGACATGAAAACATACCCTTCTGGCCGGTCTCTTCTTGCTTCACCTCAATGTTCCCGTCCAATGTGAGGGAAGCTGGCTTTCTTGGCTCGACATGAAGCCCTGTCATCGTGGACTATCGTTTCAATAAAGATATAAAACGTTAGCAAAAATGAACGAATATCGTATACAAACGATAAAGACTCTCATAACTAACAGCACGCAGCTGCGACGAGCCCTGCCTTTTTGAATGCTTTGAAGTTGGGTACATTCTTCCATTTTTCGTGCAGGACAGTATCCACCTCTGTCCTGTCCTTAAAGTTCGGGAGATTCTTCCACCGCTCAGGCCAATTCTTTTGATCCGCAGCTTCCAAAATCCGAACGCTTACAGATTGATGGTCTGGTTCCTGGCTAGGCTCTGTCGCAAGGCTACCTTGTGGGGTTTGATCCTGCTCTTCTTTGATCCTTCGACGCTTACTCTTGGCCAGCAGGGCCTCGCTCCATTCAGACTGCATGAGTTTACTCTCCTCGCCCTTGGATCTTTCCAACAGCCGCTGGGCTTCTAGCCTTCGCAATCGCTCCTGCTCATCCAGGTTGTCTTTTTGCCGTCCAACCTTCACGTTCAATTTCAGCGCAACCATGTCCTCCCGAACCGCATCAAATGAACTAGGCTTTTTTCTCGACCCCTTGGCGCTAGTTGATGGGGAGGAGGACTGAAAAATCAACTCTAATTTCGTGTCTTCATTCTCCTTTATAAGGCCGACGCGTCTTGGTTCATCAGGGCTGGGTTTCTTCAAATCGCCCTCCATCTCAGCTTCTCGTGGCTCCAAGGCATTTTGAACGGCATCGTCCCCAATAGCGATAGGCCGTCCTGTTCCATCGTGGACGTTTATGCCCAATTGATTGCCTGATTGTCCCTGCTTCTCCGGCCAAGCCGCAGCAACAGGAATCGGCAGACTAGGCGTGTCATTTGCGGTTGGTAATAGTATTGGCTTGTCACTTTTCGGTTCGACAGCGTTCAAAATCATAGCATCATCTTCGTCTTCTAGTCCGTCGAAGAACAACGCCATGCGATCCATCTTTGTCTATGACACCGTCAATAATAGGGTAAGCAGCAGATCAAGCTAAAATAACACATGCATGACAAGTTGGCATCCTGCAAAAGATACCTTCTTTTTGGCTGGTTTCTCAGTCGCTTTGGGGTTTGAAGGCTGAGGCGCGGACAACGTCTCCGATCCAACACCCAGAGTGCTGGTGCCTGTGTGATTCGGTTTCGTGGATGCGGGAATCATTTGTGACAAACTGAATGAGGCTATAGGCGGTTCGTCGTCGTCGTCGTCAACAATCTGCGGATCATCCTTGGTATCTCCAGTGGATGATCCACTTCTGCTCAGAGCTGTGACAGCTGCGGAAAGGGGGACCGCAACAGAAGATGATGGTAGTGCAGCAACATCGGTGATATGTAACGGTTCCGTAAGTGAAGGACTAATTAAGCTGTTTTGAAAAGATCCCGCGGTCTCCATAGCTGGCAGTGGCTCCAGATATTTTGGATTGCAGTACATATCCGTCGACGCGTACATGATTGCCATCCCGATCTCATCCTCGTGTACCCATCGATACTTCATCCTGTTTGACGAAAGAATGACGGAACCACAAGTAGGTCAGATATGAGTCAGACAAGCAGAACGTTTGGAGATGCTGGAGAGATATACCCGATCATATCCTCTGCAACGTACCTTGTCAAAGTGGTGTCCAGTTTTGGGTACGCTTTGGCGACATCTCCTTCGCCTGGTGGACGCAAGAATACGGGTATGATAGTGGCAAAGATGCATTCGCGTATCAGATGTAGCGCATTTGCTGCATCTGCTGTAGCCCAGCTTCCTCCAGCGCATTGTATTACGTGGCTCAGCCCTGAGTACTAAACATATACGAAGAGGCAGCAAGAACATTGTATTCAGTTGTGAGAACATGCCTGAGAGCACAAATGACCGCGGTGGCAGTACGCTACATACTTTCGAAGCTGCGATCGAGATAAAGCGGTAGTCCTTGAGTAGTGCTTTTCGAGTGGCGTTTGGCGTCCATTGAATATCAAGGCATTGCAGGATAGCGGGAACTGGCGCGGGGTGATCGACTTCAAGCGTACGAGCGTCCTTCTGGCCTTTCGAACTCCATGATTCCCTAAAAGAAGTTTCCGCTGCTTTGAGCCAGTCAACGCCCACTAGATGTCCTCCTTCTGCAAGAGCAAGAAACATTTTTTCGCTGCGCTTGGTTCTTCCAACAATTAGATGCGTTGATATGCCAGAAGTCCAAGCCTCCTCCATCTTGCAGTCTAGCAGCAATGGAAACATGACAAAAATGGTCAAGAAAAATGTCATGGATCGAATTCTTTACTTATGTATCATGGAATATCATCCTTACCAATCTCAACCGCGGTTGTGACGATGCCCACCTTGGCCTGGGCGCTCAGTCCTTGAGAACAAAGGCTCCAGTCAACTCTTTCTAGTCGGAATGAGGTCTTTTCACCAACGATCACATCTACGAATCCACCGTAGCCGCGTCCTGCTACGTGCCTCTTTTCTTTAACTGTCCATGTATTGGCGGCATCGATAACGACTTCGGTATCTTTGGCTGGCTCGATCCGCTCATTATCCACGAAGACACCGTGTTTGGAGCTGAGGTCACGGATGATCAGTTTGGTGTGCTCGCCTCGGGTGCGCTATAGCATCAAGAATAGAAGTGATATTCGTGATCAGTCGGCCAGGTCGAAGAACGTAGCTGAAACGTAGTATGGCAAGACAAAATGTTAACTTACAACACTCTGCATCGTGGGCTTGGATACGGTGAGAGCTACATGCCGTCGACCGACCGAAAGGTCACCGTTGCCAAGACATAATATATCATCTACAATGTACCCGATGTTTGTGTTATTTAGTCGCTTTCTTTACCAAGACTAGCTGCTTTGTTAATAATATTATTATTATTATTTGGGGACGGCAATACCTGCCTGCGATCTGCCTTCCTATAGTCAGGGTCATCTCAGGCTTGAGCCAGACACGGAGGCCTTTTGAGATTCAGTTTCCGGTAGAATGGGCAAAAGAGGAATCAGTCTCGACATCTCCACCGCTTGATCGCTCGCCAACTCATGGAAAGCGTACCTGCGTTACGCCCCTGTCCAACTAGGAACCACATATTGTCCTGCTCAACGGTATTCCTGTATGCTGATCGTGCTTTCCTGGTTGCGTGCTTGCTTATGTTATCTTCGTGGAGGGATGAACAGACGATTAACGGAAACGCGGGCGGGCGAAGCGGAGTGTGGGAATTATGTCCGCCACCATTTTTGTGAGGGGTGACTGCCGCCACTACATCTTGCCCCTAGACAACTTTGTTTATTTGTCCCCTTATTCTTTTTATCTCGTTCACTTTTCTCCTGCTCCATTCCCGCAACCGTCATTGGCAGCTTGGGTCCAACATATCATGGTGGATAACACAATCTTCGACTCCCTTTGCGCCGATTTTGAGGACATCTTGTACTCAGACCTAGAAGGTCATGCCTCCGAGCTTCTATGTATCAAATATCTCCAACAAATCTCGGACAGCCGGAGCAAAAAGCTTGTCAGGGGCGTCATCATGGGCGCCAATCTCAGGCCGATTATATCGCTGCATGTCCAGATCACAGAGGCTATTACGACCATGTCAGGAACCCCCCATCCGGTGAATGTCCATTTTCTCCACGTTGCAGCCTCAGCCCAAACCTACATGTCCGAAGAAGCATTGAGGGCCATTGGCGTCGAGGATGCTGTTGTTGTGGGCGAGTCCGTGGACAAGACCAAGACTTTACGGCTCCCGCTCCTGATCAATGGCTACAGGGTTCTTGTGTCGCCGTCGCCGTCAGAGTCGCACTTTGCACACATCAACATTCTAGGTGAAGACTTTATCCATGCTTCGAGAGCGCAGGTGTTTTTCGGTGGAGATCCACCTCGGTTCGAGATCGCGTTTCCATGATCAATCATTGCTTGGATGGCTTTTTGCATTTCTCCTTTAGTCTGTTCTGTAACATGGTTCTCGTAATATTTCACTCCTTTCTTTGCCTTTGTAATCGAGCCCATCATTTGATGTTTCGAATACTTTGATTTATGCCGATTGTAAGTCAAGCGTTTAGCTGCTTTTAGAATGATTGTCTGCGTGCACGAATAGAGGGCTGCACATTTTTTTATCCGTTTGTACTTGGCTGTGAATTCATTGATGAGCAAAGGTACAGTGCCCAAGAAAAAGTCATTGGGAACGATTTTCATTTTGCGTACGAACACCATGTAAACATGAAAAAGTACAAGTGAAAAGACATATTGCTCAGCTTACAGATGAGCTAGAGACATGGGGCCACCACGGTGTTGTTCGGGTTTCTTTCGGCTACAAGCCATGTAATTTTCAAGACGTGTTTCCATTCAAAAATCCAGTTCATGTAAATCAAAACCGTACGAGACATACATATTTTGGTTGTATAATCTCGCCAAAAAAATTTCTAAGTTTTTAAAGTTACGTGCCACGGCCATGTAATGAGAACTTCCTAAGAAACCTGAACAAAACCGTGGCAGCCCCATATCTCGAGCTCATCTGTACGCTGAGCAGCATGCTTCCCCCCTCACACTTTTATATGTTTACGCGGTGTTCGTACGCAAAATGAAAATCGTTCCCAATGACTTTTTCTTGGGCACTGTACAGTGGACTTCAAAACTGTCCAAATGTTTTCAAGTTTGGATTACCAGATGCCATAGACTCACATTGGCAGTACCTTGGTTTTCGATCCCAGTGTGAAGCTATCTTGCCGATGTAGCATGCGCTGGCATATTTTGAAATAAATTAATTTCATTCTAAAGGACTTTTATTAATGCTGACTATTCCATGTCATTTGGACAAGTTTTGTAACCATAGGCAATTTTGGTATACGCTGCGAAATGCAGACCAAATTCTTTGCTCGTTTGTATAAATAATTACCGTCTTTTATTGGCCATCCACATCACCCGCCTCTGATTTCCACGCCATTCAACCATGAAAGCTCTCAGGCCTACCACTGTCAAGAACGTCCTTCGTCTGCTGCAGGATAACAAGTCTTTTCGCGAGGTTGCTACTGAGCTTAGTATATCGAAGTCCTCGGTCCACAGTATCGCTAAAAAGCCGCCGACTACAAGGTCCCATCTGAAGGGAGGTCGACTGAGAAAGTTCTCATACCGAGATGCGTTGTTCTGCGATTGCTATTTCATCGCGGCACAATCAGTACCGCCATCGAAGGCACGAGGAGGTACAATCAGGAAAGCCAAGACCCGGTGTCGGCGAATACTGTAAGGCGCGCCCTCAAGAATATTGGAATGATAGCTAAACGGGCAATCAAAAAGCCTCACCTGACGAAAAAGCAGAAGGAGGCACGTTTGGGGTTCGCGCTGAAGTACTAAGATTGGACCGAGGCCGATTGGATGCGAATAATTTGGTCCAATAAGTCGAAAATCGACAGAGTATCTTCTGACGGCCTGCGCTATGTGTGGATGGATACAGAGGGGCCGTCCAAGGTCAAGGCGAAAGACCGATCCGAAGTTGGTTACGTCGACTGTGAAGCATGGGGACGGTTCCATCATGATTTGAGGATGCATCACCTGGGATGGTCCGGGCTTTTTGGTTAAAATCGATAGTATTTTGGACGCCGAACTCTATATTCGCATTCTCAAGGAGGATCTGTGGGCGACTGTGGACTGGCACAACATTGATCCGCAGCGGTTTATCTTCCAACAAGACAACGACTCCAAGCATATCGCCTAGTCAACCAAGGTATATACTGCGTCCGTTGGATTGACAGAGGCGACAGGAAGAATCCTCGTCTGGCCCGCCAATTCTCCTGATTTGAACCCCATAAAGCACTTATGGGAGCACCTGAAAAGGAAACTACGCGGTCAAGGAACAATTCTCGAAGTGTTGCCTGAACTATGGGAGACAATCATGCAGACCTAGAACAATGAGATACCTATGGAGGTGTGCCGCAATCTAATCCGCAGTATGCTTGGCCGGCTTGAGGCTGTCATTGAAGCAAAAGGCGGCAACACCGAATATTGACGTGCACAATAAGGGCTGGTGACAAAACTGTCCAAATGACAAACGGACTTCTCAGCAATATTACACTGATAAAGGCTCTTTCAATGCCGCTTCAAAAGTCAAAGTACGCTCCTTATCGGCCAGTAAATATACGTCATAAACGTCGTTGGCCCCACAATAACGGCTGAGGAGATGCAATAGTAAATTGGCTGAAATGGACAGTTTTGGGGTCCACTGCATCAGTAGGCCTAGCCAATGCGCGAAGTTGGTTGTCGGGAAAGAAGCTGTCTATTGGTGCCGAGCGGTCGTTTTTGTGCCCTAAATCCACGGCAAAACGCGTCGCTTATTCGCTCATGGGCGCAGGTGGCCTCTCTGGCTGGTAGCATGCATCTTGTACAGCATTACAGGGACATGTTCGAGTCTGGCCCTGTTCATCATTTGATCGATTTGAAAGCACCAAAAAAGGGTACGGCTGTGGTTGTTCCTGTGTATAGGGGAGGGGACTCTTTTTTTTTGGGCTCAAGCTTTGGGCGAAGCAATTCTTCGCCCATTTGACTATGGCGAGACCCGTGCCCAAAGTGCGTCATTGTGTCATTATGAAGTTAACTCTTCCCAAGCAACAGCAACGGTAAGACATCCCTTATCTTTTTAGCATTGCACGTACGACCCGGTGTCAGGATGTTCAATGATGTACTGAGAATCCATCTCTTCGGGAACCACACCACGAAACAAAGTACCCTCATGGACATGGGCATCAACATACAAGGGCGTGATGTAGAGAAAGTGCGGCGAAGGGGGAACGAGTGAGAGAGGGAAATAAAAAAAGACTACAACCCGCTCCTCTTTGAACAAACATTCACCGCGGAAACGAAGGCCACAATGGATATGGACATAATAACGGCGGCTGCAGCTGTGGCCATGGTTGTGACCATTCCAAGCAACAGACAGGTCGCAATCATATTCCTCGCCCTCATTCCCAATCCCATCCTCGTCAATCCTTTCGCTTCTCTTATTGTCGTCCTTCCACTTGAATCTCAAAACCTGTTTGCGGATCTCTTCTTGCCGCCATTGTGCAGCCCACGCCAGACTCATATGTGGCTGAATCGATCAAAACAACACTCCACGCATCCCGTCTTCATCCACTCCTGTAAAAAGTACAACAGTTGCAGCAACACCGAAAGACAGCAGACACAGGGACTAAAGCAGTGCATAGAAAACAGACGTTCTATTCGTGCCTTTCAAATAAAATTGTCGACATGACTCCTCTCTAGCAGAGATCCCCGGCTAAGATAATAACCCCGTTAAGCCCATGGTATCACCATTCCTTACCATTTTGCAAAAAAAAAAAAAAAATCCAAAAACATAAGGAATATCTCTATCCTCACTCCTTTATTCCAGTTGGGGTCTATAATCGAGGTCCTCGAACAATCTAGAACGGTCTATTCTGAGGATATTCGATGGCGCGCCATAGGCCTCTTCTGCATCATGGGCATGGATATCAAATATGTGTCAACTCTCTTGGGTACCTCCACGTCTAGTATTACCAATTGGGTCGGTAAGTAACTACCATATCTTGATACGCCAGCCCCAAGATCATGCCCAGCAGAAAAAAGGAGAATAGCGTGAAATCAAATCTTGTTTAGAGAGCACTTCGAATACCGTATCTCGACAGTTTAAATCGAATCGGCTCGCGCTTGTGCGTCGTTTTTCTCTAGTCTCCAGTAGGTGGCCTTCCATGGCAACGCCTGCGGATAGCGGCCTTGCTTTTGATTTATTCCACAGCACCTCAACCGAAGCAGCATCGCCCGCTATCATTGCGATGTTATACACCCTCCCCATCGCACACCCGACCACGACAATGTCACCAGGATTCTCCTGCACGCTCTCGATCCCGATCTCGTCTGCGGTGTTATCCCGACAAGAGTGTTCTTTCCTGCCTTAGGATATTCTCAGGGAACGTGATACATCCAGGGCGGCTTCGACATCGAATCAACCACCTGCATTGTATCTCCCGACCTGACTTCACCTTACTTCAGCATGTAAGGCCCAGTATTCATGCTCTTTGGGAACTAAGGCAGCGCACAGACACTTGTCTCCGTGCTGGATCTGTCCAAGCAGACCTATGTCCACAATGCAACCAGACTGACTGTCCATTTTTGCAACCAAGGTCTTGTCCATGTTTGGAACACGTATGGCTTGATCTATATCAGAGGAAGGTACAAATCCGCGGCGATCGACACAATGGACGTCTACAACCCTCGCTTCCAATCCCGCCCACGCCTACTACCATAGGAGATTCAAGCACAGGCGGGATAGACACTCCTCTAATCCAATAGTACTCTGCAACGTGATGCTTAATGAGGTTCAATGTTATTTATTTTTGCGGCCAACTATCAACATTCGTAAGTGCGTACGCGCCAGGAGCCATCTACGAATGCCTGCCAGCGTGGAGTATCTTGAAAGCCACAGGAGCATCGTCGTCTGGGGAGGGGAAATTCCTGCATGGCGATCGGTAATAAAGCGGTAATATATATATATGTATATATATATGAACGACCCTTCTTTCTCGGAACTTTGCATCCTCATCATTTTTATCAGCCTGTTTTTTCACCTAACACAATACTTGACCAGGGCAACGACAATGTGCTCATTGGTATTTATATTCTGGACTTGACCATCCTCAAGTGGAGGAACAGGCCTAAGCTAGCGATGGGCACATGGGTACGGCCTGTGCCATGTACGACGATGGATTCCTGACCAAAGGAGGGACTATCACACTGATGCAGACATAGAACCTAGTAGGATGCACTCTGGACTCAACTACAGCCTAGCGGAACCCTGTCACATCTTTCTGTTGATATGTTATCTCTAGGTGCCAAGGATCTGTTTCTGTACACGTTTTTCATGATTCCAGGCCCGCAGTGTCCAATCTGACAACCTTGCAGCGGCCCTCGGCATACAATTGGAAGATGCCTCGTCTTTGCAAGGTCAATGCCCTTGCGTTGGTCCTTGAGTTAAATATATCCGCTGAAGGCGTGGGTACAGTCCGCATTAGCATGTTTCTCTACCGCCACAAGGCGACAAGAACCAGCTGCAGATTCATACACAAGAGTATAGCGACCCTACGGCAGATTCGAGAGACCACGCATTGATTCGGACAGATGTCCCTGGCAAGTATGAGGAAGAACAGGGAGTCGATAGATATGCGTGGTAGCACACGAAGGGTCAGGGCAAAAAGAGAAGGAAGAGGCAGCTTGATACCAATCATAAAATCGAAATGCCTCCAAGGGACGCGATGAAGGAGCCAGCTTTGATATCAAACTCCATGACCCAACCTACAGCTGTTTTTCCGGAGCGTCCAGCAATAAGGATGCCCCTAGACTCAGCTGCACTCTTCCACACCAACGATTATTCAAGAGCAGAGCAGCCAATCCTTACCATCATAGTAGTGAAACATAATAAAGTTCTCGAAAATAGGGACGCTCGTAACATGTATGACCGCTATCCTCTGAGGCGGGAGGTTCTGGCGCCGGAATCTGGAATACCCTTCGAACACAATTGATTCCTTCATCGCCTTTATGGACAGCCCATCTGCATTGGAAGAGGAAGCCCTTGCCATCGTTGCGATCTACGGCCCATCGTCGTTCTACGCCCTTGTCAGCCCTGCTTTAGCTCAGACAAAGACGCCGACACCAGCGGAAAGCACACCTGTCTATGCACTGAAGGTCTCGCTCGAGGAACCCGACTTTGACTACGACCCAACCACCAGCAGCGACGATCATCCATCTCAGAACACCACAACCGGAGACATCATCAGAAGCAAAAAGGAATTCGAGCTCCGGATCTACTTTCCTGAGGGATATCCCGAGACCAACACGTCTGCTCCGGTCCATGAGATTGTGAGTATCTACTATGGCGCTCTTCGTCTGACGGATGCTATGATGCGAGAGATTGATCTGGGGTTGGATCGATGCTATGTGCCGGGAGAGGTCGTTGTCTTTTCATGGATCGACTGGTTACGGGACTATCTAGATGAGCTCGAAGCCCGCAGCGGAGGTGCCCAGGGCGTGGATATCCATGGTCTCGGCACTGAGGTGGACCAGGAGAGCTCGAACGATGATGAGGACGGGGGCGAGTATGGTGCACCGGAGGGTCAGAAAGTGACCTCGGACTACTTTGAGAACGACGACGACCACCACCATCACTACCATCATCATAATCAGTCTTCCGCACAGGATCTCGCAGGAACAGAAGCGCTCTCATCCTCACTCGCATCATCCTTGTCCCTCCTTGACAGTCCAAGGATCCCTAGGGGAACAAGCGCCGGCGCACCGGTGTTCAACATTCGATCGGGCCAGCCGATTATCGACCGCAAAAGTGTATTCATAGCCCATTTGGCGCCGATTACGATGCCGGCGCAGGTGCCTTGGATGATCCAGCAGCTGAAGCAGGAGAACAAGAAAGTCGTCAAGGCTACGCATAACATTATGGCGTTCCGGGTCGAGAACGAGAACGGTACCATTGCACAAGGCATGTTTTACTATCCTGCCTGGTATTGCCTCCATACATGGATTTGTTCAACTTTTTTCATATACTCATGCATATTTCTTTATACCCTCGTCAACGTGCTTGTGTTTGTTTCTTCACTGCCCTTGCTTGAAATAGACAACGATGATGACGGAGAGACAGCGGCAGGAAGTCGACTGCTGCATCTCATGTCGATTTTGGATGTCAAGAACGTTGTTGTGGTGGTCTCGAGGTATTTACATCTGCAAGAAGCTCTTTCCGCTACGAAACTAATCTTGGACGTGCTGTTGTCATTCTTGCTAACATGCGCTGTTCTCTCTCTCTCTCTCTCTCTCTCTCCCTCTCTCTCTTTGGCGTATGTATGATATATGTCATAGGTGGTACGGCGGTATCCCATTGAGTGCGGATCGATTCAAGCACATCAACAATGCTGCACGTCAGCTACTTGATGAATGCGGCTACATCAAACCTGCAGCATCTGCTGCAGATGCGACATTGAGCGGCCCCAACAAGAAGGGCAAGAGCAAGAAGGCAGGGAAGAGATAAGAATAGAATTTCGTCCGCAAACAAAACATAATATCTTCTTGAACATGATGAACAGATGCGTCGTTCCCAGAGATCATAATAACCAAGTGAGCCTTACTTTGATGTTGCTATTATACATTTATTTAGTGCAATGAACAAATGAGAAGATATATGCAATATGGTTGTTGTACGCTACAAAGGAGGCATCAGCTTGCTACGGTTGGTTTATATCGCGTACTGCTGTGCAGTATAGTCCATGTGGATGGGGTTTTGGTGATATGGATGCATGCGAACAGAATGTTGTCCGAACGCTGCCATTTCATTAGCCTGGATCGGAACGCGTACTTGAGAATGAGCTTGGATCTGGATGGGAAGGCGGGCTTGGACGGTAGCGGTGGTGTGGGCTTGTGTAGAAGCCGCCTGCTGAGACTTTGCAGAACCAGATGCCTTGTTGCCGTTCTCGTAGCGGGAGCGACGGCGGATGACATTGCGCTTTAGAGAGATGGGCCGGTGGATGTGATGGAGCTTATAGTAGAGTCCGCAGGCATTGCACAGGATGTCGCCGTGGTCATCCTTTCGCCAGAGTGGCGTCAGAGTCGTCTTGCAGTTGGTGCACATTGGCTGTGGTCCTTGAGACAAAGAGGAGAAACAGCCAGCCAAGGTCGGATCCGAAGAGCTCAAACCATTGGCGGCCGAGGCATCGTCCGAGGAGACGCCGTTTAGAGCTCGGGCCCCATACTTAGCCTTGAGGCCCGCATGACCTTGGCCCATGGATTGCTGAAGGTGCTTGGGGCGGTGCATAGCGTGCAGCTTGTGGTACAGGCCGCAGGCATTGCAGAGGGGCTCGTTGTTGGCGGACCGGCGCCAAAGTGGTGTTGCGGTCGCTCCACAGTTGTGGCAGCGCACGCCCATGCCCGCAGCAGCCTTGATAGCGGCCTTAGAGGGCTTGCGAGGCTTAGTGGCCTTACTGGACTTCAGACCAGCTGAAGTGGCGGGTGTTTGCAACGGGTGTGCAGGCGTCGCGACAGGCGACATGGAGAACGAAGGAGAATGCGCCGCGAGTGGCGCGGAAGCAACAGGGCTCTGGGGGGCGGTCACAGGCATGGCCTGTGCGGAAGTCTCGCTGAATGCTGACTGTGGAGCTGGAGACAGAGGGGACATCTGACGGACATACTGTGGTAGTGAGGCAAGAGGCTTGAGGCACACTGGCGAAGGAGTCGAGGAGGGAGTCTCTGGTGGAGAGATCATTCCCTCCTGTGAAATCTTGGAATGCATCACCAGAGAGAGCTGGGGATGTTGGCGCGTCGACTGCTGCTGCTGCTGCTGTCGCGGAGAAGGGTCCGTGGGCTGGATCATCGGGTTAAAGAAGCCATTAGAGAGGGCCTGAGTAGCGGCGGTCAGATAAGAAGCTGACGGAGAATTGAAGGCTGAAAAGACGTTAGGATCTTGCTGGAGCTGGTACTCTTGGAACTGAGTGAGACCCATTTGTACTGAGAGCTGGCGCATGGATGCTCCCCAGGTGTAAGACTCGGAGCAGGGGTTGCTGCTGTTGATATTGCTGCTGCTGCTGCTGAGGGAGTCCAGGGGCAGGGCGGGGGTAGGGAGGGCTGTAGAGACTGGAGAGGGTGGCGTGAACTTTTGCTGAAGCGGAAGCGGAGTATCGAATGCAAACAAGGAGCCCTGAGTAATCTCGGGCATAGACATGAGGATGTCCTGTGGAGAGGAAGTGCTGTACAGGGAGTATGTGTCCGAGGATGGTGATGATACGAGTGCTGGTACTGAAGTTGGCGCTAATACTGGTGCTGGTGCGGATACTGATGCTGAGGATGCAGAGGAGGATGTGATGTCGAAGGGGAAGCAGTAGTCGTCCGAGAGGAATGGCATCTCGAGAATGCTTGCGTAGAAGTCGGCCATTGTAGTGTTTAAAGCGGGAAGTATTCGAGATGAAGTGGGAAGTGCGAAGTGGGAATACAGAAAAGACACGCTAGAGCAGGAGTGAAGGGGCGAAGAAGGGAAGGAAGTGATAAAAAGATGAAAGAAAAAGTCGCCAAAAAGGTGGGAATGGTGTCGAATATATACCGAGCGGAGGTAGAGGCGGGGGGAGATGGAGTGCAGGACCATTCCCTGGATTAGTGGATTAGAGTAGCCACTTATTCAGCTATATTCTTAAGGCCATTCAATTGAGTTATCAATTCCTTATAGATTGAAATTCATCCCTCTTCTCCAATGCAAACAGATCCAGAAACAAACAAACAAACAAACCAGTTTCCTTACTTTTGTCTCCATCGCATTGAATAAGATTATGGATGGCAAATATAATGGATGTAATAGATATCTGCTCGCCCGCATATTTAGTCTGGGGGGATGATGTTGTTGTTGTCCCCGTTGCAGCAGCTCTTTCTCTCCTCTTGTCGCTCCTCTTGTGTAAACAAAAGCAAACAAAATATCAAAAGAAAAAGGAAAGTTGAGGCTAGGGAAACGACACAGTTGTATTGCAAGGCGACCTGACTCTGCCGGGCTGCCTGACGGGGCTTGTGGGGACAGACCCTCCCTGAGTCGCTATACTAGGTCATCTCGCCGCCATTAAGGTCTTGACCCCGCACTTGACTCAACACCTTAATCGCTTATTTTTAATTTTGTTTAATAACCAAGAGACGTGAGTCCTTTCCTGGTATTGCCGTCCTGGATCCGCGTCCGACATAGCCAGTCGCACGCGGCCAGGCTGGGCCAAGAGAGATCTAGATTTTTAATTGTTTCAGTGATTCAAAGAGGTGTCAATACAATACTGATCATCTTTTTATATACTCGATTTATTGCTTCCTCTTTCAGGATGCTCACAGTACCCGTGTTTACCTCAATATCCTGTATTGTCTAGCCAGTATGCAGGCTGTCAGCTATCTTGACGGAGTGGGACCGGGTACTAACAGACCCATATCTGTCTATAGTTGCCCTTCGACTAGCGTGGAAGTCGTAGTCAGATACACGCTGTCTATCAATACTTGGAAGACGCCCTGTGTACCATAGAATGTAGCCATGTAAAGGTGCGCGGGTGCTTTAAGAGGACCCATCCATCCCAGCTGTTTTTCAACCAATAGCCGCTATCTTGCTGTACTGACACATTCCGTCTCACCTTTTCGAGGTCCAAAAAAGCGGCCACTTGGATTCCTTTCATTTACATAAATGAAACTGGTGTCCCATTGGCGGGCTGCATGTCGTCTCGATGTCTCATTTTACTCCGCTACTACTTCCATAGCAACTCCCAGCATGGCCCTGGAAATATGTGTTACTTCAATAAGACGAAAAATGAACATGCTGCAGGAGCTGATTACTATAAGGGTCTGCATGCATTTCGTCTGCGTGGTCCGTGGAGCTCTTTAGCGCACGGTATATGGCGGTCGAATCCTTTTGGATGATGGCTCAAATTACCCTCCATGAATGTACAGACTCAGCGCCCATGATGATCCATGGTACACGTGAAACAAAGGTTCAGGTGTAAATCGAGAGGTTGCGGTGATGCTCGATGGCGCTACTTCATGAGCGCTCAGCTAAAGTTTTGTCGCTCAGCCTAATAATTTGCAGCCTCGACGTGTCTTCCCCCTGGCTCCTAAATCAAAGTCAGGCATGGAGGAGCACAGTAAATTACGTTACGCTCTTACAGACTCCGTTGTGCTGTACTTTTCTAAGTGTAGTTTCTCATGAACAAAGGAAGCAGGGAGTACACCCTGAGATACAAAAAAAAAAAAAAAAAAAATGACGAGTGGAAAAATTGTTACACAAGCAGCATTAGATAAGATAAGATGAATCTAGCCAATCGCATTCTTCAGGGTGTAGCTGTAATTGGTATCATCTCTCACGTTTTTCGTTTCCCTGAGAGGCATGAGAGCGCCGAAATCCCGAGGGATGTTTAAAGCGATAACACGAGACACATGCCTTCCATGATACCGCCAGGCCTCAACGTCTACATCAAAGAACCTTGATTCGAGCAAGTTCTAACATCAGACCTCATGGTTAATGGAAGGGTGACTGATAGTCTATAAAGACCTTTATCTTTCAGCCTGAGTGTAAAAGGCACTGTAAACATCCGCATCCAGCCCATCAGTCTTCCGACTTCTTGATTTTGTTTAACAGCGCAAATTGTAAAGCGTAAATTGCCCCTTGACCATGTGTAAATGCGCGTGGTGCGGACGACATTCTCATTGCCTGCATCGTCTGCGCGCCTCTGCTGCCCTGCATTATGCACGCACAAAAAAAAAAAAAAAAAAAGACCGAGTGCTTTTTTCTTTATCTCGAGGATACGTTTTGCAATGACCGCGTGGTTGCCAAGGGGCAACGCACGACTCAGTAGTGAAAAGGGCGTTAAAATACAGATATCAGACTATTGATAAAGACAAGACCCTTAGAGTAGACATTTTTTTCTTGCGGCTCACTCAGGGTGTCGATAGTTTGCATTCTCAATAATGGGCTGAATAGGAAGGACTGAATTGGATGCTTGATTGACGACATCGCCTGACTTTAATAACACGGCACGGTGAGCTCTGTGGTCTGTTAAAGTTTTTGTGGGGTGGGAAGCAAACCATGGGCAGCAGCAGATGAGGAGGAGTTGCAACCGAGAGATAACTCGACATCTGTTATGCTTGTGTTCTCTGCGCTCTCACTTGCTTTCGGCACAATTAACATATTTTTGCCTCATTTCCCAACCCCAATGCCTAGTTTTATGGGCTATGAGTGTTTCTCTTGGCGCTCACAACCATCAACAGCGGCAATAGCGATGAGGAGAAGAGAGAAGGTATTACTAAAAGGTTGCTCTATGTCAAGGTTGCTCGGTGCAATTTATATAGCGTGTATGACATTAGCATTGTGTTTAATGAACTGGAAGAGCCCTGCGCCTGGAGCACGAGAGGCATGTAGAAGATTATCTTTACACTTGATCTTGTCATAGATTCCTTCTGCACCATAGAGCGTCTTTCTAGTGAGCAATTACACACTCGAGATGAAATTTCCTGGCAAACAGACAAAGGCAGGGATATAACAAAGTCATCAACAAACAACGACACTGTAAACCTGTAAACAAAAGAGAAAAACATTCAAGCAGGTCAGGTTGACTTGCGAACTGGCGGACTATGATTGGTACTTATCATCATGATTCTTACTTTGGACTCTGAATAAAGATATGATATCGTTGTTTGCGATTGGTTGTCGATGGGCGTTCTACCAGTAACGATATAGTTTTGCTCCATGCAATATGCATGCAAGGGATGCATGGCCGCCTTCTCGAAGGAGCTTATCAGCCCAGTTGTTTGGTGCACTCTCTGTCAACAAATGACTATGGACCCAATGTCTACGAACACAAAGCTGGAGGTCACTGCTCGTTCAGACAAGGGCAGGCCGCCAGTCCCAGTCCAGTCTTTTTTTTTTTTTTGTTGTTGCTGTTGTTGTTGATGCGGTGGGCTGGTTACGCAAAACCGACCATGGAGACGAAGGCATAGAGACGCGATATAGCTGCATGCATGCCGCCCAAAAAGTTATTGCACAGTGTTTTTTCGGTTGGGGTTGAAGTGCACTTGCTAGCCATCTATTCTGTAATTTTACTTGCCTCGGACGAAAATAATCCTTGGTCAAGGTAAGCATAGAACGAAAAGACACTCGGTTATGACCTTAGTAAGATTCATTCCGGGGAAGGGAGTGCAAGTGAGCTCGTATATAGCATGTACCTGAGAACTTTATTGAAACAAGGACAATGAATTCCTGCCTTGCCTAGCTGAAGAGCGGGAGGAAACAGGTGATTTTGGTTGCACGGAGAAGAGGGTTCCTGCCCTTGTAGTTCAAAGTTAGAGTCTACTTTTCATTATTAACCTGCTCTGGGTTTTTTTTGCAAGTAGAGGACATGCATTGGGTGAGAGCACTCAGGGAGACGGGGAGGAGAGGGACTTTGAGCTGAAGGAAAAAAGAGTTCCACGGCGCAAAGTGGTGTCAACGGTACGAGAGCACTTTGTGCAACATAAGATATCGTATCTTGTCAGAGCTAGTCTTCTTAGTCTTTACCCTACTGTTCACAAGACAGCACAATACAAACAAACAAACATGCAAGACTGAGAGCAAGTGATGATGAGGGAGCGAAACTAGAGTACAACAATCATGGGCACTCGGCGTTGCCTTTTCTGGGGGTTCTCATTCCCTGTCTGCCATCTGTCATAGACAATACCATGCCTCGCATGTCAAACAGTAAACAACCACACAAATAACAAACACATACGCACATACACACACCATTCGCAATCTCTTTTATTTTTTGTTAGGCGGGTCGTCCTTTTTTAGATCCAATGAATGGCAACCTCCTGCCCCTATTTTGGTCACGTGCAAACAGTATAAGGACGAGTGATGCAATGAGGCGTCGGCTATTTTTGGACTTTCGGCCCTGGGACCAACCATGCCGCAGCACTCCATTCTCCGGGAAAGGACAACATGACGCAATATGCAGGGGTCGAACATCGGTAGCGCAGATGCTCAGCCCCGACACTGCCTCACTCTTGGCGATGACATTTCGGATCATTCTACTGCGCGTGGACCAATGAAGATGGTGAGGTATATATAGATCTCGCGAAGTGGACGGTGAACGCACTCACAGACACTCAGCATCATCCTTTTCATCAGCTTGCCATAACATAAACATCCAAACCACATACTTCGAAATAAAGCACCAGAAAACAAATTATGCCTTCCACTCTGGCTGTCACTCCAGTCATCGATACTTATATCAGCATACAGCCCGCCATGGATCCAGTTAAAGAAGAGAACCTGATCCGACAGGCATGGTACTCACTGGAGGAGGCATTCCATCTTCGAGAGCCGGTTCCACCGCCAGGTATATGTCTGACTACACCATACTCAAGGGCGATGATGTTGGCGTTGTCGTCGTTTCATATTTTGATAATGTTGATAACGAGCGACTCACTTAGTAATGTTCGTTTATTTATTTCGGTTGTTTAGTTCCACCAAAGGATGAAAGGTGGCTCATCAAAACCGTGAACCTGGCATTTCCTCAGGAAGAACAGGATCCCAGCTTCTGGGACAAGATTGTGCAGCGGATCACATCTTTGCACACCCAGTTTAGCGACGACAGTGGCTACGAAGGCGAAGTCGTTTCCATCAACATGCCCGCGGAGGCTGCCTTACAGCAATTGGGCATTCAGGCCGATGACAGCGAGCTCCAGGACAAAAAGAACTACTTCAAGAGGATGGCTGTCCGTTGCAAAGAAAAATTTGACGCTGATGGCAAGCAATCGACAGATGGATCTCTGTCGTTTTATTCCGAGGAGGAAGGCTCTGACACGCAGAGCACCAAAAGTTCAAGTCATCGCTACCACCATCGTCACCCTCATCTTCACATGCGGCATTACCTTCAGGCACTACATTGCCATTTCCACCCTCAGACGTTGGACGAGACACCATTACAAGATAGTGAACAGGCGCAATTCGTCCCCAAGGTCGATCCCAAGGAGACAAAGGCAGCACATCGAGCCATTTATCATCACGGACAGGCGAACGTGAACAACAGCGACGATGACGACGAAGAGGATAGGAAGCTGTTCGGATCATGGTGGGGCTGCCATTCAAAGCGATCCCGTACAGAGAAACTGCTGGACAAGCAGCTCGACAATGAATGGGAAAAGATTGATTTGCCCAAGAGTGCCGAGGAAAAGAGAAAGAGTCTCGGAGAGAGGAACGGCGGACTACCTGGGAATACGTTCAGCGATGTGGATCCCAAAAGACCTTGGTGGAAGCAGGGGACACAGAACGCCGAGATTGTGGTGGCCCGTGGGCAGAGCGCACACACTCAGGATCGAAAGGTCGCCGCAAAGAGGCACCAGGCCATTGCAGCAGCAGGTATGGGAGGAACCATGAGTTCTGTTTATTCATGTATATGCATTGTCCGCGCGATTAGAACTTATTAACATGGTTCGTCGTTTGCCTACATTTTTAATCATCATCGTTAGCTGCCTATGAAGCTGTGAAAGAGTACCACGCAAGGAGAGCTCGGCAGGGCAAGAAGGTATCCCATGGCGAAATGAAGGCTATTCTCGCAGGTATGGCTATGGCAGAGGCCGTCAAGCTGCTCGAGTCTCATTGTGGGGATGATAGTGGCGAGGGCAATGGAGAGAAGGACGAGACGGTCGCAGAAGCAGGATCGGTCGCCCTCAAGTTGTTTGAACTCATGCGATAACAAGGGGCTACATACCCCACATATATACCCTCACCTACACAGATATATAGCGTATGCCAGGAATGTCCCACGGTTGATAAATATTTGGTTGACGAAGCATATGTACAATTAAGGGGCTAATGATGTGCGTCTATGGTGCGGCAACGTCTGGTGGCAGCGTGAGGTCCATTGGCTCCCCTGCAGGCCGGTTTTCTGATTCAGATTCGACTGGTGGTGGTGTGACAGAGGTAATGGTAATCGCCAGACTAGCATCTCCTATTTCAGGTACGGAAGCGGTCCTTGAGGAGGATGAGGTCCTTGAGGAGGCCATTGACATGGATCTCTGAGTGGTTCTCGCACCGCGGGTTAGGATCCCACTGATAACACTCCGCCTCCGACTGCCCTGACGTCCTGTGCGGGATGTGGCAGGCGCATCTGAAGAAGCTGCTGCTGGTACGGTGACTGAGGGCGAGTTGTCAGTGGAGAGCAGCGCAGCCTGGGCGGTGGAACGGGTTGACGGCGTCTGATAGATGTAAACAGGTGGAAGCGAGCTGTCAAGCGGGTAGGTTGCTGCTGGTTGGAGCGGCGAGAGCGTAGGATGGGCTGTGGTATCAACTTCGCCGGTAAAGGCTGGTTGGGCAAAGAGGGTTGCTGCATGATCAACAGATCTCCAGCCGTAGCCGACGTCGCCGTTGACAGGATCGGGTGAGTATTCTGGAGGGGGTTCCGACACGAGAGAAGGTTGAGTGCTGTGGATGCTTGCGGTGTCGCCGAGGGGAGGCGATCCAGAGGATGCTGCCCCTGCTGTTGCTGCTGTTGCTCGTGCCTGGACCCGTTGTTGGCGGTGCCGCTGTCGTCGCTGCTCGTTGTAGGCCTCTACTCCATGAGCGAGAACAAAGGCGAATTCCTGGTGCTGTTCCAAACCTGGTGGTATGGCGGTTGGCAAGGGTTTGAGGTGCCGTACCTGCAGTCGTTTGTAGACGCGGTAGAGATAGATGAAGAGGATTGAGAAGAGGAGTATCGAGATAACGATCACGATCACGACGAGGAGCAACCTGTTAAACATAATGGGCAACCTCGATTGTCTCTATCCTGTCGAACCAGTCGTGGAGGATATGAACGAGAGGATGGATGCAGATGCTAAAATGATCTGTGGAGGAGGAGAGGGCAAGGCTGAACTGCAGTGGGTCAACAGCCATACAGACAGCGCAGTGTGCCAGGAACAGGGGTGCAGTGTACAGTGTGCAGGGTGTCAAGGTGGAAAGGAGGGATGGATGGGTAATGAGAGCAGAAAACATTGCATTCCTGTTTGGCCGTTTTGTTGTTTGAAGAAAGATACACAAAGCCGTACAGGTAAGATGTAAGATGATGTCCTTCGACCTGTAACGGCAAGCCGTTCCAGGCCTTCATTTTTTTTTCCTTCACTGCGAAGGCTGCAGTGGACTCTGTCTCCTAACTTTCGCATGCCTCCATTTCCTGGTAGGTGCGACAACAGGAATTGGCGCCCGCCCATAGCGTGTGAAATAGAATGGTGGGAAGACAGCATGAGCCATTGTTTAGGTGTAAACAATCTCCCGTTGATTCGTTTTCATTTTTTTTGTTTTGGTAAGAAAAGTAAGAAAGAAGTGTGCCAGTGAATATTGTCCTGGACCGCATCGGACCTGCACAAAGGCAAGGGTCCTCGCAGCCATGACACCCAATTCTCTGACCGTCCGAATATAATATTTAACGTCGGTCTGGCTGATCTTTTACGGCTTTGAGGGTCGTGGATTCCCTTGCCCGCTGTGGGGGTCGGGAATCTCGCACAAAGTGCTTTTATAAGATCGCGTATAATTGCGTTGTGAGGAACCAGTCTTGGTCCAGGAGCAGTGGTTGGGTAGCATCAATTCTGTGACGACTCTCTTGCGAAAAGTCGCCTCTTGACACTCCGTTCCCAGAAATGCTCTGTGGGGACTTGAAATTGTCGCTCCCGTCGGGTGCTCAATTGCGGTCTGCAGCAGCGACTGCATTTGTCGTCACATACCCTGCTTCGGGACATGACACGCAGATACGCAGAGAACTCCACAATTGCTGTAGAATAAAACGCACAGACAACGGTTGCCGGCTACGGAGGGCCGTACATGAGGTCCCAGAAACAGCACATGGTCCGTTTTGTACCCAGGGTCGGAAAAACTGGGCATTTGTATCACAGGACAATGGGCATCGGCACACCAGTGTTATCGTGCTGTCAATGGAGGAGCTTTATAAGGGCAGGACGCGGATAGTAGGTAAGGATCTGAGGTCCATTGGGTCGCCAGCAATTTGTGCCCTTGTATTTGGTCCTCCAGGTGCGTCAGGCACTTGTGCTCACATGGCAGAACTCTTCAACACGTTCCATGGCTATATGGCTATGCGAAAACGATTTTTTATTTTATTTTTTTTTGAGCCATGTCTTTATTTTGACGCCATCGCTCAGTCCGTTCTGCACAGCGTCATCATCTTTTTTTTTGTTCTTCGATCCTTTTTCTTCTCTTTTTCTTCTTCATCATCATCATCATCATCTTGGCTCACTCTGATCGATCGACCGAACCCTCCTTCGTTTGACTCATCATCAGCTGACATCCTCATCCATGGCTGTCAACAATGCCCCTGGCCCAGTACCCGGCCCGAACGTTGGTCCTGGCCCAGGCCCCGGCCCCGGTCCTGTCCCCGCTGGCCCTGGCTCTGCACCCATTGTCACTTCGCCTGCGCAACGACTCGATGCAATCGACGAGCAAGTCTGGCTCCAACTCGGTTCCCTCGCTGAGTCCATGAGAGAGTACGATCGCGCCATGGCAGCGTACGAAGCCGCCCTTCGACACAACTATCACTCTGTGAGTGCACTCAATCTGATTGCAGAGCTTTATCGCTCAAGGGAGAATTTCCAAAAGGTAACAGGAAAGCAGACGATCAAATGCTTTGGTGACTAAGCGTTTTTGACTTATGACCCATCTAATCTCGAATCCTGTTTTCTACCGTATTTTAGGCCGCAGAGTATTTTCAACGGATTCTCGCCATCGACAACGCGAGCGGCGAGGTCTGGGGCTCCCTTGGACATTGCTATCTGATGATGGACGAGCTTCAAAAGGCATACAACGCGTATCAGAATGCGCTTCACCATCTTCCTAATCCAAAGGTACGCCACCAGGATTTCTGTGGACAAGGAGCGAGCCAGGAAGCATAGAGAACTATGGCGTCAATGGCTTTATGCATCCACATGCCGACATGCGGAATTTTCTCTTACAGAGTGGATCCAACGACTTATCTCAACCATGGTATACTCTACTTTTAGGATTCAAAATTGTGGTACGGTATTGGCATCCTGTACGACCGATACGGATCTGTTGAACATGCCGAGGAGGCCTTCTCTGCTGTCATGAGAATGGATCCCAAGTACGAAAAGGCCAACGAGATCTACTTCCGGCTCGGAATCATCTACAAGGGCCAGCAGAAATATGCCCAGAGTCTCGAGGTATGCGATCAGATCTGGAGACCCATTGCTTGGAGCGACGGTTGTAACCCAAACAACATCGCCTTTGATCGCTAATACGCCTTGTATTTTATTTAGTGCTTCCGTTACATCTTGCATACCCCACCGCGCCCGTTGACAGAGGCCGACATTTGGTTCCAGATTGGTCACGTCCATGAGCAGCAGAAGGAGGTATGCCTCACACATGGATGGGGGGGATCAACACATCAGACGAAAGCTATATTTTCTTGGCATGCCGATGCCAACAGTTAACTCAATATTCTTTTCCTTTGTTCATTGACAGTACACAAACGCCAAGGAGGCATATGAGCGCGTCTTGACTGACAACCCCAACCACGCCAAAGTCTTACAGCAGCTTGGATGGCTCTATCACCAGCAACAAGCGGCGTTTATGAACCAGGATCTCGCCATCAAATTCTTGACCCGCTCCATCGAAAGCGATAATACCGACGCTCAGTCATGGTACCTCATGGGTCGCTGCTACATGGCCCAGCAAAAGTACAACAAGGCGTATGAGGCATACCAGCAGGCTGTTTATCGCGACAGTCGAAATCCAACCTTCTGGTGCTCGATTGGTCTGCTCTATTTCCAGATCAACCAATACCGGGATGCTCTCGATGCTTACAGCAAGGCAATTCGTATCAACCCCAACATCAGCGAGGTCTGGTATGACCTTGGTACACTATACGAGTCCTGCAACAACCAAGTGAGCGACGCTATCGATGCTTATCAGCGAGCCTCTGATCTGGACCCCGACAATCAACATATTAAACAGCGTCTCGCCTATCTGCGTCAAAACAACGGTACACCAGGAGGTGTCCCCCCTCTTCCCGAGGAAATGAACCCGAACGCGTATCCGCCTGCAGGAGGCGCTGGTGGTCAACACTCTTTTGGCCAGGTAAGCTTGTCGCCCTCGATCTGATTCAACTTTTTGGAAACGTCTTTTTTTTTTTTTTTTCTTGCAATGTCTGGGGCGTAGCGAGAATGCTATGCATCTGACTCAATTCTGTATTTCCACCAACTTTGTGTATTGCTCAGAGATCCACGGTGGCGCCACAGGGTCCACCCACAGGAATGCAAGGCTACACAGGACGCCAGCAAGGACCTCCAGCTCCTTTAGTATGATACATGGGTCTGGGACTTGCAAAAGACGTTCCCGCACAAAAGATAATGGAACATTGAACTGACCGAATGTTTTTTATTTATCTCTTTGAATGCTGCAGAGCGCCTCCATGAACGGAGAGCACCCACACCCTGGACGAGACTTACCGCTCCCTGGCAACGGCAATGGTCACGGTATCTCCGGACAGCCTACTGGATCACCAGGGTATATGGGTGATGAGAGACAACCCCACATCCCCGGAATCAACAGCGGTGGACCACGGCCCCCTACTCCTGTTGGCGGAATGCCTCAGATGATGTCAGGAGACCGTGTACAAGGACCTCCTCAGCAGCCGCCTTCCTCTGGCCCCGGGCACGCACGCCCATCGCGGGGTCGACCACAATCTTCTACACCTGATGCTCCAGCGGCCTATGTTAGGCCGGGCTCCCCAAACATGACACACCCTAGCAATGGACATGGTCATGATCCGCACTACCCTCTACAGCAGCATCCTTATGGACATGTACCCCCTCCACACAACATGATGCACGGAGGTCCCCCTCAGGGCTACGACCGACAGGAGCAAGGAGCAAGAACAAAGCAAGAGCAGCCTGCGCAGTACCAGCACCATCGCCAGCACTCCGGCGACCTCTCGAGACCTGGGGTCATAGATGAAGGTCATGGAGCACTTCATGCGCAACGTCATCACCCTTCTGATCCCCATGCGCACGCTCCTTCACCCCCAAGAGATGATCGACGTGGACCCATGACAACGCCTGGCTACAACCAACAGACCCAGGGGCCTCAGCATAATCCTGAAGAGCGCTGGGCACCCTCTTCCGGTCCTCATGGACGTCATCCATCGGACGACCATGGCCGAGATGTAGGCCGCCCACAGCTCGGTTCTGATCGTGGCCAGGGTGTGCCCCGAATCCCCGCTGGACCCGAGGGCTATCAAGGAAGAGGCGACGTTCCACCACCTCCATCACACGGAATGGATCTAGAGCGAAGAGAGCAGCGTGTTCCAGAACACCACAGTCCATCATTCCCTCGCCCTGGTTCTGACCAGCCAATGAAGGAACCTAGAGCTCAGGGAGGCAGTTATGATGAGCAGCAACTCCAACAGCAACATTCACAACAACAACAGCATAAGAGCCATGGCCGTGACTTTGAAGCACCTGGAGCTTATGGCGAGCAAGGAAGGGGTGCACCCAGCTGGCCTGGCCAGGAGAGCCGTGCAGGTGGTTACAGGAATGAGGACCAGGATCAGGATGAGATTGCAGCCTCTTTGGTATCACTAAGTGGCAAAGGATCGAGTCGAGTGGGCCACCGTCCTCAGGATGATGACTACGACATGGAAGAGCCAGAGCCGGAAAGGCCGCGTGGACAAACGTTGCGTGATGAAGAGGCTCCGAAGCACGTGTATGATCAGCCGCCACCACAGCAGCAGCAACACGAACAACATCATGAACTCCAGCAAGAACATCCACAGCATCATCAGTATCATCAGCAACAACAGCAGCAGCCGTCTCCTCATAAGGGACATTCTGTACGCGACAGCAGGGATCAGAGCCTGCCACCACGACCTGCATCGCTACCAAAACAGCAGCCAGAGCAACAGCCAGAACAACATCCAGATCAGCATTCTGACCCGCACTCAATGCAGCGTCCAGAACAACACACAGTGCAGCGTACAGAGCAACGGTATGCCGAGGGCATTGTAGAGAGAGAGGATGAGGATACATCAAAGCGATCGGCGAGTCTCTCACAGACGTCACAAGCGCCAACAACTGCCCCAACAAAGGCAGCCTCGCCCAGGGATTCAGAAATACCCTCTGAACCATCGTCCGCAGCGCCTGTTGCGGTAGAGTCATCTGCGTCTGCTAGGGCAGAGTTCAAAGATGCAGCTTCACCCGCACACTTGGAAGAAGCGAGAGACGCGGAGGCAGTCCCTTCTGATCAAGGTTCCAGCAACGCCAACCGAAACTCCGCCAACCAACCGGTATCGACTTCAGAAACAGGGGGAATGCAATCGGATGCACATGCGGGCGATACAGAGGATGGAGCGTTGGCAGGGGCAGATAATGGGCCGGAAAAAGTGTCTGCTATGGCAGCAGAGGACGAAGACACGGAGATGGAAGAGGGCGAAGTGCGCGAGGACGAGGACGAGGTGATGAGTTCCGGGGCAGTGCCGGCTGTTGGGCATGGCAAAGACCCGTCCAAGGAGGAGGGTAGCAATTAGAGTGTAAGGATAACGCGACAAGGACGGCAGGAGACGGGATAACATAAGTAATTTGGCTTTTTTTTTTTTTTTGGCTTTTTTTTTTTTTCTTTTCTTTTCTTTTTGGTCAGAGCCGCGAGAAGGCGGCCTCGTCAATTGGAGAAAAGATGCCAGGAACGGTGCATTTGCAATAAAGCTGAACATAAGCCACCTTCCTTACTCTATTTGGTGCTCGTCCTTTCGTCTTCGCCGAGATATTTTGTGTGCTGCTCATCAGATGAGTCATCACTGGACGCCGCCTAGATCGCATCGTTCCATCGACTAACCTGCTCGATCCCTCTTCCCTCTTTTGCCAAGGTAGCGTGAGCCCTCTTGCCTCTTTACCATCCAGGACGCACCCGACTGCGCCTGTCTCTTTCTTTCTCTCTCTCCATTCTCTCTCTCTCCCTCTCTCTTTCTCTGTGTATTTCAGCTCTGGATCCGTAATTCATCAAAACTGCAAATCACGCAATCACTAATCTGCAGTAGCACTTGCAGATTCCAAATATATGGTTGAGCACTCTCTGTGCCGCGACCAATACTTTCTTTCACGCAGACCAGGAAACCAATAGAGAGAATCCATGTCCGAGGACGCGCCCATCCAACCGCTCGACCAACTCGGCGGCAAGGGCAGCAGCACCGGTAGCAATAGCAATAGCGAGAATGGCTCTCCGCAGCTGACAGACCCCCTGGGATTTGCATCACGGTTCTTCCAGCAGATTGGCAGCAGGTCTCTTGAGGAGGAGGACGACGATGATGACGATGACGACGACGATGACGATGACGACTCCAGAAGCGAGTCCGAAGACTCTGATACCAATCATCCAAGTTTCGGAAATGGTGGCGATGCGACAACGACTCGCGCTGCAGGCGTCAGGTACAACGAAAATAAATCAGGAAAGAACAAGTTTTTAAATGGCCAAGAGGATACGAATCAGGATGGTCACCAGTCGAAGCGCACAAAGCTGGAGGCGGTTGCCAATCTCATCAACTCAGGTCTTCCTGACCTCGCCAGCAGCCCTACGCCTCCTCAGTCAGGAACCCAGGACAAGAAGCTGATTATGAATCCAAGCGAACTCGTCCACTTTAATCTCAACACGCCTATATCCAGAGGAAGTAGCTCGAACGCCATTTCTCCACAGTTGCCCCGTCAGCTGCAACAGTGGCAACAGCAGCAGTCGACGATGAACCCCAGCCCAAGGCCCCAGTCATTCCAATCATTTCAGAGTCAACTGCAACCACAGCTTCAGCGACAACTAAGCCAAAAATCAGCACACAGCCATCAGGGTCTGTCAACATCACAGAACGGCTATCAGAATGGATCACAAGAGCAACCGCAGGCTGTTGCTTCGTCCATCACCTCAACCTCTTTGACGCCGTCGTCTATTTTGAAGGAAAGCACCGGCCGGATTATTGACTTAACAGAGGAGGAGCCAACGCTGATATCCGATGACGAGGTCGTCATCGATGAATCCAGAACAACAGCTGTCGCCAACAGGAACATGTGTTTTGGAATGATCCAGTCGCTGGTTGTCACTCTATACCCCCGCCATCTCGAATTCATTGAAGGGAAGGCTGACAGAGTCATTATCAAGCGTGCTATTACAGCCAACAAGGCTAGTCTGGCAGTCGAGCACGAAGCGGGATTGGTAAGACGATCTTCTGATGTGCCTAGTGTCTAGCTGTCATGTCCTTGGTGCTCATATATTTATCTCCCTCATTCTTCCCCATCTTTTCTAGTACGGATATATTGTATCGGAGCTAGCAGAGACGCTTGTGCCTTTGGTGGACGCAAACATGATTTGGTGGGATGCGTACGTTCCCAGACAGAGGAAACAAAACGTAACATTTACATTTGTTTAGCTCGCATGGCAGGATGTAGAACCTCGTTCACTTCTGCTTCCAATCATTTCAAGTGACTGATCTACCGATTGTTCTGTGTTTTTTTCCTTAGAACGTTAGCGCTCCTGTCAACATAATCCTTTACGGCAGACCGGAATATCAGATGACGGTAGCAAAGGCGCTATATGGAAAAGTGAGGCTGGAAGAGCCGATATCGTTTGACCATCGGACTCGGTACAGCAACCCACTGGTTCCAGCATCGGGAGAAACGCTGTCGCTCTACGACAAATGGCGAGGCATTTCAAATCCTTCACTCTTTTCTGGCGGACCAGGCGCTGGTTCGTATGGCTACTCTGGCTACTCTGGATATTCTGGATATAGCGGATCGAGCGTTCGTTCTGCGGAGGAGGTAAAGAATCAGATCGACGGAGTTTTCAAGGGCCTTCGAAGCGCAACAGACCTACCGGAGGTGGAACCCGCACCGACCCTGGCCTCGACCATGTATCGCCATCAAAAGCAGGCTCTCTACTTTCTTCTGGAGCGCGAGAAGCAAGAAGACTATTCGGACAACGAAAAGAACAAGCTTACATCACTCTGGCGCGTCAGGCAGCAGCTCCATCGTCACCCGACCTACCTGAATGTCGTTACCAGCCAGGAGACAACGGTCAAGCCCACCAGTATGCGGGGTGGTATCTTAGCAGACGATGTAAGTTTCATGGACTGTATGATAACAAACCAACTGACATCGCAGATCTCTAACACGCGTTTCTTGTTTAGATGGGTCTGGGCAAAACTATAACCATCATCTCACTGATAATGGCAACTCTTGACCGCGGCATGCATTCACGGTTACGGACGAGTAAGGGAACGTCCTTGCCTCTTCCAACAACAGCGGCGCCAGACTTTTTGAATTCTGGAGATCAGGTCACGGAATACGACTCACCTCCCTCGCCCACAATTCGGCCACTATTACCGACGGCTCCTAAGAAGCCCATGTTCAAAAAGAGACTGACAAATTTGCGAACGAAATCGCACGCCACGCTGATTATCTGTCCATTGTCGACGGTACAAAACTGGGAGGAGCAGTTTGAGACCCATGTTCAAAAGGATGCGCTGCAAGTTTATGTGTACCATGGAGGGCAGCGCGTATCGGATCCTGGATATCTGGCCAAGCATGACGTGGTCATCACTACCTATAATCTTTTGGGCACTGAGTATTCCAAAGAGTGCAAGGGACGAGATACCGAGGATGAGCCGTCGAAGTTTCCTAGCGTGCTTCAACATATCGACTGGTTCAGAGTTGTCTTGGATGAGGCACATATCATTAAGGAGGTCAGCACAGTGCAGAGCAAGGCGGCATGCGCCCTCACTGCCGAGCGACGTTGGTGCCTGACGGGCACCCCCATCCAGAACAAGGTACTGCACCGAGAAATAGCACGAGGAAAGCGTCCATGTTCTGCAAGCAGATACATGCATACGTTCTTAGGAAGGCACTCTGACACCACCCTTTTGACTCTATAACTTGTTTGATGTACTAGCTGGACGATCTATATGCGCTCGTGAAGTTTCTAAAAATGCAGCCGTTTGATGAGAAGGCTCACTGGACGCATTATATTTCCAAGCCGATCAAGGTCGCCAATCCGATTGGTATCACAAGGTTGCAGACATTGATGAAGGTCATCACACTACGTCGTACAAAGACACAGATGGTGAACGGCAAGCCTTTGCTAGAGCTCCCACCAAGAGTGGATCACATGCGCGTATTGGAGCTCAGTTTGAATGAGCGTCAGATGTACCAGCGCATGGAGTCGAGTGCGAAGCAGACGGTGGACAAGATTGTGAAGGAGAACAAGATCATGAAGAACTATGCCCATATCCTGCAGGCAATCCTCAAGCTTCGTCAAATATGTGCGCACTATGCTTTGGTCAAGAATATGGGCGACGACCTGGACATGTCTGGAGAATTTAACTTGGCCAAGGCATCAGCAATCCTTACTCTTTTGCAGGACTCTGGAAACGACCAATGCAATTACTGCTTCCACCCTTCTACGGCGACACCGATTGTGACCCGATGCGAACATATCTATTGCCCTGAGTGTGTCAAGAGGCTGAATCCGATTGCGTTCATGCTCATTCAAAAAGGAAACGCTCATGTCAGTGTCGCTCCGGAGCTCAAGACGGATTTTGCTTGTCCCCAATGCACGACTCCTTTGAAGCCAGTGGATCTGATTCAAATCCAGGATGATACCGAGGACAGCGTTGCAGCGACTGCGGTTGGCGGTGGCCATGTACACACACGGACGGATGAGAATGGCATGTTTATTCACAGTACCAAGGTCAAGGCTCTTATCGACGACCTGGTGCAGGCCTGTGAGGTATCACGCAGAACTGGTGGGCCTCTTACGAAGAGTGTCGTGTTTTCTCAGTGGACTAGCATGCTGGATCTGATTGAGGTACCATTTTTTGTTTAGGAGACTGACGAGACGGCTCTCGATTGAGGCGGGTGATATTAATTAGATGCGTCTTTGCGATTGTCTTTATAGGATGGTCTTCGCGAGAACAATATCAAATTTACGCGACTGGACGGAACCATGCAGAGGAACGATCGCACGACAGCAATGGTGCGATTCAAGGAACGCCCTGATGTCAGTGTCATTCTGATCAGTTTGAAGGCTGGTGGCGTGGGCCTGAACTTGACATCGGCCCAACGAGTATATCTCATGGACCCCCACTGGTAAAAACCAATTATCAGGTGCATGTCGGTCATGAAAACGATATAACTTTCCTGTTGATACTGATGAGTCGTGCTCCTCGTCTGCACTCTAGGAACCCTTCTGTGGAGAGCCAAGCTGTCGATCGTATCCATCGCCTCGGCCAGACCAAGCCCGTGGACGTTATCCGATTCATTATTAAGGTGAGGAGCGATTTTGCATCGACCACTTGTTGGATATGTAAAGGACGCCAGTTTAATGAAGACCTTATTTTTATTCTTATTTAGGAATCGATTGAGGAAAACATCCTGGAGTTACAGAAGCGCAAAACGGAGCTGTCGGAAATGACTTTTGCGGAGAAGCTATCGAAACAGGAGGTGTTGAAGCGACGGCTAGAGGACTTGCGGTACCTGTTTCAGGGATCCTCAGAGCTAATGACGAAGGGCAAGGGTGCCACGTTGTCTTCTGCCGGCAGCCCATCCTCAGCAGCACCAAACGACCCGACAACAATAACAACGCCCACCACAGTCATGACCGCCACCGCAACAACACCTTCTTCGTCATCCTAATTGTCTTTCTGAGATTTTCCGTTCAGCTTTCCTGTTATCTTCTGATTTACTTTCTTTCTCCCTTCTCCATTCCCCTTTCCTTCCTCTGCTTTTTGTCTTCCTTCACCTTTCTGCCCTGTTCTTCTTAATCTCGTCTGCCAGCATTTGTTTCTTCATAATGATACAGTACAATACAATAGCATAGCATCTATCCTCTCCGTTCATCCAATAGCACCAGCGCAGCCGCTTCACTCTACACTCTCCCAAGGGAGCTAACCAGGCAGCAGCCCATTGTAACCATAGAAACTGAAAAAAGAGAATACTAACGGAGTTTGTAGTATTACCAATACACTTATTTACTTGGCACAATGCGGTCTACATGGTCTACATGGTCTACAGGGTCTACGGCGTCTGCTCTTTCTTTTTATCATTCACATCTCCGAAATGCACACATGACCATCTCCCATGTAAAAGAACCAATAGCCTGCCCGATAGACTGCCCGATAGACTGCCCGATAGACTGCCCGATAGGATGCGATGTGATGTGGGATGAGAGGGATTGTGCTGCATAACTGGTCTAGCCCCTTCCTCACCACAAACCATGTGTAACAAAACATGTGTAACAAACCATGTGTAAGACACAAGCGAGACCAGTGCCTAGAACCTTGGACAGAAAGTCCTGCAGCTTTGTATCAGCAACAACGGAACAGGTGGGCGAGCGAGGGACTTTGCCGTCCATGAAAGGATACAGGTGTGTAGTGGGGTGGATTACGTGGCGTTGTTTATGCGTGTGTGTTTGGTGTGAGTTGTTTAGCCGTGGTTTCTGGGGATGGTCTGGCCATGACTGAGGAGTGCATGGAAGTAGCCCAGACCTCTTTGTCCTTGCGTGTCTTTGCTCACTCCTTCCTGTAGGCTGAACATATTATTTTTCACTGTATCCACTACAGTGCTACAGCAGAAAGAGAGGCGGATGGACTTGGATGGATTAGGATATATTCATTTTTGTGCTCGAATGCGGGTGAGAGTGAAAATGCAGGTGAGGATTGGTGTTATACAAAAAATAATAAGAGGAGAGTATTTCGTGCGAGCGATCTGAGCATGCATGGTCGCATGGTGGTTGCTTGCATGCTGCTGCTCAGGGGCAAAGAGGAAGGAAGTATTAAATTCTAATGCATCTGCTAATGCAACAAAGGGTCGTGGTTGGTGGCAATGGGCAGAGGATTTGTTAATTTGTCACTCCACTTCTCTCCTTCTCCAGCTTCTACTTAAACCTCATCCTCCTCCCCGTATTTTTTCTTCCTTTTCTTTTTTCTTCTCCTTCTCTTCAGCCACTCAGTTTCAACTCCTAGTTCTCATTTCCAAATTCCTATCTCGATATTCCCTTCATTTTCACACAATCTTTTCGTCATATCAAAATCAACCAACCTAATCTTTATCATGACCATGCTAAGAGTATCGCGTGAAAAGCTGCTTGCGATCCCAGAGCTGCTCAACATCATCACCAGCTACCTCTCGCGCGATGATCTCAGGACCCTCATCCGTGTCAACCGTGCCCTCAACGCCTACTGGGTCCCACATCTCTACGTCAAACTCTTTTTCCGCTCCTACCAACGGACGCGAAGCTATCCCAAGGTTAACATCTACGGTCAGCATGTCAGGAGCCTCAATCTCGTCGCCACATCCTGGGATAATGTCGTCCACCTGCTAAAGTTCACCACCAACCTGCAGTCACTTTTCCTTCGCTACACAATATTGAATACATCCCACCTTCAGGAGATCGTAAGATTGACACCCCACCTGCGGGTCCTCCACGCGACCCTGGCTCAGTCCTCGATGGAGCCATTGAACTGCCGGATGACGCCCTTGGCGTCACTCAAGCGGCTAGAAGACCTCAGCTGGGAGGCCGCAACGGAAGTCCGAATTGACGATGTGCTGTTTATACTGAAATCTTGCTCTCAACTCAAGTCACTGGCTCTATCTCTCGTTACCCTGATTGAGGAATTTAAGGATACGAACGCATCTGCACGTCGTTTGATCAAGGTCGATGACAACAGTATGTGGGCGAATACGTCGTTACGCTATTTGAACTGGGATAGTTTGACACTAGGCGCGCGTGGCACCATCGCAGATGCGGACGACTCTGTAATTGTGCATCCGTGTATTCGACGACTCTTTCAGCGTGTACCGAACCTCAGGGGTATAAGATGCACTGGACACCTCGCTACATTGCCGTGGGACTCTATCCTTGCAAACCGGACGAGCATAGAACATGTCGAGCTCGAGTTCCGGTCGCCAATGTCGAATCGCCATCTCCCTGTGGAGGGCACTACGCTTCTGAACGCCATCGCCAAGGCATGCCCGCAACTCAAGCAGCTCAGTGTCAAAAATTTCCCTCCTTCGTCGGACGCGGCCTTTGAGCAGGTCATGAAGGCCAGTGAACAGATACAAATCGTCAGTGTCAAGAACACGGAGTTTGGCGATATTGCCCTCACGCAATTGGCGCGACTCTCACTTCCGATGTTTACGTCGCCTCACAGCCTTGTGGACCTCAATGTGGAGGGATGTTTCAACGTCACCAGCAGGGGTGCAAGAATGGTCCTCGAGAACTGTGCGTCGCTGCGCAGTCTGAATCTGCTGGGCACGCGGGCGGGAACGATCGATCTCTTCAAGGGAAGCAAGCCTTGGTCATGCGTAAAGGCGCTGGAGAGGCTGCGTCTCGAGATCCAACCAGTTGACTTCCAACCCCGTCCGCGTGGTACTGTGCAGAGGTTGCCACCCGTCAGGTTGTACACGGCGGAGGAACAACAGATGATCAAGGACCGAATTTGCTCGTTCAAGGCATTGATGGGTTTGGAGCTGAAGGGTGATGCGATGACATTTGAGATGTTGGAGGCTCCGGTTTCGTTTGCGCCAGAGATGCGGAGGGTGTTGCTGCATGTACCGTGGACGAGTGATGAGAGCGAGGCGCGTCGGCCGACACAGGAGAGGGCTGTTGAGCGGGGGAAGGCGTTGTTCCCTGGGTGGACTGTGTGGAGTGATGCAGGATACGTGTCGTCGCGATTGTGTAGTGTGATCAAAGCCAAGGTCAACGATGAGTACTTTACGTTCTAAAGAGAAGGGTGAAAGTATAGTAAAATAAAACACCGTAATAGTAATAAATTCTAGGGTGATACTTTTTTTTGTATTCAGTTTTTCATTTTGAGGGTAGTTTACATAATATTTTTTTCGGAATCCGACCCAAAGGATCGAGAGGGTGGTACCGAGGCAAATAATAGTGGGTGTGGATGAATGACCATACTATTGCCCAGTGTCCATTAAACATTACACAAGAACACAAGACAGGAAAGAAAAAAATGGTCTACAGAGATGATTTAGTCTACAGTCGACAATGGGCCTGACTTATGCATCCCATGCCATGCAAGGAAAAGAAAAGAAAAAAAAGGCACGAAGAGGAGGTGCAAGCGTGGGATCATCATGAGGATTCAGGTTCAGGGGTCCTAACAGCAAAAAAAGTCTTAGACGCGCGCGTGAATGAGGTTTGGGGTGTGGGCGTAAAGCGAGGGCAGTACGTATACGGAGCCACTTGCAGAACGACCTCAATCATCTGAATGAGCTCGTCAAACAGTACGCGCTTAGGGTTGGCTGCATGCATGGATGTAGACTTTTTTTTTTTTTTTTTTTTTGACATGAACAGAGCAATTCAAGGTAGTATTATGACAGCCCTCGGGATCTTGACTAATGCAAGTTTCTTTGGGCATTCTCATGTTTGTAAAGAGAGGAGTTGATTGCATGGGGCTCACTTCACTCTATTGAACTAGAGAAGCCATAGACTATCCATTATGGTAGCGGAATGGAGGTAGTGATGCATCATATGCGAGATCAGCGGCAGATATCTGAAGGACGGATAAGACGCGCCTCTCTTCGGAAACTCGGATTGGCCAGTCTAGGGCGCTCCTTTCTTGTAGGGCACTTCTATGAATGTCCTTCGTCGCGCCTCGCCTTGGGATTGGTCCTTCCAAGACGCTTTGATCGGATATTCTTCGCGTTCGAGGGGGGAGTCAGCTCCTCCCGGCTATCATGCTTCCCAACTAGAATCCATACCATTGACGATGGCAGTAATAAAATAAAAAAGGATAGAGAAAGGAGTGGACAGTATGTTTTGGTATGATCGTTGATAACGGCTTGTCATTCAGCGCGAAAATAGGCAGTGGTGTAGAAAACCTGTCCTTTCCTCTAATGCATCCTATGGTACCTCACATTCTTGCAAAAATACATTGACGTTGAACCTTCACATCCCGACCTTTGTTCACATAAATACTCTCTCTCTCTTTCCCGCCATTCCGCTCCTTCAGATATTCCCAAGCCCCCCACAATCTCTGCAGGTCCTTCTTCGATCCCAAACTCAACTCCAACAGTCTATCGCAAAAATCTACGGCCCAGAAGGGGCAAGAATAATCCTGTTGACGCCGCAACCTCCTCATCTATATCCCATTCAATTGTCTTTGTAGCCCCAGAGCTGCCGATCTTCATTGTCAGATACTTGTTAAGAAATGATACATAGTCTTGTGGACCTGGATGCGGAAGGGTGCACTTAGACTACAAGCAGGAGTGCTGTCATGGTTTTTGAATACTGTACATTGTTGTGCATTCTGAACCTGTCTTTTCAACGGTGCAGGAACTATGTAAATAAATATCTTAGCATGCTTCCACACTCGCCAGGTGTAGGGGAAAATGTAAGATCGAATCGAGAAAATCGAGACTATTTCATGGTCTTTGAGGCGAAGCTCTGCTCGATGAACCTTGTGGAATATTCGTTGACCTTGACCAACAAACTTGCAATCTCGTTCGCAAGGTCCTCCAATTTCTTATTGAGAAGTGTGTTGCCAATGGTAGTCAAAGAGCCAGAATCGGTCTCGAAAGACCCAGGATATTGTCAACCGCTTTAGTAACCCCGCCTTCATCGCCACACTGCTGCCTCACTTCCTCCACCACGGCGCGTTTTGCATTATATTGACCTATGTAGCAGAGACCTGTGCTGGTTGATTTATTTGGTTAGACCTTGTCAATTATGAATATTTTGTTAAGCAAACCCCCTGTAGTTGCCAAGGTCTAACCAAATAAATCAATCAGCACAGGTCTCTGCGTACGAGCAGAGACAAGTACCCTTAACGTGGTGCAGACGGGTAGTACTTTATAAGGGGCCCGTCTGCCCAGGAAATAAAGATCACATTGCACGTCTCAAACAACCATCAGCACCCCTGCGCAAGACTTCCTGGGCGACCTCGTTGAAAATGATCGCTGCGGCGACTCCCTTTCCACCCGCGCGAAATCGATCACATGTCGCAAGATTGAAAACTGTGTGAGGCTGGCAGGCGCAGTATCGTGCGAAATGTCCGGATGCCCGACACAACATGGACGTGGAAGCATCATGGATTCAAAACCTGACGGCGCTTCAATGGGGTTCTTGAAGATTGCAGAAGGGTCTTGAACGATGCGGTCGCGGAATCCCGGTCGGAGAGATCGAAGTGCATGACAAAGTTGGCCAAGAAGACATGCTCCTTGTCTCTCTGTTCGAGGGCCAAGTCCAAATATGCTTGTGACATATCATAAAGATAAAGGTTCTAGGTAGTGGGAGGTTAAAACAGGGTCATTACAGGCACATGCGTATCACAAGTTCCATTGATGCATAAATATCAGTGATTCTCACCGGTGAACAAAAGAATCGGTGAAATCCGGTGAAATCCGGTGAAATCCGGTGAAATCCGGCGAGACTTTGTGCTATTACCATATGTGGAATTCACCGGTGAAAAAATCACAAAAAAGTTGTTAACCGTTCACCGGTGAGAATCAATAGAGGAGCCAATGGCGCCTTCCGGGCACATGCCACGAAGAGCTCCTAAGGAGACCATCACTGTCACGGTCACTTCCCGGTCGGCAAACCAGAAGACCGAAAGGGCTCGTTAAGTCCCCTAGAGCTAAAGAAGCAAACCGCTAACGACAGGATGTTTCTGCATCTGTGTGAAAGGATTGTTAAACGAGGGGGACTGGGGCTAAGAGAAAACATAATCATGGAGGAACGGCGGGATTAGTTTCAACATAAGCAATGCGTACACATCAATAACAGGTCAGAAAGTATGAGAGATTAACAAACCTTGAGCGCCTTGGGGTTGGTCAACGAGAGAAGGAGCGAGGGAGAGATTGATTCTTCATGGAGAATGGAGAAGTGGGAGCGTTATAGAACTATTTAGGTTACAAACATCGAACGGCCACCCTCACAGTACTCATTGTTGAGAAGAAAATCAACCATATGCATGTACGTGCTGCGCACAAGCATGCAGGAAGAATGAGTGGGAAAAAAAGAAACGCCGAGGAATGATGGTAATGGGCATGCCAATCAAGCCATCCCTCCCCTCTACTACTCCAGGACGGATAGTCTTGGCAATTGCTCACAAATCTTTCCCTTATTTTTTTTTCCTTCCTCTTTCTCTCTACTTCCTCTCAGAAATGTACCGGTATTGCTCTCGTATCTTTATTCAGCAAAGGCAGACCCACACTCTCTCAAGGTCTTTGCCCATCAGAAAGTCGTTCGCAGATCTCAAGGACGTTCTTGAGAAGGGAAGGGTCCAGTGCGGTATCCCCGGGATGAGTGTGGCCGTCCTCCACAAGGGCAAACTCGTCTTCGCAGAGGGGTTCGGAAAGAGGAACGAACAAGAACCTTTCACCGCTGAGGTAAAGAACGATATGATCTGCTCTACTTGACTATTTTTTATCTCACTCGAGGGATATACTAAGAGAAAATACAATGCGACCTTAGACATTGGCACCTATTGGATCCCTCACAAAGGCCTTCACAGCCACAGCCATTGGTGAATTGGTCGCAGAAGGAAAGATGGACTGGGACAAGACACCAGTTAACAAGTACTTTCCAGAGTTTGAGCTCAAGGACCCAGTCCTGACTTCTCAACTGACACTCGTCGATCTCCTCTCTCATCGCACGGTATGTTTTGTGATATTAATATTGTTTTCCATGTACATGCACAGAAGTGAGAGACAGTTCGGTTCACTAAGCAAGGGGATTTGCCTCAAAAACCTCTAGGGTCTACCAAGAATGGTTGAATTTGCCTGGATGGGGAGCACAGAGACTAGAAGAAACCTCATTAAGCGCTTGAAGCATGTGGAGACGACCTCCAAGCTAGGCTCGAAATGCATCTACAACAACATTATGTATGCAGTCGCAGGAGAGGCTGCTGCTAATATCGCAGGCATCCCATACGAGGATGTTGTGCGAGAAAAGGTGATCAAACCCCTCGGTTTGGCCAACACTGGATTCTCGCCCATGGAGATGAAGGGGCGATCGCCCAACCATGCCATACCGCATACTGCAGCTTCATTCCAGGATGCTCAAAAGGGATTATTCGAGCTAATAGAGCTTGATGAGGTCTACATGGCTGACGCACCAGCTGGAGACATGTACTCCAACGTCTTGGACCTTATCCGCTGGGGCAAGACCATCATGAACACTGGCGAATTGGACGGAAATCAGATTCTGAATAAGGAGGCTCTCCAAGAGACTCTGACTGCGCATACCATCATGGCTGGTCCTAGGCGTACGCCCGAATTTGCTCCCGTAGTCACCTACGGTCTAGGATGGGACCTGGACTCCTACAAAGGACACACTTGTTATACGCACGGTAAAATTCACCTCACGATGGCTTGTATAATACACCGATGGCATACCTGATACAAAAAAAGTCGCTAACATTATTCTTAAAACGCCTGGCATAGATGGTGCTATCTCTGGTTTCCAGTCACGCCTGGACATTTTCCCGGACGCGGATCTGGTCATTGCTCAACTCTCCAACATCAATAAGTCGGAGATGGCTGGCGGCGTTGCATGGTGTATTGCGGATGAAATTCTCGACTTGCCAATAACCCAAGACTGGATCTTTGATAACGCTATCAGGACAACAAAAGATATATACAATTGGTATGGAACTGATCTCGACAGCCAGCTTCCCAAGCGTATTTTGAACAAACCGGCAGCCCAGAACTTGCATGCCTATGAGGGCGAGTACGCCAATCCGCTCTTAGGCGATGTTTCTGTTCGAGTGGGCGTAGACAAGAAGACAGGAGAAGAAATTTTGTTTTATAAGATGGGACCTTTTGACGGCAATCTGGAGCATTATCACTTTGATGCATTTGTTCTTAGATTGAAAGATGTAAATCTCAAGATGACGGGTCTTGTGACATTCCGGACAGGATATCACGGCAACGTGGAGGGGCTTCACTTTTCTAGTGAGGAGTTTAAGAAGGAAGACAATTCTAATGCCGACCCTAATGAAACCAAAGAGGAGTAGCAAGGCCAAGAAACAGCAGTGTCTTGTGCATAGCGTTTAGAACTCGTCCTAGAGTTTTATTATAGTAATTGAACTTTGTACTGAGAAAACCCGTTCATTTGGATACACGCTGATATCGAATATCGGAGGATATAAGCATATACCTTGCAGATGACTTAACTGAATGGGGTACTGCTAACAGTGGATCGCCCTTGTTGCTACTCTCTGATAAGATTAAGCGTATTGGTCTATGGATTTGTTCGAAGGTCCAACATATCCCTCACTCCCTTTTCCTTTTTTCGGGCGCGTTACTAAGGCATTTCTTCAAAACGTTTGTATACAAGGCTGCGCTTAAACCGCCGCGCCTAAAAATGAATATCAGAGGCAAGAAACCTCTCTTCCCACATAATAGCGATGCCCGAAGTTAACGCGGTCGATGAAGAGAGACGAAGAGAGAGAGAGTAACACCACCTCTACCAGCACGAGTCGCCTTTTTTTCTTTTTTCTCGCTGCTACCCGTCTTTAGTACGATGAATCGTATTATATGTGTATAAGGCACGATTTGCCCATTACTAAAAGAGCATATCGTTTTCACAGATACCATTCCCACATACTCTGCATATCCTGCTACATCCGCGACACCAGAATCTCCCCGACCAAATAACTAAATTGTCTGCGCTGTCAATCCTGCTCTCGGACCGTAATCTCGTTGTCTACATCGTAGAAGGACAGTTAAGTTTGTGAGAGCAGGAAGAAGGTTTATATGTTCAACACAGCACAAACGACGTGCATGATGGTGGCAAATATCAGTCTCAGGCTAGTGATTGTAACTCGAGTTAACTCAACTGAAAAATTTGATGACATCGCTGATTGCATTGTCAATTAGCAATAATGTCTTAAATAAAAAGACTATAATTGACAATACATTCAGTAAGGTCATCGAAGAGTTAACTCGAGTTAACTCGAGTTACAATCATTATCTCAGGCGCCCCTTATGTGGCGCGAAAGTCCCATAGTTGGTGGCGATGTTTAGTCCAATTATATATCAATCACCTAACCTAAAAGCTCTCCTGCCTTGTGGACGGAAAAAACATGTTGAGGGCGTTCCTGATCAATATTGATGCAGCGGCTTTCATCGGCGACCTGAGGGAACTCATCAAAGCTAAGGAAACTATTGCCTTGAATGGTATCTCTCGGTCCCAATCACGGATGATGAGGATGAATCTCCCATCTTGCTTGAGGAGCTGAGCGACAAAAAAAAAAAAAAAATCTCATCCCTATCATCCGCCTTTCCAAAGTCTTTGCAGGGGAGCTGGCTGACAACACAATACACATCCTTGCCCAGCGCCAAGTACACCCGATGAGAGGTAAGAACCCATGATATTTTTGTTCTCGAGCCGCTATGGTTGCATTCCTTTTTCTCATTGTTTTTGTTTTAAAGCATCATCGAAATTTAGTTGCGCGACATTCACGGTAGTTCCTGAAACGTTCAACTGCAGAGCATTTCTTTGGACCACCAACATGGAGACGACGACTATGTTGCTGTTGCAAAATGATATCAAGGATTAGGACTGTTTGCAGACGATCTGAAATTCACTGCAGGAAATGAGATCAAAGGCACCCTGGGGCAAGCAGCAGGCTGGTACACAGTGGAATCCAAGGATGAGGTTGATTCTTGTTCTTTGTGCGTTACAAGGGTTCAGGAGGAGTGAATCGAGGATGTAGTGGCGGAGAATATGATGCAGCTGGACTCGATATTATGCGGAAGGAAACAGAAACGTGGGGGATGACACTTCAGAAGCTACAAATTAAGCATGCTATGGAATCGTGACGGATGGAGGCCGGTGGCATTTTGTGGAGCGCACTCAGGACCCATCCACTACTTCTTTGCTGCCTTGGTCGGCTTTTCGATTGTCATCAAATGTTTGTTGTCTGGACTATAGCAAAGATTGAGAAGAGGTGCGTCTAGAGGTGAGACACAACTTTGGGCATTTAGGTGGATATATTGAGTTGGTAAAAAAGAATCAGTCGTAAAAGCGGCACAAGAGCACACTCGCTGTAGGGAGATGATAATGGTGGAGATCTTGATGAGGCAGTCGCGCAGGCGAAAGGCTTCACATGCATTTTGTGCGCGTGAACAAAAAAAAAAAAAAAAAAAAAAAAAAAAAAAAAAAAAAAGAATGGCCCATGGTACGTTTGAATTGATGCTCTATTCCAAAAACTTGAGAACATTTCGTTCTGGCTTACCGGAACTTTGAATTGGGGTTTTATTGTAAAGTATATTAGGGGCGTTGCTTCTTCGGGGGAGTGACGCTGCTTTTGTTTTTTAATAGCGATCGCATTAGGGATGGGAATAAGAAGAGGGCTCAGCAGCAAGAAATAGGATCGGAGAGTTGAACGTGCTTATTTCCAGGGCCAATGCTTCTCCACTCCGCAAATAAACAGACGAGCACACAAACAAACAAGCAATCGAAAGCTGAATACAGCCGTCGATCTGTCAGCCATGAGCCATGCATGGGTGGACACGTGCTCTTTAATAAAACATGATTATGATCTGCAGAGCAGCAGGAGCAATGCTCCTTAGATAAGATCGACTCCTCGGTCTTGAATGTCGTCGTCTTTCCCCTCCTTCCACGGTCCGAACGAACCGCGACATGTGCAAGTCCTTTTCTACACGAGACAGACTTGTTCAACGGACGAAGCACGCCCCTCCTGTGAATGGCACGATCCGCCGCGCCCTTTGCCACATTTCCACACCTCTACTGGAGCGGAAGTACTGTGGTTCATCATCATCATCATCGTCATCGTCATCCTCATTATTTGGATCGCATTTGTTCAACGTCCGATGCATAGATGAGAAAAGAAATAAAGAGGATGCATATGAAATTGCATGCAGATATAAAAAAAAAAAAGCAGTTCTGTCCCTTCCCTCATCTCTTTTATTTATTCCATCACTTTCATCACTTTCACCTTTATTTTCCCACACGTTCACCCGTCTTTCTTCACACTTTACTTTTTTCACTCAAGCAAACAACAACAGCAGCAGCAATAGCAACATCCTTGCATATACCGTTTTCTTGTATCACACATCATAGCAAACCATGAAGAGCTACACTGTCGAGGTCGGACCCCAGGACGTTCAGGGCGAAACTCGGATCCGTCGCTCAGCCATCTCCTCTGAAACCCTGACGGAGCGGCCCTCGGACGATGTCAAGACCATGTACGACGTGATCCAGCACTCTGCACGCGTCCGTCCCAATAGCAACGCAGTCGGATACCGTAAGATCCTCAGTGTGATCGAGGAAGAGAAGGAGATCAAGAAGGTCGTCCATGGCGAGGAGGTCACGACCCAGAAGACCTGGAAGTACTTCAAGCTCTCGGGATACAACTGGTTGACTTATAAGGATGTCAAGGTTGTTGTCGATAGCATCGGTTCTGGACTGAGGAACATTGGAGTCCAGCCCAAGGACAAGATCACCGTCTTTGGTTCCACGAGGTAAACCAAAACACCTGCGAGTGCTTGTTTGTGGGGGGGTTTTTTTAATTTGTACGAGGGAAAGAGAACTTGCACAGCACACTGCTGCTCTCGTCTGGGGGAAGAGGGAGTTTTCTTTTTCTTTTTCGTTTTCATTGCATGGTTCTGTGGGGGGGCTGTCAGTCTACGGATGAAGACGAGGCGGGTGACCCATGAAGAGTGCGATTGGCGCCTGGGTTTCTCGCGTTTGATTTCGACTTTTTTTTTTTTTTTTTTTTTTTTTTTTTTTTTCGTGTCGTTAACACTCTTTATCTCGATTTAACTTTTTTTTTTTCATTTTATTTTTCTGACTTTTCACCATCGCAGTGAGAACTGGCTGCTGGTCGCCCACGGCGCATTCCAACAGAGCGTTACCATCGTCACAGTCTACGACACCCTCGGCGAGGATGGTCTGCTGCACTCCATGAACGAGGCCGAGGTCGCCACCGCATACACCAACGCCAATCTGCTCGCAACCCTCACCAACGTCGCTGGCAAGTGCCCGACTCTCCAGCGGATCATCTACGATGGCGATGCAAAACCACAGGACCTCAAGAACTTGCAGGAGAAATATCCACATATCAAGGTCATCACCCTGGACGAATTGAAGCTGTTGGGATCCGATCAACCTGTCGAGGCCGTCCCACCCACGGCCGAGGATCTTTGCTGCATCATGTATACCTCCGGATCGACTGGAAACCCCAAGGGAGTGCTGCTGACCCACGGAAACTTGACCGGCGCCAGTATGTCCTTGACTCTTTTATGCTTTGGTCCTCATGCAAAAACTATTAACAGCAACAGCCCCCGGACTGGACAGTGTCAGCTCAGCCCAACTGACGCACCAATTTTATCTTTCTCTCTTCGACAGTTGGCGGTGTTGATATCATGCTCAGAAAGTACATTCAGGAGGAGGGCGATGTCCTGCTAGCCTATCTCCCCCTTGCCCACGTGCTCGAGTTCCTTGTCGAGAACGTTTGTCTCTACTGGGGCGTTGCCCTCGGTTACGGCACCCCTCGCACCCTCACCGACGCTTCCGTGCGCGAATGCAAGGGCGACATCAAGGAACTCTGCCCAACTCTGATGACAGGAGTCCCCGCCGTCTGGGAGACCATCCGCAAGGGTGTCCTCGCCCAGATCAACAAGGGCTCACCTCTTGTGCAGTCCATCTTCCATGCGGCCCTCAGCGCCAAATCGTGGTGCCAGGACCGTAAGCTGAGTGCGCTCTCTGGAGCCCTGGATACGGTCATCTTTGACAAGGTCCGGCAGGAGACGGGAGGTCGACTTCGGTATGCGCTCTCGGGCGGTGCACCGATTTCGTTGGAGACACAGCGGTTTTTGTCGACGACGCTGTGCCCGATCCTGCAGGCCTATGGTATGACAGAGTCCTGTGGTATGTGCGCGATCATGACGCCCGAGGTCTTTAGCTACAACCGTGTGGGTCTGCCCGTGCCGTGCACAGAAGTCAAATTGGTGGATGTCTCGGATGGGGGATACCTTTCAACGGACGAGCCATGCCCGCGTGGGGAGGTCTGGATCCGTGGGCCGTCGATCACTTCCGGATACTTCAAGAACCCTGAGGAGACGGCTGCGACGCTCACGGAGGATGGCTGGCTCAAGACTGGAGATATCGGTGAATGGCATCCGGACGGAACGCTTGCGATTATCGATCGCAAGAAGAACCTGGTGAAGCTGTCGAATGGAGAGTACATTGCGCTGGAGAAACTCGAGTCGGTGTACAAGAGTACGGCGTACTGCAACAATATCTGTGTGTGTGCGGATCCGATGGAGTCGAAGCCCGTGGCGTTGATTGTCGCGAGCGAGCCCCGGGTCCATGAGCTGGCGAAGGCCAAGGGGATCGAGGAGCGGGATTTCGAGAAGCTGTGTAAGAATGAGGAGATTGTGCAGGCGGTTTTGGAGGCTTGCCTGGCGACGGGTAAGCGTGCGGGATTGAAGCCCGCCGAGATGTTGCAGGGTGTCTATCTGGAGCCTGAGGAATGGACCGCGGAGGCCGGGTTCTTGACGGCTGCACAGAAGTTGAAGCGCAAGGAGATCAATCACGCATACGTTGAGCAGATCAAGGCCATCTACAGGTCTAGTTAAAGACGGATAGACAGACGGATAGACAGACAGACAGACAGACAGACGGACAGATGTAGCTTTGGCATTGAAGCAGATGGAGCCAAAGATAAAGAAATACTTATTTATACCCCCCAGCCGTTTGCTCGGATAATTGGTTGTGTCCTTTGCTCTGGCACGTCTGGCATTGGCATGCTGGTCTTTTGTTACCTTTGAGACGGAGGATACATCATTTTTTTTATTATTATATTTTGCACAATTACAGGCATGTAGACATACACGATTCTTTTGTAAAGTACAATAAAGCACAACGAAAGAGAGAGAAAGAGAGAAAGAAAAGAGTGGGGAGTAAAAAAAAAAGGAGGGTGGCAGAGGGAAACCGCCGCATCCAAGCATTGACAACGACCTTGGTCCTTTCGGAAAGAGAGGGAGAGAAGGGAAAGAACGAAAGAAGGAACAAATGAATATATACATCCTGGGTCATCAACTGGACTACGTTGCCCTTGGCTCGACTCGAGATAATGTTGGACCGGTCCAATTCTGTCATGGTCTCTGATTTCCTTGCCTTAATTAGACCAGGGCCTGTGCCTCGACAGGTTCCTCGGGCTTGAACCGGGCCTGGAGGAGCTCCCGGATCTGGGGGTATATTTCGTCCGAGGTGTTTCCTGCGAGGCTGACGAGGATGTTGCGTTGTTTGTAGTAGTCCAGCAATGGCTCTGTCAGCTCGTGGTGCTTCTGCAGCCGAATCTTGAAGGTTTCCTATAGGAAGAGGTGAACATGGCATGACATGGGACATGGGGCGTTAGTTTATATAAAAATAAAAATAAAAATAAAAATAAAAATAAAAAGGATAACCGGAAGTGTAAGGCCTTGGCGTAGTTGGGTGTCTGTCTGGGCGTGTGAATATTGCACCCCTCAAGTTGAAGTGTGCACTATCCTGCTCGTCAAGGTCACCGGGGGGGTGTCTTATCGGGTGAAATTGGGAACAAGGTATTGCTTCATTCCTCCTTTTGGGTTGCAACGAGCAGAAAAGCCAAATCCAAAAAAAAAAAAATATATTTCGTGTTTCCCTCTGGTGTCCCGGATCCACTTCCCAGTCCACAGACGGAGTCCCGGGCCCTGTTCCAGTTCTTAGTTAGTTCTGCCTCCACACTGGGTCCTTGATCCTGGCTATCCTGGTTGTCCCTCTTCCCGCTAAGGTTGCCCTGGTAAATGACATCACCCATCGAGCCAATCGGATTCAAGAACTGAGAGCAGCGCTCTCTCTTTTGCCTATCCATGTCCCCGGACTTTTTTTTTTTTTTTTTTTTTTTTTTTTTCAAATGTTTGGTGTCACTGCTGATAATCTTATTAAACTTACAGGATTATCGTCTGGTCGGCGCTCGAGAGGTTCGCCCGTGATATCGTCGACGCCGTGGTTCTTTGGTGGGTTGTATGTCATGTTGTAAACCCTGCCCGATGGAATGTGTACCCAGCGATCTACAGCACGAGCCGAAGAGATGAAGAGCAAGAGGTTGATTGTTAGTAAAAAGACGCAAGGAACAAGAACGATGAAACTTGGCGTATTGTCCGTTGGTGGCAAATGATTGATTCAGTGGCAATGGATTGACATCCTTCATCTTCCCCCTCCGGACTTACCCATGATGCGCTGGAGGATAACGTCCTCTGGAACATCCAGATGAATAACCAGGTTGAGGGACTGGTTCACTTCATCCAAGGTCTTGTCCAGAGTCTTTGCCTGGGTCATGGTCCTGGGGAATCCGTCGAGCAACCAGTTCTGGTCGGGTCCAATCTTGTTCAGCTCCTTGTCAATCAACTGGACCATGACCCCGTCCGAGACAAGAGCGCCGTTCTTCATCTCTTTGGCGGCCTGCTTGCCAATCTCGGTGTGCTGGGCAATGTTCTTGCGGAGGAGATCTCCAGAGGAGATGGTGTTCACGTCAAAGTTGTCCTGAATCCGGCCGGATTGGGTGCCCTTTCCGGAACCCTTTGTAACAGAGAGAAAAAAGAGGGGAGGAGAATAGTTTTGCCAAGTTAGGTTAGTGAAACTGCGCGCCATCATGTGGGGAAAGAGAGTGGCCAATTGCACATGTTCCGATAGACAAGGTTGGTTCCTTCGAGATTATCATGTTGACAAAAACAACGCCCATGCAAGAAACGATGATAATAATAATAATCCGATAAAGATAACCAGGGCGCACGGGCTGCAGCAGCAGACAGCAAGATAGCTGAGAGCTGGTATGCGCGGGAGTTTTGGGGGGAAATGTGGATAGGGTGTAACCTACGGGACTTCCGATGAGCAGGAGACGGAGGGGTGCGTATCCATCGGCCATGTGGGACATTCGCAGACTTGCGGCGGAATTGGAGACGGCCCTCGAGAGGAGAGCGGGGCGGAAGGTGGAGGCGCCTTGGGGCAGCGCCGGGCGAGGGGTGGACTTTAGAGCAGCAGAGGAGAGAAATCGGGATTGGAAGCGGCCATGGGTGCTGGAGAGCGAGAGGACGTGTCTGGACAGAACCATTGATTAGTCAGCAGTGGGGAGGGGAGGGGAGGGGCAGTCGACAGCAATTGGAGGCGGAATGAAAGAGAGAAGAATAAAGAAGAGAGAAGAGAGAGAAAGAGAGAAAGAGAGAGAAAGAGAGAGAAAGAGAGAAGAGAAAGAAAGAAAGAGAGAAAGAGAGAAAGAAAGATGGAGCGGAAAGTGGGGTAAAAGGAAGAACCCTTTGCCCCCTTTTATACCCTCTCTTTAAGGTTCGAGGCAGGGGGAGACTGCTTCTTCTTTGGGCCCATCAACGGCTGTCTGTCCCCTCTGTCCCTCTGTGCAACTGCCTCTTAAGCAGTCTACTTAAGAGGTAGTGGGGCGCGAGTTTCCCACACTCCTCCCCGTCCTCCATCCTCATCAGCCCCATCCCCATCCCCATCCTCCTCCCCATCCCTCATCGCTCCTCTGCTGCCTGCTCATCCCCCTCCCTTTTTTTTCTTTCTTTTTCTTTTTCTTCTCTTCTCTTTGTGATCTCCCTCCTCTGTGTGTGCGCGTGTGTTTGTGTGAAACAAAAATAAGAATTTGAAAGGATCCCCATTATGACCGCTACCAAAGTGAACCCCCAGGAACAGCTGAACCAGTTCCTGGCCCAGTCCAAGGCCGACTCCTTCCTTGACCCGTCCTTTGCCGCCTTCATGGACGACCGCGACCCCCTCAAGGACCTCCGCACTGAGTTCATCATCCCCACCCGCGGTGAAATTGCTCCAGGTAGGAACTCGATAGTAGCTGGCGCCTTGATTTTCGCACGGCATTAACCCTGCATCGCATTTTTTGAATCAACACACTCAATTGGCCTCTTCTTTTCTGGCTGTTCATTCAAATGAATTTAGGCGCCTCGAACCCAGAGGAGAGCTGTATCTACTTTTGTGGCAATTCACTGGGCCTGCTTCCCAAGGCCGTGAAACGCTATGTGAGTGAAGAACTCGAGGTCTGGGGCGAGGGTGCCGTGAACTCTCATTTCAAGCACCGCTTCGGCCGTCCCTGGGTGCGAATCGAAGAGACCGTCCAGGAACAATCCGCCCGGGTCGTTGGTGCGAAGAAGGATGAGGTCGCGATCATGAACACGTTGACGTCGAACCTGCACGCACTCTTTGCGGCGTTCTATACGCCTACGAAGGATCGTCATAAGGTCCTGATCGAGTCAAAGGCCTTCCCCTCGGATCATTATGCGATCGAAAGTCAAATCCGCTGGCATGGATTGGAGCCAAAGGATAGTCTGATTTGTCAAGAGCCCAGGGAAGGGGAGACGCTGCTGAGGACAGAGGATATTTTGGAGACGATTGAGAAGCATGGGGAGGAGATTGCGGTCGTGTGTTTCTCGGGGATCCAGTTCTATACGGGTCAGTATTTTGAGATCGAGAAGATCACCAAAGCTGCGCAAGCCAAGGTAAAAAAAACCAAGCATTCTTTAAAAAAACCCTTCTTGATTGTACCAATAGACGAGCTATGTTCAGCTGACAATATCCTGGATTTTATTTTATTTTATTTTATTTTATTTTTGCACCCAATCGTGTTCTGATAGGGATGCATTGTGGGATGGGATTTGGCGCATGCGGCAGGCAATGTGCCGGTGCAGCTGCACGACTGGAATGTCGACTTTGCGTGCTGGTGCTCCTACAAGTACTTGAATTCAGGCCCCGGAGGCATTGCCGGTATCTTTGTGCACGAGCGCCATGCCAACGACTTTGGTCGTAACCGTCTGGCTGGTTGGTGGGGACACGATAAGGGCACCCGTTTTGATATGGTTAACGGTACAGTCTTGCTCTTCCAAAGAAAAGAAAAAAAGAGAAAAAAAAAAATGAAAAAAAAATACAGTTTATCCATGTAAAAATAATGCGTACTGACCATTCAATAACGCACCCATAGAATTCAAGCCGATTCCAGGCGCTGCAGGATTCCAGCACTCAAACCCCTCGGTCCTTACAACCAGTGCCTTGCTAGGCTCGCTCTCCGTCTTTGAGAAGACGACCATGCAAGACATGCGTGCAAAGTCCTACCTTCTGACCGGATACCTTTACCACCTCCTCATTACAGAATTCTCAACCGATGTCCTCGACATCATCACGCCCTCGGACCCGGAGCAGCGTGGGTGCCAGCTCAGCTTGGTGTTTAAGCGGGGCAAGATGATGGAGATCTTTGAGGAGCTGGCGAAGAAGGCGATCATCGGAGATGAGCGTAAGCCGGATGTGATCCGTGTGGCCCCCACGCCGTTGTATTCGCGGTTTGAGGATGTCCGTAGGTTTGTGGTTGAACTCAAGGAGCTCGTCAAGGAGATTTATCACTAGAGCGTGGGAGCTGTGGTGGAGAGAAGAGGAGAGGAGGAGAATGTATCCCCAAATAAAACGCTGTGCGGATCAAATTGTATCAGATTGCCTGATACAAACATTTAGGATCGTTAATTATTAGCATAGAGGAATTGTTAAAAGCGATGGTCGGAGGTAAGAATATGTAAAGTTTATTTAACAAGAATCCTCTGCGTTGGTGCTGGTATCCATCAATCTACGACTAAAGGAAGCGCCCTCCGAATCCGAATCCGAAGACGGCGATGGTGGAGAACGTGATGATGAAGAAAACGAGCCCGAAGAGTCCGATGAATCCGAAGAGTCCGAAGGGGCGGACAAAGACGACGACGAGGAGGCGTCAGATGACGAATCCCCAGCAGAGAAGCAGAGTGGTTCCTCTTGGATCTCGTATGGCGGACTCGGTGGCGCGATGGGTGCGGACGACGACGACGGTCCTGCCGCCGATGTCGAATAAAACGTTGGGCCATGGTCACTGCTACTGGCCCCATTCCTGTGCATATCTCCTCCATGCCCAACCTCCTGGTTCACGCTCAGAGAACCGGTTCGCGATGCGGATATCGCCGTCTCTGGGGACTCTTCCAACGAGGGCATGACATACGGTGGTGGGAGAAACCTGTCCCTATGGGTCTGCAATTGCTCGATCGTAGAGTGTCTTCTGGGTGCCGATCCAGACGCCAAGGCGGTCTCGAAATACGCGGACGAGACGGGCGTCAGACTCACGGGACGACGTGGCATCGCCGTCGTCGTCGTTGTTGCTGTTGTCCATGTGTGTTGCTCCCCCCGAATCGGCTCTCCACTCAAAAAATGCGACGACGGCGACGACGGTGAAGGGGAGGGGAAGGACTCATTCGGGGATACGGGTGAGTTTGGCATGGAGCTGTCGGATGAGGGGGAGCGGATGGGTGTCCCGTTCGGATAAGTCATTCCCATGGTCGTTTCGTCGAGCCCCAGGCTCAAGCCGGGGACCATCTGGACCTCCTCTCCGACCATCAATAGTAAGGTCGAATCGCGATCCGCGTACACGGGCAAGGGTACTTCATCCTCACTGTCCTCATCATACCCATCCTCATCATCGTCCTGGTTTACAGGGACGATTCCGTATAGCGCCCTGCTACGTCGACGTCGGCTCCCCCTCCTGGGCCTGTGCCGCTCACGATAGTCCATATCCTGATGGACTGGTGCTCCATCTTCCTCAAGTGTCGGGTGTATCAAGATCGGAAACGACAGCTGGAGATCACGTTCCTTTGCGAATGTGCGATCGAACTTGATGAGGACTCGCAACTTGTGGGAGACCGAGAGGGTGTGGGGCCAGGGCAGGGTTGTGGTTTCGAGGACGGTGTTGGGCTGAGGGATCTGGAGACGAGCAGCGGCTCGGAGTTGGCCCCAGGTGTTGGTCGGGATGGTGTAGCTGGAGCAGTCGTGCAGGGCGGAGGTCGAGATGATGGAGGTGTTCATTATTGGGACGACCTTTGGACCGAACCTACGGAGGAGGTCGCAGGGAATGTACGCGAGAGGAGATATGAGACACATGAGTCGCCAGGGCCCGAACCGTAATTCTACCCCTAGAAAACGCTAATTTGACTCATGATAACAGATAACACGAACAAGGCCACTTACAGCTGATGCTCCTCCTCTACAATATAGTACTGTACTTCCTTGACTTTAAGCTGATCTTGCAGAGTCCGCCAACTGGCCTTGAACCCAAACTGCAGCTCTTGGAGCCTTCTAAGGTCTAACTGCTTCGGTACCTGGAACTGGAACTCGATCTTTCCGCGCCGCTTTCCGTGGAAGGAGTGGTCTTCACTCTGTCGGTAATCGATCGTGTCCTGCCATGACTGGACCCGGAAGGGGGTGGTGGCCGTCATATGGTTGTTCACGAGAATGTCTCGCCGGGACAGGACGAGCGTTGCGCGGAGGGTGTACATGATGGAGGAGTCGCCGGCGGTGGTTTTCATGGGGCCGGAGGGGAGGCTGCATAGGTCGGGGTCTGATTGCGGTGAGGGGGTGGAGGGCGATGGAGTAGAGGTGGAGGCCTTGGAGCGTATGTGGGAGGGGAATTCGATCCGGAAGTCGATATCGTTTACGCCTGGGAGCAGTTGGTTCTGTGTCCTGGATGGCGGCGATGCTGGGGTCGTCCCCGAGGGCGACTGCTCTCTCTCTCGTGCTCCTTCTTCAGTATTCGGACTGTCGCGTGGCGCCATTCCAGTCTCCGCATTTCCCTGCGCTAATGCCGAGTTCCTCCTTCCGGTGGCACTGTGGCCCTCAAAGAGAATCTCCTTCGATACATTCAAGAAGACCTGCTTGGCTTTGATGGTCCTGGAGCCCTGTCGACTGCAGATGCGGGTGGTGCCGGTGACGGTGAGGACGAGGGACTTGTAGATACAGGGGCGTTTGGCGAGGACGCGAACCTTGCCCGAGAGAGCGCAGGTGGATGGGTGGTGGACACAGAGGTGGACGGTTGAGGAGGAGGGGATGATGTCCAGGGCCGTGACCAAGTCGTTGAACAGCTTTCCGACCATCTCTGGCAAAGGGTTCGAGAGAGGATGGAGACGAGAAAGAGGAGGAAATAGGGCTTAGGCGGCAGAAGAGTGGCGAGGTGTGAGGAGTGGTGAAATGGGGACTTTGCCACAGGGGGGTGCGCGTGTGTCTGAGTGTGAAATATGAAATACGCTCGTGGGCACAGTTCGTTGAGAAATAGGAATCAGTCCGGGATGGAGAGAGAGAAAGGAATGAGAGTTGGAGTTGGAGTTGGAGAAGAAGAGGAAGAAGAAGAAGGAGAAGAGGAAGAAGAAGAGGAAGAAGAAGAGGGAGAAGAGGAAGAGATGGGTATTATTATTGTTGTTGCTTATTTGCTACTATTTGTTTGCTACAGCTATTATTGTTGTTGTTGTTGTTGTTGTTGTTGCTGTAGTGTGCTGTTTCTCAATGGGGGGTTTAACATGGTCCTGTAATCTGTCTGACCCTTTCATTATTGCATTGTGTGCATCGCCTCCCTCCTCCTGTGGACTGTAGCAGCAACAGGGACACTCGGTCCCACTCAAACATATTCATTACCGATTCAACCTCTTCATAACTGATCGCCTTATCTCTCCTATCCGCCGACAGCTCCATTTCACCTAGCTTGGTTCCCGCCCCTTTCCCTCTCCACCTACACTTCTGTGGCGTGTTTTACGGTTGGATGCATATGAGCATTATTTTAGATTGATTGGATCTGTCTATCGAGATATGTCTAGCTATGCAGTTTAAGAGTCGGAAACAACAATCCGCCTCTGTGGCAGGGGTCGTAGGAGGCAGCACAGCAGCTTGAGAAGCAGTGGACTGTGCCATCTCTCCATCCCTTGACACATCCAATGCTCAGTGTCCAAGTGAGCATATTCGCCCCGTAGATGTTGTCCACGGAACCCGGCTTGGTAATAACCGGCTGAAAGCTAAGAAGGGGGATGATAGCCCCGGCTGTGTACACGACATACACACGCACAACGACAAATGGACACTGGCGGACTAGTGCTCATTTCCTGCAAACTATAAGAAGCGCGGGGCACAAGACCTCTTTGACATGACTGGTCGGCAGAGGAGGATTTCCCATGAGCTTTCGCTTTATTTCCATGTCCGACTCCACCCCGGCGCACACAGACACAGACACAGGCACGCACACGTCTGGCGGTGCCAGTGCAAGCCTGCAATTAGTCCGCACCCCTTCCAGCCTCCCTTCTCTGCCACACATCCTTCATTCATCCGCTGGAGTGTTTTCCTTCTGTCCGCGACATGTTATTAATACTTACTAATGGACGTAATATGCATTCACAGCCCGCGTATAGCCACTAACAAGCCCACTTGGCTGCTACTGGACCAAGCCCAATACATTTACATATTCTCGCGAGAGCGACAGCCTACATGCACATGTGGTCTAGCACCGGACGACATGAGTAAAGTCGTCATGAGCTTGTGGAAAAAGCCAGCGAACGGGTATCCCTGTGGGACTTATGGGAGATCCCTTTTATGTGCATTATCACATGTCGGTAGAACGAATAGGCTTCGTCTGATGACTGCGGGCGTATAGACTATGAGTGCACAGTGCCACCTCCTCCTTTTCGCTCATTCCTCCTCAGCACTCCTTTCCTGACCCTTTCGACGACGACGGCATCAGCACCAGCGACAAGGGCTTCTACGACCGCAACAGCAACGACCAAGAAGACATATTTCCTCAGCAAGGCAAAGAAAGACAAGGACCTGAAGGATGCCAGGAACGACTATTAATCTTTATTTCGTGCGACATGGACAGCGCATCGACCAGGTCGACTTTTCTTGGGCAGGCACATCGCCCTGTCCGCAGGACCCACCATTGACAGAACAGGGCAAGCACCAGGCCAGACAGACCGGCAAGATAATCCGCGACTTTGCTCACGAGTCCCGCTCCTCTGGATCTTCATTCTCTACCTCTTCAGCAACCAGTCTTGGCACCACTGCAGCAACTGCGATGGAAAGCGGGCCACAGCATTGGACTCTGCAGAGAATCACGCCGCCTGACTCTCCCAGCCTCAACCGCTTCTGTCTCGACACTCACGAGCATCAGAGTACCATGTGCAGCACCAGTCAAGGAGGCGCTCACGGTGACATTCCATCACTCGAGACCCACCAGACTGGCTGCAATAGCAACCTTGGTGGCACTGGTCGCCGCCGCAGCAGCGAGAACAGGCGGAAGCATCACTTTGCGATCGTGACAAGTCCGTTCCTGAGGTGCTCGCAGACTGCGATCGAGATGGCCATCGGTATGCGCATGGCCTCCCCTTCTTCGATAGGGGAGAAGGAGTTGGATGCCAAGAAGCTGGGCGGTGAAGTCGACGGCGACGACAGGGACCTGGTCACTGTCTCAGTTGAGTCAGGGCTCGCAGGCAAGTATTTGGCCTTGGTTTTCTCTTGTCTCTGGGTGTGTTGTTTGTGGATGGTGATTGCATTCACTCCATGCCATGGAGGGCTTCATTCCCTCTGTTCATTCCTTCTCATTCCTTTCCTTTTTCTTTTCGTTTGACTCCACACGTTCGTTGGACGGACGACCATGTGTTTGTCTATTATTTATTTTTTTCTTTGTGTACCCTGTATCATGTGGGAGGAAAACGACCCTTTCGAGAAGAGGTGGCCGAGCGGTTTAAGGCGGTGTTCGCGGGTTCACTCGTACTACTCTTTCTTGGGCGGCTGTTAGTATGTCTTTACAGCCATGGAGAGTGCGGATATATTAAACACACTATCTTTTCCCGTGCATCCTTTCAATAGAATGGCTGTCCCTCGAATATGTCTCCGAGCCAGTGCCCGACTCGATCATCGTCCAGCGGATGCAGGACTTTGCGCTGTCGAGACGAGACCATGAGCAGTACTACTCCATCGACTGGAAATACTCTGCCAAGGAACGACAGCTCCCCAACTGGCCCGAGACCCGGGAGGAGATGCAGACCAGACTGGAACAGACACTCGCTCATATCCTAGCCGCTTACACCGGTCCAGCAGCCAAGGTTAAGGATAAGGATCGCGATCTCTCCATCGTCTTTGTTACCCATGCCTCCCCCGTCAATGGTAAGGTCTTTTCATTCCTCTCTTTCTGCGGTTGTAGCCAATCCCACCGAGTGGGATTCCTGCCTCTTGCCTTATATCTAATCAATGTTCGATTGTAATTATTTTTTCTTCACAGCTCTGCTAGAGGCATGTCTGCAGATGCCGGTGCTGGTCCCGGTTCCGAATTGCTCAATCTCACGTTGTCGCTGGACGCCTTCATCGACCATGGAGGACGAATGGCCTTTGTCCGGTCATACGGCGAACGGTACCAACAAAGACTATGAGCCAGTATTGTTGGATGCTTTGATGCAATCAAGACTCACACAGATCGTCGCCCAGGAAGAAGGGCGATGGCTTCTGGACTATCAGACTTATACCGCACATCTCGATCGAGATCTTCGTCGCTAGGTCCCTTTTTTGCTTTTGAAGAACCAGTTGTATACCTTCCATTCCTAGGTTCAGATTCATTCACAGTGAACTGTACATATCCTTCGATCCTTATATCCGGCTGCTCTTTAAGATGCACATTCTTTTTTCTTTTTTCTGTACTATAGTATTTGTGTCAAATAAATTCCAAGAAGTGAATTGTTTCGCGAAAGGGTTATTTTATTGGAAGCATGTTGTCAAAACAGATATCAAAGCAAGTTGCAAGCATATAATGAGGCAGAGCAATAAAGAATCGCAACGGGGCATGAGATATCGCTTCCCCTTAGAACTATTTCGGACGCGGAATTTTTTTTTTTTTTTTTTTTTTTTTGGCGCGCATTTGACCCTCCTTCAGACCAACATGTTGGTCTCCTTGCGCTCATTCAGCATCTTCAAGAAGACGACCATGATATCATCGAACTTCGGGCACCGATCATGATATCTCCACATCACCGACTTTCTCTTCCACCCTTCCTCCTCTCCTCCGTCCTTCATCCCTCCCTCACCGTCCTCAGCGCCCTCGCCGCGTAACATCGCAGGGGCCATGTTCTCGATCAAGAAACCGGCATAAGAAGGAACGAGGGCCCAGTGGAGGTAGGCCCATTCGAAGAGCTCTTGGATGGCGAGTTCTGGATCTAACCGGGCGAGGAGGACGAGTTTCGAGAGCTGGATGAGGCCACTGATTTGGAAGCTCTGTCCGGCTTCGTAGAGGTCGCGCCAGGAGAAATCTAGAGCCAGGGAAGTTTGAACGAAAATAGGGAGGAGAAGAAGGGTGAGTGAGTCGTGAGTAGATTTGAAGCCGAGGTGGAAGGCCCCATCCGGGCATCTAGAGGGGGGTCGACATACTTGTTGTGTGCGGCGCCGCCATCGAAGACTGACCTCCTGTAGACAGATCTGTACCCTCACGCTCACGCTCTACTGTCGCGATAGAATTCGATCCTGGACCCTCCATCCGCTCATCAGACCTCGCGGGTTCCACTACCGCCTCAGTTCTTCCCGAATCTGGTCGTCTGCGTTGCGAAGTAGGAGTAGGAGTAGAGGTCAACTCCGCGAGGCTTGTAGGGATATGTCCCATGTACATGTAGTGTAAGATCGCCCGGAAGATATTCGGACTCGCTCCACGGATCTCGACCTGCGTTCGGACTCGGTTCGTCCGCGTGGTTGTCGTTGTGTCGATTCCATCGGCACGGTCCTGTTGCAGAACCTCCGGAGCCGTCCCACGTTGTTGTCGTTGTCGCAATGTTGGGATAGCCAAAGGTGGAGTTAGAGGCGGTGGAGGAGTGGGATGGAGTGGTCGTGCGTATCCTTCCTCATCGACAGCATACTGGCTGCTCGGATTGATGTTGCTACTGTTGCTGCTGCTGCTGGCGTACATGGCTGCGTCCATAGTGTTTGTTTCCATCGCCTCAACACCTTGCGTACCCATTCCAGTTCTCAGTCCCGCGCCTATCCCAATTCCTGCTCCCATGCCTGAAGACAAATCCGTAGAGGTCGCCGCTTCCCTGGCGGCACGCTCGAGCAAGGCACGGAAGAACCCAAAGCTCTCCAGTACAACAGAATGCGCATAAAAGACCTCTCCCGAGGGACGGACTGTGATCGCCACATCCTTTGAGATGGTGTCGTAGTAAAGCTCCTTTAGGTTCCGTCGACAGTATGCAGAATTCTGTTGTCGGATCAGGGGGAGGGGTTCGTCTGGGTGTATGCTTGCGCTTGGAGAAGAAGAGTGAGAGAGTCGTTCGGGAGGGAAGGTTGTTAGGCAGAGCGTGAAGCCGTAAGAGGCTTCGTTGTAGCTGATCGCCGAGGGGTCCAGGTGCACTATAAAGGGCGTACGAACACACACATACATCCACATACATCCACACAAAAGGGATAACGGTATGGAGCATGGTTATTGACAGGTCAGCAACAAAGCATGGCAAACAGACTTCACATATAAAAGAACCACGCACTATAGCTGTTACTGTTGAAGCACTTACCAAGGATGCCTCCACGCTCGATCAGCCTTTTGCCAACGATCCGTCGCGTCAACTCTACCTGGCGACTCTTGTACCCGACCACTTGAATTGACTTTAACCTAGCGACCTTTTCTCTCCGCCCTCCTGATGCTCTGCTCGTCCCACCACCAGCACTAGTGCCACCGCCACCGACGATGCTTGGACAGAACTGGACTCTGACGGCGGTTCGAATCTTGCGGTCGTGGACTTGTTCGATAAAGATGCAATGCCAAGACGGGTTCACACTCAAGACCGTGGCACTCACGTCTCCGGCCGCCGCAGGACTCGAGCGTTTGGGGATGTCAATGTTCAGGGTCACTTCGATCGGAGGTTCGGACGAGCCTTCGGGAGAGAGGAGGTCGTCTTCAAGGGAGGACATGTGGATGTCGTGCATGTCATCGGTGTTTCTGGAGAGATCATGTGGGGATTGGACAGCGAATGGGGCCTGGGGCGGGAGGCGTGATTCTTCTGCGGGCTCCGATATGGTCGGTGCCGTCGACGGCGCAGGCGGTGCGTTTATAGGCTGCTCTATTGGAGTCGCTCCTGCTGTTGTTGATGTCGTTGTTGCCGCCGCCTCTCTGGTCTCTGGGGGAGGAGGCGACTGGAATCTGGGCGAGCGTCTCAATACCTGTAGCTCTCTTCCTCTTCCTTGGCCCTGCTCCGTGGACTCTGCAGGAGGTGTAGAAGCAGTATTCCTCCGATTACGCTGCAACGGCGTCGGCGTCGGCTGCATGGACTGGGCCACACTCGTTTCAGGCGTCTGTCGTTGAGCGCGTGTGCGAGGGGGTATCGGGTACGGGTCTCCTGCTCTTCCAGTCCGGTTCGTCGACAATGACGATGAAGATGTTGGGAGATTAAGCGCGCGCTGCAAGTACGTCGCCGATCCTGATACTAGACCTGGCACTGGACTTTGGCCTGGAGCTACTCCGGATATCGGCTGTGTGGACGTCCATGGATTCGAGACTCCCAGTGGGATCGAATAGGTTGGTGGGCGGATGTACACCGGCATTCCTGGGACTTGGTGTTGCTGTTGCGGGTGCGACTGAGTCCGGGACGTGATCGCGAGATACTGTCCCCTTCCAGGCTCCTCCTCTTTGTCCTCCTGTTGCTGTTGGCGTATTTCGGTTCTCGCGGTGCTCGGAGTCTGAGACCGGAGTTGATACATCTGTTGTCGAAAGTGCTCCTGCTGCTGATGCTGCTGTTGTTGTCGCGGATCCAGTCGCTGTCGCAGCTGCTCCATCGTCGTTCCAGCGCCTGCCGCCACGGCCGTACTCGCAGGAGTAGAAGTGGGAGTGGGAGTTATAGGTGCGCTGTGGTGCCACATCTGCGAGACTACCGGAGTGTGCGTTGTCGAACTCAGGCTCTCGTAAGGCTGTGCTGGCTGATGCTGCTGGAATCGAAGCGCATGTTGGGATGGATCCGTTGGGGTGTTGGTGGTGGTGGTGCTGGCGCTGGGCTGCTGCTGGTAAGACGGGAACGCTGGTGCGATTTGCTGCATGTGCAAAGTCGACGAAGAGTGGGCACGGAAGAGAGGTTGTGGGCGTGGAGTAGCGTTGTGGGGGCCTGGTGGAGGCGGCGGGGGCATTGCCTGCAGTTGTGGCTGTGGATGTTGCTGTTGCTGAGATTGTAGAGTGCGTCGTGGAGGCATCGTCGGGTCTTCGAAGGAAGAGCGATGGAGAGGGTGTCAAAGGTCTGTGGATGCTGAAGAGTGCCAAAAGAGAAGAGAAAAGAGAAAAGATGCGAAGTGGAGGGGAAAATGCGATGGATGAGGAGGAGATGAGGTCGTGTGCGCTACAGAGTGATCGCTCGCTGATAGTTCGCATTTCCAGAAACAGGGAGATGATGTCTTTTGTGCTCAAGGGCTGACATTCCTCCCGATGATAGCGGGTCTAGTTGTTCATGGCTTTAATGGTGGTGATGATGATGATGATGATGATGACTATTATTACTACGGTAGTGTCTCGAGAAAGGATGGTACAGAGCATTAATAATGGAATATTATGGGGACAGACGCGTGAGGGCGATAAAGTATGGGTACGGGAATAAGCCTAGGTAATCATGCTGGCACGACGCCATCTAGTTTCGTGGTTGACCGCTCTGTCGGCGCCGTCTCCGACGATGCCACCGTGTCCGAGGTCGCGGTCGAGGACGATGCCGATGAGGTCGATCTGTACGAATCATTCGTCTCCATTGTCCCTGTATCAACCGCTCCGGCATCCTCCCCTGAAGACCGATGGATCAAGAACAACCGCCCATCATGCTGCAAAATATCGTTTAGGAACGATATTGTCTACAGCAATTCAACCGTGGGTTAGCGACCTATGAATCCCATCAACCCTTTTCTTCTCATCGAACCATCGATCGCATGAGGAGCACTTACGTTGTCGAATCCTGCAAAAGCCATGGGTTGTGATAGTCTCGAGTCGAGGTCGATGTACGCGCCATTCGAGAGCCGTAGGATCCCAAACCAATGCTGGCCCTTCCAGAAGGGAACCCAGCGGGGCGGTGTCGGCACATGGACAATCAGGCCCACCATCGACTCATCCTGCTTGCTTAAACATTCCGCAATATCTAGTATATCGCAGGCGCATGGAGTGTAAAGGTCCAAGGTTAATAAAAGGTCTACTGCAAACACGATAGTAACAGAGGAAAGAGAGGATACCTGCCTCGCCTTGCATCAAACCAGGTGAGCGTGCAGCCCTGTTGGTTCAATGCCGCTTCGAGTACAGTGACATCGTAATATCCCATGCCTCTACCAACAGAAAAAAGAACCAGGAGAAACCAGAGTAAAACACTTAGCAACAGCATGTAGCACAAATATATCATTCTCGTACAAAACAGATGGAACACATTAAAACGCATGGCCATTTACAGGGGACTCTTGTACGGATTCTTCCATATCGTCTTTTGCAGACTCTCCTGCGCGACCTGGCGGAGGTTCTCTGCAATCATATCAAGATCTGTTGTTGAGAAAACAGGGCCTTGCAACTAAAATTGCAGCCAACCAAACGTCAGTGGGTTACCCTACCCCTTCAAGCGGAATGGGGCGACGAACAGCGAGTCAATACCGTACCAGGTTGTTGAGTGTGTGCTGTTTAGAAACATAAAAAGGTATGGGGCAGAAACGCGTTAGCATTGCCACAGATTTATCCAGCGTTGTGGGGCTGCGTACCGAAAAGACAAGTCGCTGGAGAATGATATCGACCCACATTCCTCCCACAGCAAATGACACATATGAGCATCGGACGGTACCTTGCCGCATTGGCCCTGGCTCTGGCACTCGTGGTAAAGAGACCGGGTCGAGGTTATTTGCGCCATGGAATGAGAATGCTGCTTCGGGCGGTGAATGGCAAATGTGGAGACAGGCGGTGCCATCAACCTTTCTTCACCCTTATGCACAAAGGCTCCTTTCCTCGCTTTCTTTTATATGGTCACATGGCGCCCTTTATTTCTTTAATGCGGTGTGGCATGATGACATATCCGCTCGTCTGGTCTATCCAAGCACTCCTTCCTACTCATCCGCGATACTTCTTGAAGGTCTCCACAATGCTCTCGCCAGACTTCAACGCAGTCATGCATTGGTCATCCACCGCCGTCGACTTTTTGCAATGCGCCTCCACCTGCGCCAGCATATCCTTTGGAATAACAACGACTCCATCCGTATCTGCAACAATATAGTCACCCGGATGGATTGTCACTGCAGGATGGTTCGGGTTCGGTTGCATCTCAATCGGTATGTTCAGTGTCGTCGCCCGTGTGAATGGTCCTGCACCCATGATCGAAGTTGCCTTTGCAAACACCTATCCTCCCGGGTGAGATACAAAGAACGAGAAAATGGGTGTTACAAAAAACCGACCTGAAGGAGAGTATGTGTGCAGACAGCTGAACAAGAACGAGGGCTCATACAGGGAAGCCGGCTTCGCGCTGCTCGTTTAAGTCTCGGATACGCCCATCGACCACAACCCCGAGTGCGCCTTTGATCTGTGCACGTGCGGTCATCAGTCCGCCCCAGACGGCGTTCACCATATTAGCGGGCTGCGAGATACAGACGACGCTCCCTTCAGGGATCGCATCAACAAAGTGCTGGTCAGACTTCGGCGACTCTTTGTCCGTCACTGGAACCATCTACCCGAAAAGAACGGAACGAGCGCGTTAGACGTTGGATCCAGGGGAAACAGATCGGATTCAAAGAATCAGCGCTTTGGTGGGGTACCTTCACAGTATAGGCAGGACCAAAGACTGCACAGGTAATAAAAAGACGTTGAAGACAGCTCAGAAGGTTAATGCAGGTCCGCGGGGAGGAATATGGATCAGGACATGGTAGTGTGGTCGAAGCGACTTGGTTGTACCTCGGGTGTAGCCGGCCTTGTACTGAGGGCTCCAGAGATGAATGTCAGGAATGTAACCTGCACTTGGCACCTTGAGTGCCAGGAGTGCGTCAGCGACGTCGCAGCTTGCATAGAAGGGCAGTTTCTCGGTGGTTGGTTCGGATGCCATGGCGAGGGGGTGATGGGAAAAGGGAATGGAATGGATGAGATGGATTCGCAATGCAACGGGCAGCACCTTCTCAGGGAGCCCGCAACGGTGGGAAAAAAATAAAATACATTTCAATGGCATACGCGACGCGGTCGCGTATAAATAAAAGAACACGCGCTTTTAATGGTACGAAAGACGGACATGGGTCCCTTGGCCTCTGCTCTCCAGCCGCACGCGGTTCCTCAGTCTCTGCCGCTGCCCATCTCCTCTTTCCTTCACATTCTCCATCCCCTTGTCCTCCTCCACAGTCATCGACGCGTTCTTGAACGAAGTCTTCAGCGCGACCTGATCCGTGTATGCCCTGGGCTACATTCAGACAGCATCCAAAAAAGTGTAGAAAGACATAAGAAAAAAAAAAAAGGTCAAAACGACAACACCCCGAAAGACCCCTGTGACCAAGCTATCTCCCTTACCAGCGCAACATCCACACCCAATCGTCCTGATATGGCCTTCACGTCCAGCCTTGTCCTCGGTACCTTCGCGACAGACACCACAACCGCGCCCACAGGGGACACTGCCGACACATCCAGGGTCTTTCCACGTCCCGATCTCACTTCTCTGGCCTCCATACCGCTTAGCACAGAGTACACGTCCACCCTATCCGCCCGTATGCCCTTTATTGCGATCCTCCCCTGCTGGTTTGTAATGCGAGTCTTCTTGTAGATCGTGTCCCTATCCTGCACGTCCACATCCATGACCGTTCCCTCCAGCTGTAGAGAGCACAACTCCATGTGAGGCCTGCGAGGAATTGTGAGCTCCACGTCTAGTGTCAAAGGACATACAATCGATGTCCACTCCAGTCCTGACGTCCTTGCTCCATCAATCTTGGCGGGGTCCTGCTCTCCTATAGGGGTGTATCGATAAGAATTCTTTCTCTGTTTCTTCCACTGGCAAGAGTAATCCTTTGGGTGGTCTTGATGATAGTGCCGTTTTATACCTCGGCTTCGCTTATCGCGCATGCCAGAACAACAGTGGCGGTGACTCGTTCCTTGTGCACCATGCCTACTACCACACGATCCCCTCACCATTGCAACATATCCTTGATCAACACGCTCCTGATACAGCACCGGCCGGATGTCCACCTTCACACTCGTCCCCTCATGCTCCCTCGCGACCATCACACCTTTGTACCTACTATTCGAAGTCCCCCACCCTTTCACCGCCCTGAGCCTCGGCTCTTTCACATCGCCTGAGACCACCTTGACAGACAGCCGGAGCATCGAATCATTCGATCTTAACAAAATATCATGATTCTTTAGCTCTATTGCTCCCCCGAGTGATACCTTTGGGATCTTGATCAAGGGTTGACACATTGGATGCAGTTCTTGTCCGCTTGCAAGAAAAGTCGACACGAGTTGCTGAATCTCCTCGTCGACGAGGTAATCTGGCCGTGCGGACAGCTGCCTTTGTGATACGTAGGATACTTCTGTGGGCCCAGAAATTTGGCCGAGATGCAGGGAGTGAAGGGCTACGATTGAGAGGATGGCGTATGTGAGCCGGAAGAGTATCTGGTAGCGCGCAAGAGCTGGATGAAGAAACGGGGGTCAGCTGTATGGCGTACGACTCGGCCGTCGTTGCGTGCTTGCATGGCAAAAGGTCCTTTTACCTTTCCGCCTTATACCTGCTAGTCTCGCTTCCAGCGTAGTTGCTTCATCCAGGACCTGCGCATCATTTTCATCTTCATCTTCCGAGACGACCTCTGCTCGGGGAAGTAATGGTTTTACAAAGAAATGAATTAAAAAAAAAGGCCGGTATGTTATCCAGACAATCCGATATCGAGAGTTGTTCCTTGTCCTTCGATCCTCTACCTTTCTCTTTGTGCTCAAAACTGACTGTCGGTGTCTCTGTGTGCAGTGGAATATCTTCAGATCGTCCTCTGAGTTGTCTCTGGATGGAACCGTGCTGTATATCCCTCTTGGATCGTTCATCGTTATAGTGCCTCTCTTTGATACGGATGATGAATAATGGATAACGAAGCAGAGTGCAATCCGTGTTTATGAGGTGCGCAACACTTCTATACCGCACCATCATTCTTCACATTCCATATACAACTCACTTGGCCCCTGGATTTTGCGACGTCCCTTCGGATTTATTCCGAGCGACCATTTGAACAAAAGCTCTTCGTCATCGATGCTAGCTATAATCGCGCTGGGTATTCCTCAAGGAAGGGTGCGTATGGTCGCCTGCGTGACTCGGGCTGGAAAACAGCGCCTTACCCAGGTTCACATTCTGCGTCGTCCTCAGACCCCACGTCGTCCGTCATAAGGGAGCGAAGGGAGATGAAAGTTCAGTGCTTCGACTCTTAGATGGACCTTCTCTGGAACCCTTATCCACGGCCAGGATTTGCTTCTCTTGAGGGGATCGGTAGCTCTGGTCCTGGTGCCCGTTAAGCACAAGCTGCGCCATGAACGCACAGCTCTTGATGCTTCTGCACCATTGTCGGTATCAAACTATGCCAGTGGGCGAAGCTGTGAGAATGAATAGTCACATTTGTATTCTGAAGCCTATTTTGCTTGTGGCCAATCTGTGGTCGGGGGCCGCGTCTTTTCCTCGCTGCTTCCTCTCACTCCCGCTAATGACTACCGCCAAGATATACCGCCCGCGCTTTCAAGCACCTCCACTCGCTCGCGCTCACTCACAATATATATATACTTCCGCACACAATTGCAACTTCCTGTCTTTGTTTTCTGTCTTCGTTTCTCCAACTACCACACAGCACCACTTCGTAGGTGTGTGAAGACCTAGAAGAGGGTTTGCGCGACCTGCTCTGTCCTAGCCTAGATACCGCTACCGATGTACTACAGGCAGGCGGACTCAGTGAAGGCGGCCGTCACCACCAACGTCAACATAGACTTCAGGAGACGATCATGAGCGTTGCCACCTTCACCTCTTCACCTGCTCTGCAATCCAACCGCAGAAAGACCCAGTTCAGGTCAGTGGATACGGCGATGAATGCAGCCACATGCTGGCGGAAGAATATGCAGTAGATGTCATCCAGCATATGCACGACAGGGAGGTACGTATGAATGCACTTATTCAAGGGAGACGACATCTTGTCTTTTCGGTGGCTATGGGGGCGTCTTGGTTAATACCGCCTTTGACCATCTGCTTAGGCTCAGCTTTCGCTTGACGCGGGCAGCCGGTTGTTCCTCACAATAGACCTATTCAATCGAGTCTTCAGCATTCCTGACCACCGTACCGGCCCGTTATCCAAGGAGCAGCACAGAAGGAATATCACAGCCTGTTCGCATGGGGTTACGCATGCCTGATGATCGCGTCCAAGCTCGAGTAACGGCACCCGTTTGCAGTTCCCGAGTACTTTGTTATGAAGTTGCAGAGCCAGGGAGTTCCTATGGCAGAGCAAGGCTTTTGCAAGCTAGAGCGAACATTGTTGCGAGCGATCGGTTACAACGTCAGCCGGCCGGGTCTCATGTCGTTTCTGCGCTTGTGCAGCTTTGTGGACGACTGTGGTTTTTTTTTTTTTTTTTTTTTTTTTTTTGGGCGCGGACTGTAACCAAGTACGCTTCGGTTGCAACCTTGGGCCACGGGCCATTCCTCACCCACATACCGTTGTTGCAGACAGCAACTGCTTTAGACCGCTGTCGCAAGTTGAATGGGCGCATGGATTGGGTAAGGACAAGATAACCATAGGTTGTTGGCAATATTAAGGTTCAGCATTTATATTGTTTGTCTTCCTTATATTGCTATTAGCACAGTGGGATGAAGTGATGGCGTTGTACTCTGGCTACGAGGCAAGCGGGGTAGAGGCCGCTACGTCGGATATGATGGATTTCTTTGTATTGAGTACGGTTAGGTAATATGGGCTCCAGCAGCACAACACAATAAAGCGACACATGTTGAAGAGGACTATCTGCAGACACAAGGACGTCAGTGCCAATTATTTTTCTCCCACGCACATCTGCAGCTTGGAAGAGGGAGGAAGAGACAGACTGGTGCTCAGATACATCGAGATAACAACAACACGAACAGCATTGACGCCCAGGGAGAGAGAGATAGGGAGAGGGAAAAGAAAGGACGCGACGGCGACCCGAGTGAGGGAGCGGAGGAGCGCAGGAGGGGCGAGTTGCCTACCATAAGAGGAAGCGTAGTCAGGCACACCCGCAGCAGAGAATTTGTTGTGCGACTTTCGCATGAAGACGGTGCGCGCGGGTTAGAAGGTTTCCCACTAATTAGTGGGGAATGGGTCATGAGGAGTGCCAGATATACTTAAGCCCTAACCTAACGCACACTTCCTTCTCTTTTCTTCTCTTCTCTTTCTTTTTCTCTCGTCCTTACTTCTACCCTTTCATCCTCCTGTCTGTCCCCCATCCTCCATGGGCTGCGTTTCCTCCAAGCATATCCACCTCGCCGACACCGCTTCTGTCTCCCGCAAGGCCAAGTCCACCGACCTGCCCTCCTACCCGTCATCTTCGAATTCCTCAGCTGTCCACCCGCCCTCATACTCATCCGATATGAAGCTTGATATCAGCACAAACGAGACTGGGCCGGTATTGAACGAGCCCCAGGGGATTCACCATCCCAAGGCTGCCCTTCGTGAAGAGACGGTGCACCAGTTGAGGTATAGAGGCATTTGATAGTACTCGCACACCTTTTTTTTTTTGTTTTTTTTGGTGGGTGTCTCTGTTTTAACGGTCCGTTTTGTTTCTGTTACGGACACTTAGCAAGGAGTTCAATGCGGACCCCAAGAACCTGATGATCCAGAATGCGGCGCACTCGCTCGATTTCTCGACGTTGATCACGAACCGCTCAGTCCTGGTGGAGGACTCCCATGTGTTTAACACCAAGATCCCGATCGAGAGCATGGTCACGAACCAGAAGTCATCCGGCCGATGCTGGATCTTTGCGGCCCTGAACGTCTTTAGGGTCGAGGTCATGAAGAAGTATAACCTTGAACAGTTTGAACTCTCTCAGGGGTATCTCTTCTTCTGGGACAAGTTCGAGAAGAGCAATTGTAAGTCAATATTTTTTTTTTTTTTTTTTTTTTTTTGTCGTGTGGTATTGTGAAGAGCGGAGGAATAGATAAGAGGGCCACGTTATTGCGGAAGTGAGGACGACCGGAAAGGGTCTTGTTCATGTGCCCTTGAAGATTAAGGTTTCCCAAATGTACTCACGCTCAATCTCACGCTCACCTGCATCTTTTAATCGCTTGCGAACAGGGTTCCTGGAATGCATGATCGACCTGCGCGACCGAGACGTGAACGACCGTGTGGTGCAACACCTCCTCAAGGAACCCGTCAACGACGGTGGCCAGTGGGATATGCTCATCAACCTCGTCGAGCGGTACGGAGTCGTTCCCAAATCCTTCTATCCGGAATCCTTCAGCTCCTCGAATTCTGGAAAGCTCAACGCCCTCGTTATCTCGAAGCTGCGTGATCATGCTGTGGCCCTGCGGAGGATGGCTGCGAGCGGACATTCTCTCGAACAACTTCGCCATCAAAAGGAAAAGGCGCTGAAGGAGATCTATACGATCATGGCCATCACTTTGGGTGAGCCACCCAAGAAGCCGTTTACGTGGGCGTTCAGGAACAAGGATAACAAGTACTTTGAGTTCAAGGACTTGACTCCTCAAAAGTACTTCAAGGAACACGTCGGTTATCCTGTAGGTGGTAGTGATTGTGCTGTCTATATGGGGAGATATGAATAGTGGACGTAGTCGAGACAGAGCTGACCCCCCCCCCCCCCACCTGTCTTCTTTTCTTCGTTTTCTCGTGATAAACATTAGGTCTCGGACACGATCTCGATCATTAACGATCCCCGCAACAAGGTCATGGCACTCTACACGGTCCAGTACCTCGGCAACATCTCCGGAGGACACCCTATCCGCTACGTGAATGCCCCCATCGAGGATCTTAAGCACCTCGCCATCCAGAAGCTCAAATCCGGCAAGCCCGTAAGTCGCCTCGTTGTCAAAGAGTAAAAGTTGTGAGCAAAAACAGGACCTCAGGCGACCACACAGTCTAACCATCCATATGTCACCCTCATCCTTCTAGGTCTGGTTTGGCGCGGATGTGGGCAAGTACTTGCACCGGGATGCTGGCATCCTGGACCCGAAGCTGTTCCAGTACGACCTCGCATTTAACGTCTCCTTCAACATGACCAAGGCCGAGCGTCTTATCCACGGTGAGTCGCTCATGACCCACGCCATGGTCTTTACAGGCGTGCATCTGGACGAGCACGGCAAACCTGTCCGCTGGCGCGTCGAGAACTCCTGGGGCGATGTCGGCGGCGATAAGGGATACCTAACCATGAGCGATGCCTGGTTCAGCGAGTTCGTCTACCAGGTCGTGCTCGAGAAGGCCATCGTGCCCAAAAAGTTCTTGGAGGTCCTTGAGCAGGAGGTTCATGTCCTCCCGGCCTTTGATCCCATGGGCGCCTTGGCTTAAAAGGAAGGAGAAGAACGAAGACGACCTATATCCGCCTTGTATATTCATCCATGATGGTTTTATTTATCAAGCAATAAAACATATCCAATCCAGTCTACTTGTATAAACAACTATTCACGGGAGAAATATTTATTGGGGCTGGGCAAAGGTTGCGGATATGGCGTTTGCATGATATACAAAATGATGATGAGGGGTTGTTGATGTATTGCAGTCAATTGCAGCCCATGTACATAATCTCGCGATTACTTCTTCTTGCCAGACTTCTTCTTTCGGAGTCGAGCACGTTCCGAGGCCGTCAAAGGCGTCTTGGATGAAGACGAGCCAGATACAGGACGAGACGTCGATGCCGAGGGTGAATCTTCGCCAGACTGGTTTTGTCCTTCTTTCTTGTTGTCCTGATCCGCTAGCTCTTCCACACTCTCATCAATTCCGTCCGCAGCGACTGCAGCAGGGGTTGCGATGGCCAAGGTCGAAGCCGAGGGCTCAATCACAATCTGTGCCAGTTCTGCCGGGTCCGCGGACTCAGGCACCTGATCCTGGACAGAAGTTACCGCTGCAGCTATGGGAACAGCAGTCGATGCTGCAGGCTCAGTCTCTGTTGCTGCTGATCCTTTCGTGTGCTGTCGAGGCTCCTTGCGCCCCTTGCCCTTCTTTTTGGTATCCGAGTCGTCGGACTGGGCGCCGTCAACGGTGGCATCATCTTCCAGCTGCTGCTCCTCTCTAATCTGTTGTTTCCACATTTCGTAGTATACACCTGTATCGGTCACCAGAAGAAAAAAATGTTAAAGATGTTAAAACAAAGAGAACATCAATGGTCAAGTAAATGTTAAAAAGACGCTCGCCTGTAGTAAATACATACCTTCGCCGCCGTTAGCGATCGCTCGCTCGATAAGTTCGTTGTGCGTTCCCTGCTCCACAATGACGCCGTCCTTGATACACAAAATCAGATCAGAGTTGACAATCGTGCTCAACCGGTGCGCAACCACAAGCGTCGTCCTGTTCTCCGTCATCCTCGCCAATGCGGCCTGGATCTGGCTCTCTGTTGTGCTGTCCAACGCCGAGGTTGCCTCGTCCAAAAGCACGATTGGCGGGTTCTTCAAAATCGTGCGCGCGATTGCCACACGTTGTTTTTCGCCTCCAGACAATCTCAATCCACGCTCCCCGACCTTGGTAGAGTACTGATCCGGGAAATCCTGCACAATCTTGTCATGAATCTGTGCAGCCTTGGCAGCGGCTTCAACCTCTTCTTTGGAAGCATCTGTCCGTCCATAGTTAATGTTGTAGTAGATCGAATCGTTGAAAAGCACTGAATCCTGAGGCACGACGCCGATCTGCTCTCGAAGACTCAGCTGAGTCTTTTGTGAGATGTCCTGGCCATCGATCAGGATACGTCCAGAAGAGACATCATAGAACCGGAATAGCAAGCGCAAGAGGGTTGACTTTCCTGATCCAGTGGGTCCGACCAGGGCAACAGTCTTGCCCTTGGGCACCGTGAAATTGATGTTCTGAAGACCCTTCTGGCGCGTGTCGTACTGGAAGCTGACGTTCTCAAAAACGACCTCGCCCGCGGTGACGATCAATGGGCCCGCGCCTGGGATGTCCTTCACACTCTGATTCTGGTCCAAAATCTTGATCAGCTTTTCCATGTCAATGAGGTTCTGCTGGAGCGAACGATAATACCATCCTAACCAGTTGAGCTATAAAATAATAGGAAAAAGGCCGTGGTTAGTTTTTGAGTCATTGATCACCCCTTTCCTGCCCATTATCCACAAGATACGTACTGGAGTGTGGAGCTGGGTCAAATAGACGATATATTGCACAAAATCCTCGACTTCGCGTTCGCCCAAGGAAATCTCGTACGCGCACAGCAAACATCCCGCCAACATGCCCACCGTGATCACGAACGACTGCAACAGGTTGAGGAGCTGGTACGAAAGCTGGCTCTTGTAATCCGCCACCATCAGCCTCCTGATCGCGTCCGAATACCGGTTGGTCTCAAATTCCTCCGCTGTGTAATACTTGACGGTCTCGTAGTTCAGTAGCGAGTCAACGGCCTTTGCGCGGGCATCGTTGTCAAAGTTGATCATGGCTCTACGGAAGTGGGTACGCCATTCGGTGACGACGACAATGACGATGATATAGGCGACAATGGTGATCAACACGATGACTCCGTACTTCCAACTCCAGTAGTAGCAGAAGTAAAACACGGCAATCGACACGTCCGCGACCACAGGTATCATCTGGAACAAAAACGTGCTCAGGAGCGATACGATCGAGCTCGTGCCGCGGTCCAGAATCCGGAGCAGTTCCCCGGTCTTGCGGTTCAAATGGAACTGCAGCGAGAGTGTTTGGACATGCTCAAAGAATCGGATTGTCAGCGTGCTGTTACTGTACTGCTCGATAGGGATCCATGCCCATCCGCGAAGCACAGAGATGAGACCAGAGCTACCCTGCAGGTAGCGAAGGAAGACGAATAGAATAATGCTCCAGATATTGAATGCTACACAAGAGAGATAGATGGTAGTGGTGAATAAGAGCCTAAACAGTTGCTGTCGTGAGAATTGTTGAGCCTTCAGTACTCGGTCGCTTACAATGATCCGTGCGCAGCTCCTGAATAACGCGACCGGTCTGCCAAGGCACCAGGACGTTGACGATACGGCCCAAGCCAATTAACACAAAGGTCAAGAAGATCAAGAACTGCAGCCAGGAGTCGTCTTTGGGATAAACAAACGGAAACACACGCTTCAGCTTTGGCCAAAAACCCTTGAACGCATTCGCACGCTCCTCCTCCTCGGTCTTGATCTTCTTTTGGATATCCACTTCGGACGAGGACCCCATGGCCGGATTGATTCCGTTGACATCGTTCTTCTTGGATGAGCCAAAGGCTGCGGCAAAGGTGCCGTATGCACCGGCTCTCCTGGATGATGAGGCCATCAGACCGCTGCTCTCAGGTGCTCCTGCATCGAGCACTCGAAGGGCCTCAAGGTCATCTTCTCGGGATTCCCTCTTGTGATGGACAATCGACAGCAGGGCTAGAATCCACAGGAGTGCGTAGCGGACGGTGAAGATGGCCACCAGTGCGAGGTCGAACTTATCGGAGCCAGAGGTAGTGTCTAGATGCAACAAGGAGACCATGCATCAGATATTTGGTTTCATGGGTCCGTGGTAGAAAATGTACAAATATGGTCATTTAGGGGACGCTGTACCATTGGGTAGAGTCTCGAGATGGAACCAGCCGATAAACGAGTCGCCTGCCAAGGCCAGCCACCAGAAGCCGTAGTTGGCCCAGCTCCACTGCCCACCCTTGGCGACCTCGACATACATCAGCAGCAGATTCGCCACGACCGCGACAAAGAACATCAGGTTATAGAGCACCAGCAGCAGGCCGGACCAGACATGATCGACGATCGCACGCAGACAGATCACCGCCAGACTCGCAACGAACGAAAAGGCCACAACGTAGTTGAGAAGCACAATGGCCTGGCTGAGCTTCGTGGCCTTGGGCCCTCTAGCTCTTTCGGAGCCATCTTCTTGATTGACTTCAGAGAGCAGTGGGCGGTAGTAGGATCGCACCCTGAGGACGAAAAAGTAGCTGTGCAGCATTTCGTGTGCGATGCAAGATGACACAGGTTAGCAACTTTTGATTCTCATTCTTCCCCTTCCTTACGATCGACATTTTCAGTGTAGCAGATGAATCTGTAGCCGCCGATGGTGGCAGGAACACGTACCGATAGATGCTGGCGAGGATCGTGAAGGATAAGAGACCCAGGGGGAGGAGCAGCTCCGCCTCATGGTGATCATGGGGCTCGGATATGGAGGTCGCGCTGGCCATCTTGGCCGAACGTGAAGACATATGGGGCGGATAGGGGGAGGAGCAAAATGGGAATGGATAGGATGCGCCGGCCTCTTCGTCAGCGGATCAGCACCTGTTCCGGAGGAGAAGGTGAATGGGGGATGATGGAGGAGGAGAGATGGCAGAGGGGACGGCCATGGATGCCAAGACAAGGAATCTTCGGTCTTAGTCCGGGCACACAAACTTTTTTTTTTTTTTTTTTTTTTCAGTGGTCTCAGCGCAGCGCCCGGATTGGTCAGCGAAATCCCTCAACCCCCCTCGATCTGATGAACGTTTTACAGCTATTTATCATACGCGCAATTTGCTCTCCACCGGTGGACTATGATTATTACCGTGGCTATGGCGATACGATTACATGATTAGGCAAAGGTAGAAGGGGGGACTATAGTACAAGAAACCTCGTCGGCCTAGGCAATAAAGTGGACGACCTTGCGAGCGGCCTTTTTCCAGAACGGAAGGTGCGCGTCCCCGTCCTCGTCCTCTTCCTCCTTGGTCTCCACAGCCTTGGATGTGCCGCGAAGGATTGTGGGACGGCCAGAGTCCAGATCGACCTCGAGTAACGGCACCAGCTTGGTCTTGTAGTAGACCTTCCAGATAATGATCGACAGGAAGAACACAGGGGCACCCACAAAGACTGCAACAACTCCCTCCGCATTAAAGGGATCCGCAGTGACAGCCTGGTATCCCTCCAGAAACACGATCATCAGCGCCAACAGGATCGAGATATAGCAGCTGTACGGGAACAAGGGAGCAACGTAAGGCAACTCGGATAAGGAGCGACCCTGGGCCTTGAACGCAGCGCGGAAGCGGAGATGGATGATTGAGATCGACATCCACGTCAGCAGCGCAGACATCCCCGTCAGGTTGACCAGCCAGGTAAACACCACTCCTGTACCAACTATATCCGCCACAAACGCGACGCTGGCAATCAGGGTCACAAAGAGGAGCGAATACAAGGGGACACCGCGGCTGTTGACGCGTCCAAAAATAGCAGGCATCTTGCCCTCACGACCCATGGCCATTAGCGTTCGAGTGGATGCGTAGAAGGAGCTCTGACCGGCCGACAACACTGCTGTCAAGAGAACTGCGTTGATAGCATGATCCGCACCAGGTAGCTTCGCCATTTTGAAAACAATCGTGAACGGAGCCATGGGTGCAGCCTCATTGACACTCGCTCCTGCAGAGTCCAGTAGATTGGGGTCTGTATATGGGATGACCAATCCAATGACCGCAATAGAGAGGATGTAGAAGAGGAGGATACGCCAGAATGTGTGACGGATGGCCTTGGGCACAGCTTTGCCGGGGTTGGCGGACTCTCCTGCAGTGATTCCGACGAGCTCAGTGCCCCCAAAGCTGAAGAACGCCCAAACACAGGTTGTGAAGACATTGACGGTCCTTTCCCGAGCGGTCTCTCCAACAATGGGTGCTCCCTCGATGTGCCAGTTACGGCCGCCAATGGTGTCGCCTCCAACTGCACCAGCATCGACCAAGATTCCGACGATGATAAAGATGACACAAGTCAGGACCTTGATCATGCTGAGCCAGTACTCCAGTTCACCAAATGCCTTGACACCGAGCAGGGTGATTCCGACCAGGATAACAATGAACACAAGGGCAGGGATCCACATCCTGAGATCAGGCCACCAATACTGTAGAATCAATCCTGCAGAGGTGACCTCGATCGTGACAGTGATGATCCACTGGAAAGCATAGCCGGCCCCGAGGCCGAATCCCAGGGCGGGGTCGACGAATCGTGTACCAAAGCTTGTGAAAGCACCGGGCAAGGGCAAATATGCCGACATTTCTCCGAGGGACGTGACAATGAAGAAGACCATGATACCTATTCAGCAATGAGATACACAGACGCGCAGTGAGCATTTAAAGTTTTGCACGATGCAGGAGGATAGACAAAAAGAAACACATAATTATTCGCGATACAATTCTTCTTTCTTCGAGGCACAGGGGAGAGCCAATCTGGCAGGGCGATCGAAAAAAACAGGCGCCGGGATAGTCCGTTCACTTACCAACGATGGTATACGAGATCAAGGCGCCCAAAGGTCCGGCAGCGGCGACAGATCCTCCTGAGGACAAAAAGATGCCAGTACCGATAGTGCCTCCAATGGCAATCATCTGCAAGTGGCGCGACTTGAGGTCACGCTTGACCTCACCGAACTCCTGATCCTCGCCGAATTGAGCGGCGGCGGCGGTGTGCATTTGCTCAACCGTGTCGGACTCGTACTCTTGTTTCTCGGCCATGCTGGAAATAGCGCGAGGAGGGATATGAATGAGCGAGAGAAGTGGTACCGGGAGGAGTAAAAAGGAGAGGATGAGGATGAACTCGAGCAGTAGCGGCTGCCCAGACACTGCGGGGAGGAGAGGGAGGGGAGGAGGAGAGGGAGGGGAGGAGGAGAGGTGGAGACAAGGAAGAAAGAAAGGGAGTGAGGGCTGGGCACTTCAAATGATAAGGATTTTTAGGCCTGATTACAGTTTCTGCTGGCTGGCAACTTTAAGTCGAGTGGCCCAAAGTCACCATTTCCGATCGTTCTGATCGGGATAGACAACAAGCACCATTCAGGTGGTTGTGTTTATTAGCAGAAATCGGCCACAACGACAGCATCCTCGACAACCATCACACTGGTGAAGATCGAGCGAACAAGCGAGCACAAAGAGTCTAGGAGTCCTTTTCTGACGCAGTTTTTACGTCCTGTCTGAGTTGCAAGTTAGAATGCTTACGAGGACAGGTGTACATGAGTGAGCTTGAGATGGGAACAGGAATCGCCCGCCCAAGCGCCACTTTGACATGGCCAAAAGAGGAGCACAGAAGGCGCCATTGGGCATAGGGATGAGACAAATGTGCTGAATCCTCTATAATTGTAATTCATGTGACGTCCAAGCCATTCTCGCTGTGAAAATTCCAGAGCTAAAAAGTCTTAAACACCAAAGACCATCCGCGTCTCACACCTTCCCAGTTTCTACATCGTGATCGGGAAAGAATATTCTGCCTCTCCATCCATTACCCATTGAGGTGTGTAGCGCCAATCATATGGTTCGCTCGGAATTAGATGGCGGGTCCAAGGTGAACCCCCATGTGGTCTGATCGACAGCTGGCGGGATTCCTATTTTGCTTTTCTTCATTCACGTTGCTTGCTTCGCCTTTGCCCGCTTTTTTTTATCGTTTCTATTGTATTGAAAAACAGCAATCTATATTGTTCCTCTCGCATAGAGTAGCCGAACATGTTGGCCAAGTACACGCGTTGCAAGAGGCAAATGCGTTGGTAAGCTTACTCAGTGTGCATTAAGTAAATGGTTTATATACGTGGGCGCAGTTCAAATAGGGGGCGAAGGAGAGGACGCGAAAAAAAAAAAAAAAAAAAAAAAAAAAAAAACATGCTGTGCACTAGCGCTCACTTTCTTCATTCATTTTTCTTGTAAAGAAATGCGGTGATCTGAGATGCTCGTCGGAGGTGCTCTAGATTCACTTCTGCTGGCGGGATGCGTTCCAAACACAAGGCGAACATGGAGGTAAGCAAGGAAGAGTGTTCCAGAAAGAGTCATTGCAATATTAATATCATAAGTAGGTTAATAAATACATATTTAGTCTACTCCGGTGTAGAAGTTTAGAACCGATAAGGGGTAGCCGCAGGGTATAACGCTTTCAACAGAGAACTGGCACCGAGTAGTAACAAATTCAAGGGGTAGTAACACTTTCAGCAGTTTAATGAAAGCGTCACGGGCGTTGTCTTCAGCAGTAGGGGCAGGGGCAGGAGCAGGGGCAGAAGGATGCAATTTTATAAAGAGGAAATAAAAAGAACAAGAAAATCAACGTCCAGATTGGATTGTGCAACGGCAGGCCATCATGGGCCAAGCCCATAAAACCTACCAGGAGACCAGTGCCTCTAGCGCCAACAATGCTTGCGCTAGCATTGGTGCTCATCCTTTCACCGTCCCCATCGTCTCAACGTTTCACCAAGAAAGTTCCATCACCGTTCTTTGACAACCCAACCCATTACTACCAGTCACTCTATTCGCGACATCGCCCCCCTTGGTAAAGAGACCTGCAAGCAAAACTATTAACTCTATATCACGTCTCTGCTATCGGATTCTCCAGAGCCTTGTTGATTAGCATATTACCGACCGCATCTTGGTTACCTACCTCAGGGTAGTCCAGACTACTATTACTAATTTGTGGAGGGAAGATATAGACGAGTTTACTTTGCCTAAGGACATGGTTCAGGTCAGCACAGACGATTCTACAGTGCAGTTGAGTACCTGGGCTATTTTGCGACCGATATGGGGCCCCGACGCAAGAATATGGATGGTCCAGACACGTAGGTACACATGCGACGGACACGATTTCTTTTAAGACTATAGGTGCTATGCTTTACGCATTCCAGGATGAGCAAAAGAGTGAGTCGCTTTATTATGCGGCCAGCTTAGTAGTCTCGTTGACAAAGAGCTTCTTCCTTTGGGGTCTGGACAGCCATTTTTGCGTGTAGGATATATCCTTTATCATTTGATGGACCCCGAAGTCATTGTATCCAGCATGGCCTGTGGCGGTAAGAGTTTCATCCTTTGTGGAGAAAACTAACTTGTCTTGGCTCGGCTAAGAGGAGCCAGACTGTACGCATAATAGAAAATGACAGATTTTAATCGACATCGATTCTAGACCATGTCTAACATAATCCATCACTATAGAGCAGAGCTCCAAGACATCTTCCTTCTGATGAAAACAAAGCTGAAGGGTTCCTGCTATTGCAGACAGAAAGGGGTCTAATTGCTGATTAGCCTGTGCACACGAATGATAACAGAGACAAAGGACCCCATGAGAACTCCGAGTCCCACAAACAAACGCGTTCTTGATCAAAGCATGGTGCTGATCCACTAGCGTAAACAGAAAAGTGTTTAATTACCTATTAGTCTATGGGTACACATGGTGATACCGAGACCATGGTTCCCACTTAACCAGTTGAAAATGGTCGAAAAAGACGACTCAAATATTACAATGCACGTCTAGACCTAAGACAGCAGCGGCTCGAGAAAAAAAGTAGGAAAAAAGATCAGAATACATGGATCTACGTAGCGTTATTGAGCTGCTGCTGCAACAAAACACGAAAGGTGATGGTCGTCCAAGAAGAGTGTGCCTTTTTAAACCGAAAGAAACACTATCGGACACCACGGTTCATCACCGCCATTCTGCTTTGTCATCTAGCAAGAACAAGACGGCTATGGGATAACTCTCAAGAACAGTGGGGCGCCTGCGCAACACAAAATTGTGCTTGCCTCATCAGGATTTTTTCCCAACGCATTGACCAAACGAGTTGGGAGATCCCGTCCAAACAGACCATGAAATTGAGTGGCGAACGAATGGGGAAAGGCGCGCCTTTTTAAACCGAAAGAAACACTATCGGACACCACGGTTCATCACCGCCATTCTGCTTTGTCATCTAGCAGGAACAAGACGGCTATGGGATAACCCCCAAGAACAGTGGGGCGCCAGCGCAACACATGAGTGTGCCCGCCTTTCCCGGAACCTCACAACGGCTTGACCAAAGCAGTTTGAGCCCCTTCATTCCCCGCTATCGCCATCGATTTCAACACCTGGTTCCTTCTGGGATACATATATTACCCTGTAGAGAAATGGCAGACGACATCGCATGACTAAGGAGAGATCTATTGGAACATGGGAGGAGTAGCTGAATGGGCCGCTTTTGTGCGGTGGCGACGTTGATAAGCCACCAGGTACCCATTGGGCAGATCGCCAGAAGGTCGTCCTATCTGCTTCTATCTGCTTGAGCATCGCCCACGCAGCCCCGACCCAACATGAACCCAGCCCAGAAATCTTATCTATTTTTTTTTTTTTTTTATTGACGCCAGATCCCCCCAGACGCACAGGCGTGCCACAGGCTGCATTGTCCAAGCCTCGGCTTGGACTGTCAGCCGGCCGATAGTTACCGAAAGATAGCTAACAAAAGGCACCCCACTAAACTAATGGAAAATGAGGAACCAAATACCTATGATGCACATTCTGAGTCGTATGGTTTCTAATACTTGAGCCGGGGCCCAAAACCGCTACGCAACCTGTCGGGTCCGATGGGTCCTCTCCTAGTCAAGATCACGGGCCAATATGAATTTTATCCTCCTTCCTCTCTCCATCTCGTTCAACACCACCTTTCCCTGGAGATGGTCCACCAAGCGGCTGTCTGCTCTCCTCCTCGCCGCTGTCGTAACCTCCTCTTGGGGCTGTTGTCTCACAAAGCCCTGGGCCTCACCTCCTACCTGGACCCCGGCTTTCTTCATCCTCGTGCATATGCCCTCGGACTTTTCCCATGTCACTGTGGCACTACATCGCTCCTTCCATAGTTCCTCTCGGCCAAAAGCCTCAATTCGTTCTACAAAACGTCCAACCAGGTAAGCCGCGATGCTCTTCGACGTCTTCAAGAGCAGCGCCCAATCCGTTGTCAGGAACTTTGGTACGAGCCCGTGATATGTCTGTCGTTGTCCATAGCCAGGTAGGCGGTGCTGCCTGCTGTACGTTTTCTTGACTGTCCACTCCTTCTCCTTCTTCCTCGTGGACATTCTCTCTGTCCTCGTCACCATTGTCCCTGTCTCGCCGCTTCTTCAGCAGCCTTATCCAGTCATCATCCCGCGTATCCACCATCGTTTCCACTCCCCGGATCTCACGCAGACTCCACCAAAGGGTGTCTAGCTCGCACGGGGTAAAACTCGGTTCGGTGCGTGTGAATTATCGACCATCCTTGATTGCCTCCTCCATGTCGTGCAACCACTTTTTCTTCGCCTTATCCACCAAGGTGCGTCCAAGACTTAGAATCCCATCAAGTGTCTTTCTCCATTCTTCCTGTCGTCTGTTCTGTGTGGCTCTGCAGACCCAGAGGTGCTGGGCATCCTCCACCATGGTAAGGCACACTTGGCATCTGTCTGTGGTATACAGATTCGGCTTCCACCTGTGCATGTACTGCATGGTTGGCAGCATACCATGGATTTTCTTGATCCTGTGGGACCGATGGTTGCAATCCGCAAGGCTGGTGAAAAACCCCCTGGCGGATTTTTCTCATGTATTATAGCAAGGCTGGATTGCCACTCCACTTCTTCCCACTGCTGAATAAATTGTTTCGTTCGTTGTTGGCAAGTCCATGCATGATGGTTTCTGGCTGCAGACTGATGCTTGATCAAGTGGCGAATGTCGTCCTCCGCTGGCTGACCACAGAAGGTCGTATGTGTCTTCATGCCCGTGAAATATTGTGTGTTCAGTTGCCATGGCCGTCGCCCGCTGTCGTGTGCCTTGTCTGTCAATTCGTCAGCGGCCTCATTTCCAGTATCGCCACTGTGTCCTTTAACCCACTGAACATCTACTTTGCTGCCCTGCTGCACGTACGCCTCGTAGATCACGGCCCACCAGTTGGCATATGCTGCTCTCAACCGTCGTCGTGGAGTAGCTGTATGTCGATTCTTGACTAACGCCGCAAACTGTTGGACCACTGCTCTATTGTCGATATGAATAATGGCGTTGCGATCCCGGGGACAGCACAGAATTGTCGCGAGCAGACCCACCAGTTCTGCTTTGGTGGATGATGCGTAATCCGTCGTTGTACCACAGATAGCCGTCTGAAATGAGCCGTCGAGGCATCTATAGACACTACCGAACGATTGGCTGACTGTGTCCGAGCCAGCGTTCTTCACTGATCCATCCGAATAAAGGACAATTGCCCCTAGCCCAGGCGGGATCCTCCATCGAGTCTCACGGATCGTTCGCCATGTCTCTTGGTCAATATCAACCCATGGGAAATCGATCGTTTGCACCGGCGGAGCCAAGGACGCGAGCGTCACCGCATCCTGAATGGTAGTTGGCTGTGAATCCATGTCATTGAGTGCTGCTTTTTCCATTTCATGTACCTTCTGGTCCTCATCCATGCCATTATATTTTTCACGTCGCTGTCTCCGTCTATATTCCTTGAGTCGGATCGCGATATTGTACGGTCCTCAGCAGTACGCCTCGCTTGTCTCTCCTCGATCTCCGTGAGGGGCCCTATCACCTCTCGCAGGACTTCTTGTTTGGAGGGGGTACAGCTTGGTCAACACAGCGAGGGCAGTCGTGTGCGCATTCGCCCATCCTGCGTCTTTCTGCTGCGATCCACTGGCTGATGAAGCTACGCCGGTGATCGTCGCGTGTGATCCAGGACTGGAAATCATGAAACCATTGTCTGGATGGTCCTTTGACTCGTTGCTGCTTGCGAAGGAAGGGCCACGACCGCACCTCCAATCCTTCATCCATGATCTGATCTGTTGAAAAAAGACCAACACTCGCAAATCCTCGTGCGATTTCTCCTGACGGCTGGGTGCGCCAGTCCGTGATGCTCCGTGCTGTCGGTGGGACGCCGAGAGCGTCAGCATTGTTCAGGGTAGATGTGATGTTCCTGTCAGCCATCAAGCGACATACGTTGGAGATAAGACAATGACGGTATGGTTTGACACGTAGCGGTGTAGCCGTGGGCACCTGTTCCAGCCCGCCCCGTCGCTGAAGCGCAGCGAGCCGTGCTCCGCAGAGATCACCTACAATACCTCCATCGTTGAGTCGGCTATGTAGTGAACTGATCTGTTCCTCGTCTTGAGCGTCGGACAATCGTTTGAGACCTCCGAGGTGCCGGTGAAAGAGAATGCTGTTGGGCGTGGTCGAAGTCAGGCCCGATTTGCGTTTGATTAGTTGGATATACTTCCCCGTGAGCTTTTTGAGGCGCGACGGTGAGATGACTTGAATGGTGCTGCGATACAGAATCTTGGGGATCAGGACGCTATTGACGATAGTGGTTGCAATGCGATCGGTGATGGCCTTACGGCTCATAATATTGCAGAGCTGGGCGACCTCTGTTTCCAAAGTGCGAGTTGTAGGTGTTGTTGAACGGGCTGAGTTAACCCATACCCCCAGTACGCGTGCTGCTTCCTTAGGTGGGAGCACTGTAGTACAGCAACTGTCAGAGTTTAGCTCTGATTGGTATTATCATGTGACGCTAGACGCGTCTAAGATTGGATCAACGCCGTCCTCATCACAGAAAGCTCCATGAGCAAAGGCAACACCGAAACGCCTAGAACCATGGATTACTAATCAGGACCTTTATTCTCTGATCTATATAAGGAAGGACAGACTATGTAGTTAAACCCCAGTTCATACACTCACAACAGTCTAGCCAATAAATAATTGCCTTCACACATTCGTCTTGTTCACTCACCCTGTCTACTCGTCTCCCCTCGTTTTCAACTCGTTCACCCACAAGTCTTACACAAAACGTATAGACAATGAGCATCGGTGCTTGCTTGTTTACAGAGATAGACGATCAACAAAGATCGTGAGTTGGATTATATTGTTCTGACACCACGGTGCCTTTTTGTTTGACCGCAAGACAAACGCTCGGTTTTCCGCAGGATCGTGGCTCAAATTTCGCAGCTGTGATGAGAGATATCTTTCCTGAGCTGGCACACACTTCGCCTCGGGTGATGTACGCACCACATTCGTTTCCGTTTTGTTGTGCGTAGGCTGCGACGTCGCCCATATTACCGCCGACGTATTGGACGCTCTGGAAATAACCCGTTTTTCCGCCGCCCACAGTACAGCCGTTTCTAGATCTTGCTTGACCAAGACCGCCATTGCAAGGAATGCCCTTGAAATTCTCCACGTAGAAAAAGAAAGAATCAGCAGTTTTTGGCCGAGCCAGGAGCGCGGAGACGCATAGTGCGAGAGCCAGATGGACCTTGAGCATGTTCAAAATGGAAGCGATTAATGTGGAACGATGAGACGATGGCTCAGAAGCAACCGAGCGAAAATGAGCTATTTGTATGAGCGGACACCAAAGCCAACGGTCTTGAAAGTAAAGGTGTGGGTAAATTCTTCTACAAAGGCGATGCGACGTACTTTTAGTGAGCATTGAACGAGCCTATGCTATGCGTTTTTCTTTGTTTGTTCGGATTGGCGCCCATAACCATTCCCAAGCGCGTTCGTTTCCGCCAATGACCAAAACATGTACATGTCGGCGCCATCCTACGAGTCGACAAAAGTGGTGCTGTGCCTGGGAAATTTGCCAAGTTCAATGCAGCGGGTACGGGATAACTTGGCCGTTGCTTTTGAATTGCATTGATATCAGAACATCATCATTGTGAGCCATGCACTGCCTGTCAACAAAAAGCACAGCAGCAGACAGCCCCATGAACATTGGTAAGAGGGGAAGTGGTCTGGGTAACAAGACTCGACTGAGAGCGAGCTCATGACCATGAGAATCCGAGAGAGGGGTGCTAAATCACTCATGATCGCAACATCTAGGTTTTGCCGCTCGCTCTCTTTCCTTCAACACTGTGAGCTCTGTACTTGTCAACAAAAAATACAGTAGCAGACAGTCCTATGAACATTGGCAAGAGAGGAACTGGTCTGGGTAATAGGAATCGACAGAGAGCGAGCTCATGACCATGAGAATCCGAGGGCGGAATACTAAATCACGCGTGATCGCAGCACCTTGGTTGTTGTTGCTCGCCTTCTTTCCCTACAACATTGAGAGCCCTGTACTTGTCAACTAGCAGCACAGCAGCAATCCGCCCTTGGAATATTGGCCAAAAGTCTCCCAGGTTAGACCTCGCAAATAGTTTTTCTGTAAGAACGACTCAAGGAACACATAGTAATCCTAGTCTTAAGAGATGTATTGCGTACTGGTGTACAATTGACTGTCCGGATTAGTGAAGAGAAAGGAGTTTACAGCCAAAAAAAAAAAAAAAGTCAACCGAGGTTGCTTGTTTTGGCGCAAAGCAAACTTGAAGGACGGACATCGTGCTTTTGCATTCTGATTACTCTGTCGATTGCGAATAAAGAGCCTTCCTGGTGCTTCCTTTCTTTCCTTTATCGAAGCGCTACTTCCTCTCCAGACACCCCAATTTTCTGTCAGCTTCATCCTCTTCTTCTACTTGCTTCAATCCCTGTCATTATATTGATGTAGGTCAGCTCTAATTTATATGTCATATCATCTTCCCGTCTCTTTAAATGTGAATTCGTGTATTTACATCCTCTCATTCCAGTGTACGTCTCCACCTATTGTTGCGCTCTCAACTAAGGTAAGGAGATTCCTTCGTCTTCCGTGGCGCGAGCTTTGCTGAAAACCGCATCAACACTCAGCTGAATAACGTCCGCTCGCGTCCAAATCCCTCATACGCAGCTATAAAAATGCAGTTGTCCCTTGTTGTCAAGTCGTGTATCACAGTCTGCGCATGCGTGAATGTGCTATCACGTCCCGCGGTATTCCAATCGCCATCAAATGTCATAACAGACGCAGCCTTTGCCTGGATTCTGTCATGCTCGGATGATCCACTTGGTAACGCGTGCTACCGCGATTGTAGCTGCTCAAGACTCGGTGGCAAGTTGTTGTGCCCCGAAGTTCTTCCTGCTGTTGTCAAAAATTAACATTGATTGTCCGTATGTGAGAACGTTGCTGGATGCGGTCCTCCTCGCAATATATACTAGTTTACCTACACAATCTTTGCTAGACTACTAAAGAGGTGCCATTTTGAAAATCCGTTCTTCGTATTCAAGGGGTAGGTGCAAAACTGATTCAATGATGACGGATGGCACAATCCTCATGCCGCAATGGGTGTGCATACTTCTGGCTCCGAAGCCAGCAGCCCTGTTCGTCATTGGATGGGCTACATTTGTGGTGAATATGACGATGGTTGAGGCATTGGTTCCTTGTAGGCGAGTGTCAACGCAAAATTCATCGCATCATTGAATCAGTTTTGCACCGTACTGTATGTCACGCGGCATGCATGCCCTGATCATGCGCCTAGCTATATTTAAAGACACTTCTCTCCTTATGAATAAAGCAATCTTTTTCCATCCTACCTTCAGTCCCCTAGCGTTTGCACGCATACCGCTCGTCAGAGTTTAGCTCTGATCAGTATTGTCATGTGACGCTAGACGCGTCTAAGAAAGGATCAACGTCGCCCTCACCACAGAAAGCTCCATGATGTAAAGATAAGCAAAGGCTGCACAGAAACGTCTGGAACCATGGGTTACTAATCAGGACCTTTATTCGTCTGATGTATATAAAGAAGGACAGACTATGTAGTTAAACCCCAGTTCATATACTCACAACAGTCTAGTCAATAAACTATTGTCTTTACACATTCGTCTCGTTTACTCACCTTGTTCACTCGTCTCCCCTCGTTACACCCTCGTTGTTCCTCGTTCACCCACAAGCCTTACAGCAACTGGCACGAAATGGGACGCAATGGACTGGAAGATTGTAGGCGTGGTGGCAGTAGGCCGGTCTATCCTCAAACAGATCGATTAATATCCATAGCAGCTGCATGAATGCCATCATGTGCGGCACTTTTGTACATCTGATGATGCCCTACCTCGGAAATGTCTTTTATTTTTTCGACTGTTGTTTCCTTGATTTTAAGCAGAAGTCGTTTGAGTTTACTCCTCTTCGTGTCTTCAAGCAGCAAAACTAAATGCCTATCGGCAAACAAGACGGATTAATAACCATTACACATGCCTATGTATCACTATCGAGTGACAAGAAACAATGCCTCACCTCAACACGAATCTGTTTCTGTATTCCTTTCACTGGCTGATGAGATGGTCCGTCCTTATGCAACGTTCTCTACTCCAATTCTTTGTTCAAGACTGTTCGCACACGCATAAGGTGGTCGAGTGGGGTGATATCCGCTGCCTCTTGTGACTTCTAGCAGAGATACTTGTTCTTATGCAAGAAAGGGTTATTATCCACTGCACGTCCGTGGCTGTTCTTTCGACCTTCGCGCACCCTTATTCCAGATATTCTATATCGACTATAATGGTTCAGGTACAGGCAGGAAAGTCGTCTCAGCAGATAAATTGCGTTTTTTGTTACTTATGAATCGCCGCTGGGCTGTGCTTATTAAGATCAAGCAAAGACGTACGAGGGACAGAGAGAGGTGAGAGAAAGGTGAGAAAGACGAGAAATATAAAAGACGATGGATTGAGTGAGGGTGTAGCTGGGAAGAAAGGAAAACAAGAAAATGGAAAAATGGGAAGGAAGGGAAGTAAAGTGCAAAGACTCAAAAAGAATGAGCGCCTTGAGCCACATCCATCATTATAGCATTGACCAAACAGACCCGTGCTTTCTAGCCATATCACTCCCCCGCCCTAGTGTAACGTGTAATGGGCTCCCATCGGATGCGAAAGAGAAGGAAAACAAAATAGAGTCCTCGCCAAGAAGTAACGCCCCTAATGTACTTTACAATTCAATCCCATCAACGCCCCACCTCAATCCTCAAACACTCAGAGCGCCTTAGAAAGCAACGGAGGACATTTGATTTCAATACTGAATTTGGCCTGCACAGTGTTCATGGTTGCAAGGATAAGGAAACCTTAAGGACTCTGTTTGTATCGTACAAGAGATGCGAGAATTACGAGGCATTAATATGGTCCATCATTTGCTCAGGTGTCGTATTTGTGCTCGCTGTCCTGGCCCACTCAAGACGCGCCGGATGCGTCCCAATCGTGCGCCCTTTTGCAATAAGATTAATCTGCAGGCCTTCGCAACTTTGATGCATTAAACTTATTATTCCGCAAAAATGCGCTAAAACTACAGGGATATGAGGCAGTATTGTACAGAGCTAATGCGCAGGGTCTATCCGCCGGTAGACATAAACATACGGCGTAGCTAACTCGTAGTCGAATGCGGCACTAGTGATTGATGCAATCTCCTTTTTGATAGCGTCCACCTCTCCGTCGTCAGAGCCACTGCTGCCAGTGCCAGCGCCGGCACTAGTGCTGCTGTTGCTGACGATATCTTTGCTTGCCTGGGCACCGACGTCCCCAAAAAATACCTTCGCCATATCCTCGTCTGATATTGGTTCCACATTCGAGTCATTGTACTTTAACCTAAAGGGAGAAAAGGGCTTAAGACTAGAAATATAACAAGGACATTTCAAATACGGCGAGCACAGTGTAACATACCATTGGTAGGATTTCGTCTCTGTAGTTGACCCTCCATCCTGTTCCATGATCACAGTTACTATCTCAACATCCTTCTTGATGTAGACATAGTAGTGTCCGGATGTAATTACTCGACCACGATGGATAATGATCGCACACAGCTCTATGTTTGGTGGATCACAAAGCCAAGTTAGCACATAGATCAACATCCAGTTAGTGCATAAATTCGCGGATCGAAAGAAGAACAGCCGCTCTGAACGAACCATATTCAGGCTCGGAGCCCTTGTAGTCCAGACTCATCCATTTTCCGAAACCCAGCCTCTCCGTGCAGGAAACACCATTTTGTAGCTTCATCGCTCCTTCCTTAAAGTTATATCGCTGCAGTCGTAAGATCAAGATCTTGGGTAGAGATGTGAAGAAGTGGTATACGTGTGCGTCTTCCTTGGAGTTACACTTTTCACAAAACCGCTGGTTGTCGTCCTTCATATGCTCCATCTTCATAGTCTCGGAGATTCCCCAATCCAGATCCCGGACCAGTGTTGGATTCTCTGCGTCGATTTGAACCGTCAGATCAATACCCCTATCGAGCTTGACTGAGACCGAAGGGCATCTTCGACAGTGCGTGACAGTTTGAGTACCAACTTGAAAAAGTTCATCGATCGGCTGCCAGTCTTCCGGGATAAGCTCTCTGACCCCGTTGCGGGATTCCAATGGAGCCTCCTGACAAAGTTGAATTAGAGCCTTAAATATATCATCAAATAGACTGATAATGTAAAAGAGAAACTCGGCGGCATCCTGCTGCTCCGAAGAGTTGAATAAAGAATCTCCCTGGCTGTTGCAGTTAATAGATTAATAAAAAAATATTTACATTAGATGACAACCAACCTCCTCAATGCAGGGTAATATCCATTCATTGTCATTAAACAACCGTACAAACTTACTGCAGCGTTTGAATGACCTCCCTCGGATAGACAGAAATTTCATTCGAAACTTCGAAGTTGTCACGCGATTCCTGCAGATCGAGAGCCTGAAAGACCTTAAGAGCATTGCTAAACAGCATGCGCTGATACTCGGTCACATTGATTTGTAAGTCTAGCGCCTTCTCTATCGCCTGTATCTTGTCCTGGATCGAAAAGAGGGTATTCGCACAGTCAACAGTATTGCGCAGGGATTGCAGAACCGAGTTGAGATAGCATGTGTTGGAGAGATTCGAAAGGCCTCCAGAGAGTATACATCGGGAACGTGGGCTGAGATATCGTCTTCTATACACCTTGACGATTGGAGAATACGAAGCCTTAGAGAACATAGTTGTAATCGATCTCTGATTTGGATCCGGCTTGTCATCGATCTTGGTATCCATGAAATCAGAAAGGTCGCTGTCAGAGTCGTTGTTGGAATCAGATGGTTCACTCCGTTCAAAAAAAGATCCCTTTTCCCGCTGTTTTCTCGCGGCGCTACGAACATTCCGTCCCGAATAAGTCTTGAGCGTAGATCGAATGACCATTACACCATTTGGCTCGCAATCCGAATTCTTGGGTCGTCCCGATGAAAAATTGTCAGAAAGCCCCGGATGCAGCGTGGCCTTTGAGAACATGGCGGTAATGGGAATCTGGTTGGAGTTCGCCTTTTCGTCCGCTTTAGTGTTAGCAGCGCTCAAATGGTCGTCATCGGAGCCCTTGCTGTCGATATCTGATCCTGGCCCTTCGGAATCTGAAAATGAGCTAGCCTTCGTCTTCTTGGTCTTTGCTCGAGCGCTTCCTGGCTTTGATCTCGGTTTTTTGGCAGGTTGAGTAGCTGTGGCAGGCTGCTTTGTGGATTTGGATGCGTCGTAGTGTGTGTCAGATGTGTCGTTGGCGTAATTCGACCACAGAGAAGAGGATGGAGCGGAGCGCAATGGCACTTTCGCAAACATGCTTGCTATAGTTCTCTGGGCCGATTTTTGCTTATCATCCACTTTGATGTCCAAGAGTTCGGATAGATTCTGCTCAGGTTGATTGTTATCAAAGTCCTTTTCTATCCTGTCCGTGTTGGAGGTAAAGGTTCTCTTGTGAGCAGTCTTCTTGTTCGTGGATGCGGTTGTACATTTCGGTTTCGAGGGGCCGTGTTCCACTGGAGCGTTGAGTATAGAGTCCTCCGAGCTGTCGATAACTTGGCTAAAAGTATTATCAAGCCCTCCGGTGGTGTTTGTTAATGTGCCTGTGATACTGGGGGTAGGTAGAGTTGCAGTCCCAAAGAAGCGATTGATGCCCGATCTCGATTCAGGTAACCTCTCAAGTTGCGGCAATGACTCAGCCTCAAAATCATCCCGAGTGGACTTGCAGTCGTCATTTGTTGCCTCCATGGCCTTCATGTCTGACGTCCGCATCAATCTGCGGCGCCTGCTTGGGGAGAGCTCCGGCTCCGGTTCCTCAGCTGCATCATCCTGCTTATCCATCCCCTTCGATTGCGGTACCACCTCAGGTTTGCTTCCTGCCATAATCTGTGTTGTGGTAGCGGTCCCGTCAGGAGAGTGCGTTGAACTCTGAGTGCTGAAAGTCATCCTGGTGAAGTACTTCATGAGCTCGCCTTTGGCTGGTGGGGTAGATGGCGATGTTTTGTGCTTCTTTGCTGGAGTAGTATTGTCGTCGAACTTGTCCTTTTTACGACGAGCTGCAGCTGCGCTCTTATTGCCTCCCTTCCCGTTGGCAGGTCCAAGGGTATTTTGGTCCTCTTCATTCTCATCCTGAAGGTCGCCCTCATCCGCGTCCATCCCATATCTCGTAAAGCCTTCGAAGCGATCCTGATGCTTGGCCAGAGTTTTGCGCTTCTTGGATAGTGCGAATGAGCCATCGTTGTTCTTCATGCGGTCGACGAGCCTTGTCCCTTCAACCTGAGATTCAATACGGGAAGAAATATTGACCCGAGTTTATTCTGTTAGTTACAAAGCGGATCGATCACACTCCTGAGCTGATATGTCGTTGGTTTGTTACTTGGCGATAGGACCCATTACCATGTTGATGGGTGACAATCTCGTGCGAAGATGGCGACGGTTCGATGGTGGATCTCTCTGCTTGAATCGTACGCAATGGAGAGAGGACAACTGTCAAAATTGGGGGCGCTGGAGGGAAAATGAAAGCAGCCTCTAAGTTGATTCAAAAGACTGCCTTTAAATCAACATTTTGGTGCTCCACAAGCTTTAATTAATTTAGGCCAGCGCAGACAGCATAAACCTTTCGACCCATAATCAACCAACCGCCAGCTGTTGCTCGACCACTCCTCGTAAGCGATCCATGGCGTTCAAACAGAATGAGGATATCACTAACAACCGCAACATATACCAGTTGATCTTATCAGCATGGTAACAGGCCAGCATTCGGCCTTATTACTTCCCCATATGAGAACGTCAAGTATGGTGATGTCGGTCCGCCTATGATTCATCCACTCGTGGCATGGAGTAGGAGCTGGATCAATTTCTCAAACGCTGGGTGGTCCATGAAGATGTGTCCTACCTTTGTAAGATGTGCCATCTGATCCTCACTCAGTTATTTTGCAAAAGAATGCTAGACAGTATGCTGGTTCAGATAGCGGCTTCGCCTTTACACATTGAACGCAGAGCAAGTCTTGCTTTTTGAGCACTTTGTGGTGAAATAGTTCGCCATGGGTAGAGTCGAAATGAATGGCGTACTGCATCCCTACAAGTGACTTTGTCTTTCTTTCCGAATGCTGTCTTACAAAAAAAAAAAAAAAAAAAAAAATGGGAGGCAGTATTGACATCAAGAAATAACGCTTCTCTTAATTACGGACATCGGCTCGATAATCGACATCAGGAAGCGAAACTATCCATATCGGACTGTATCACTCATAAGATACACCCATAAATAAAAATGGGACATGCAATGCTCGCAAGAATGAGGAAATTCAAGGAACTATGGCTCTTTACTGTGATTGCAAAATACAGATAGGCTGCTTGATCATTTCGTTTGAAGCTGTGGAGTATTAGAAATTGAGTGTGTTATTAAACGATCTAATTGGAGATGACAGATGAAGCAGGTATATCTGGACGGAAGTTTCTCGCCACCATCTTTAGTATCTCTCCCATCAATCTGTTTGACGCTGGGTGGTTGCAAAATTGTTTGAAGGGGTGCTTCGTGGCATCATCCCGTCCAAAGATCTCTTGGAAGTGGTGCTTGATATAATCCAGAGCTGGGCCTTTGACCTCTTCAAAATCGCATCCAAGCAGCACCAGGATTGGGACGGCGGTCTCGACCGTTAGTGTCAGGATTATCAACTCAACGCAGGTCTCAAACAGCTCAGACATTTCAAATCGGCGAGCAAGACGAAGCAGATCATCAATGCATAGAATCAAACCACCTGGCACAGGCGCCTCTTCAGGGCGTCCGATATCGAATGTTGGGAGGGAAGACGCTGGAGTCACAGCAGAGATGTTACGGAGAGCGGCTTTGATGTCACGAGTGTAAGCGTAGGATATCAGCACCTTGAACGCCATGAAGGGAAGGTACGAAATATCGACCATGACAGGTGGTCGCGATGCGGATGATGATGTACCCTGCGTGCTAAATCGCATGTCCATGGCAAGGTCGTTTCTGAAATCCTCCGCTCTTTCGACGATTCGATACAAAGTTGGGTATTCCTGGAGTCGACTTCGGTGAGTTGCGACAAGGTTATGGATGCCAGTGACGGGGTTGTAGTGGCTGAAGTGAACATCATAAGCCAATCCGGCGCTCAGATCAAACGAAAGTGGGCTATTCTCCTGTGAGGATCGTTGTGAGACCATGTCCTGGAATTCAGGTCGCGATGATATATAAAGAGGGACATTCCTGAAAGCCGGTGAGCGAGGAGCTGATGGTGTTGCTTGATCACAATCTGCAGTCGTAGTTAATAATCCTTCACATTGAGGGACACAGATGCTGTTTATCGCCTGTTCAATAACAGTTGGCTGTGAGTCCCATCTGAGCCGCTCGTTCATGTCAGAATCGTTATTCAATTTGTGATCCTCAGTCCCCGTTGCATTGCATGTTGAAGGGCCTTGACCAATTACAGTAATATGCGCATTTGGGGCGGCGGGTTCTCTTGGCGCCTCAAGACGCGACGGCGCCTGGGCTACAAAAGGTGCAAGGGTAAACGCCTCTTCAACATCAGACGACGAAGGGTAGGTAGCAGGCGGTTTGTAGATCGCCTTGGTTGCTTGGAAGAGGATCTTAAAGTCGATGAGTCCCTCCTTGTGAACCAAGTTCCTGTCTAAATACACTATTCATGTGCACATGTACATATTGTTAGCACTGCTGTCAAATGCTTGTTTAGGGATAAAAAAAGACGTCGGCATAGCATGTTCTTTCTCACCTGAGATTTCTCTGGATTTGCAGCCTGTCTGGTTGAGAGAAAGGATCCTGTTCTTACTATTAAGAACACTCATGTATTTGAAACCCTCAAAAGCGCGGCTACTCGTGGCTGAGACCTTGATACAGGCCTTGTGCCCCAGGAGAAACAAGTAAATCTCGAGAGGTTTTCGGTTCTTGCATGTGATCTTGGCACAGTACTTTGCGGTGGTTAAAGGAGCTCTTGGCTGGGACAAGGCAAAAACGAGGTCTTTGTTCGTATTTCTGGTGCGGCTCATGATGGCTCGATTCTTGGTCATGTTTGTGTGTATTTTTCTGATTGCTGAGGTATGCGGGGGGTGTGCGAGCTCGAGCACGAATAGATGAATTGGACAAGGAACTGAGTTGAATGGGCGAGTGAGAGAGCGAGTATGAGAGCGGGCGGTGAAGAAAGAGAAGAAGGGCAGGAGAGTATGTCCGACGATTATATAGCGAAGTGGCCATAGTGATCAGTAAGGCGAGGTTCTTGTAGAAAACCCATGTGTGTGAGGCGAAGCCATTTTTGAGAGAGTGAACATGGGATTAGATGGGCGAAGCCAAAGTACAAGAGCCGATCTGATCCACACCCCGATCATCCAACAAGGCTAGCGAGGGAGGGGAACCAAGGATTAGCCAACTGGTCCAGGCTATGGATGGTGGAGAAAGGCTGCGTCCACACAAGACGAGGTTTATTCTCGGCAATGGCGCCGTTGCTTGCTTGCTTGCTTGCGTGCTTGCAATTGTCATCAGAAATGACAGACACAGTAAGGGGCTCAAACGCGCTAGGTTTGTTTGCACTACACGCGTTTATTTACACAAGCACATACACACTATAAAATATCTTTACTCGCTATACATCCATGACTACTTAACTACCTGAGAAAAGTGGCGAGCCATAGTGCGGCAATGCTTTGCCATACATAGATCACTTTATAAAAAGAACTTAGGTCGAGGACATCTATTCTCGGTTTCTTAATAACCTTGTTACAATTGTACTTTTCGCAAACAAGTTTCGCACACCTCACAAACTACGCGCTTAAAGCTGTTTATAGCATGGCAATCCAAAAAAAGAAGCGCGCCAGTGAACAATGACCAAACACTACCATCGTGTCTATACACGAGTTGAATATCTTTTTTTAGTATCTCAGGCCCATAATCTTAGTCTTGTTCCTTGGACGAGGACTGAAGTGTGTCAGGAATGTGCTTGCAAGGCCGAGTCTCGCGGAGCATGTGTTACACGGTGCCCATTCAATGAAGGGTGAGGGTTTGAATAAACGAAATCAAGCTATGTTATAGGACCACCAAGGTGAGGACCCTACTTTCTACGCTGTCTACATTTTCAGCAGCGGAATTTAATGAACTTTTGGAAGGCAAATTCGAAATTGATGGCAAACTGAGCCTAAAAATAAACTCGGTAGGCGGATGATACCCCCGCAATTCACGTTGACAAGTTCGAGCGCTGTCACTCATTCACTATTCGCGTTCGATTTCCGTTGCATCAAATTCAGTATGTCGAGACAAAAGTCGACTCCGGCTTGGAGCGAAGTTCTCACGGATACTTCGAGGGGCCATTCAGGCTATGGTTACTTCTGCGCGCTAGCCAGGCCACAGGATGGATCGCCTCTGGGATATTTCCAGTTCAAGGGCACTACGACAACCACGGTCTAGGCACACTTGCAAGAGAGGACCAGTTGGATGGATTCGCTCTCCAAGTCCCAATGCCAGGCGTTATTCGATCTCGCACGGCGATATGTCAGCACTGACGCTAGGAACATTGCAACCACGTATGCGTATGAGAATTTGATATCTGAACGTGTGCTGAATATAAGGAAGTCCTCAGTTGCTCAGTTGAATGACACAGATAAGGGTGTTACTACGGAGCTGAGAAGTCGACAGCGTGTCAAGGGTAAGATGCGGAAGTACTGGGCTTGTAATACAGTATTAGCCGCGCTTTCGGCTTAGTGTATCCCTGTGCGTTTTTAACCGAGCGGTGTCTTTGTCATGGGTGATAGGGTCATTATTGTCCTTCCCTCATCATCTACGGACGGGAGATAATCGAGTGCTGCTAGCACATCTATGATAGGGACAAGGCATCCAATGCCAGCACTGAATCTTCAGCCTCCATAACCACAATCGCCGCCATTACCACCTCCTCTTCACCATCATCATTTTCCTCGTCCAACTCACCCCCTACGTCCAAGCTGAGCGACGGCGCACTACGGAGGCTGCGCAAAGATTTCACGCGACATTTTATCGAATATTAGGGCGAATCCTGGATTCTGCCATCAGGTGTGAACATCGACAAGGCCCTCTACGACCATGCGATGGCCTTCGGCTACGAGTCCTCCCTGTATACTTTCATCATTGACACGGCCAACAAAGACCACCATGTATCTTGTTGATGGAGTGAATCAACTCTCTCGGAAGGCCCTTCCGGAGCTGTCAATATGGACGAAGGTGGAGTTCGCCAGAGACGCCTGCAGTCCATCCGAGCTAAAGACACTGCTATCCGAAGGCCGAGTCAGAGAGGGCCAAGGAAACTCGACACCCCGACAGGAGCGAATTCTCATTCGGTTGTATGCGGTGGTCATCAATACCTGGCACATATGTCAGGGGGGCGCGAGACTCCCTGCGAACGAATCGGAAACATTTATATATCCAGGATATGGACTGTTCTAATTGACAATCTTCTACAAGGAGACCAGGATCTGCGGGTGGCACGAGGGGAGAAGTGCTCCTTATCCTCTGCATTCTGGAAAAAGAAGACCGAGACCTGGATACTAGAAAGGCTATGGGAAGAAGGAGCGACGGTATCTTTCCGTCATGTTCTTTCGATATTGAGTCCGGAGGAATGGAGACTGGCAAGCGAGATGAGAGCACGGTTGGCATCAAGCTGCTGCTGGACGAACGCAAGTTATCAAAAGTTTTCAAGGACATACTGGATCATATCCTTTGGCAAGACCAAGATCCTGCAGTATTGAGCGCAGAAAATAAAATCATTGGCTTGGTTCAGTCATGTCTTCGAGCAGACTTTGTCTCTCTAGATCAGGTTGCTGGCAGGTTCTCGCGATTTATCTGGGAGAAAAGCTTCGGCGTCCCAGTTGTGCTTGAAAACAATGGGATGCATACCATCTTGCTACTTATCAAAGAGCTTCGGGTGCTGGAAAAGAGTGTCAAGTTCGCCATGTCCACCACGAAGGCCTCGATATAGATTTGAACGAATTATTTGATCGCGCTTCGAGCTCGAAAACTAGTCCACCCTCTGAATTCCAGCCGAAGCCGCATACACTCACTACTCCTTAGAGTACACCAACCAAGAAGAGGGAGCCTTTGCCAGCATAGTGGATAGTCGACATTGCAATATGAATAGGGTTAATAAGAATCCTTTTCATCTAAACGCTCAATCATTATTTTCGTGGGTTGAATCGGACAAGCAATATAGAGTGCGTCTATGGTGCAGCAACATCTATAGACGTACTTTTGTAAGTAGACTATAACCACCAGTTTATTTCAAGGGATATGTCTACCACTAGTCAGTTGAGACAATGACTTCTTATTCCAGGATTTTAAAGTCAGTGAAAACGGCATTGTTCCGTGCCTTGGCCACAACATGATCTGTCTCGTCAAAGACAATCCCCTCATGATACAATTTTGCACGCTTGTCGTCAATCTTCTCGCCTTCACCCCATTGACCCATGTAGCCGCCAATGTACAGTTTCGAGTCAAGGACGCGATGACATGGGACTGGAAGCGGCGCGTATGGATTTACTTTAAGGGCCTGCCCGACCGCCCTAGACGAGGACTTGAGCGCATCTGAGATGTGTTTATAGGTCGAAATCTGACCCTCGGGGATCTACAATGCCCAATGATTGTCCGCACAAGGGACGAAATTCGATAAAATAATGTCGGAAGAAGTATCTTAAAGCATAAGCTATCCAGACGATATTCAGATAGTAGTAATACACACCTGTAAACAGAGATCGTAGACCTGGAACTGGAAAGGCGTGATCTTGCGGCCAGTATGCCGATTAATGGCATCCGCACGCTCCTTGGCGGACTTTGGATACGGATGGACGGCAGCTACGACGTAGGTAAAATTGATTTAGCAGCTCCGTCAGAATACTTTCCAGATCCCTAAGTTGTCTGCAAAAGGACATAATGAATATGGCCTACCAGCGACATCTTCGTCGACAGCAACTGGTTTTGCTAGTTTTTTTGTGTCGGAACTGTGTGACTTGAGTTCCTTGGCAGTGGAAGAGTGGGCTCGCTTGACAGATCTCTCGACAGGCATTGTGATTACTCGTAAAGTGAGGCAGAAGGAATAGTTAAGAGAGTTGAAAGACTGAATGGTGCGTACAGAGTACGGAAAGTGAATGGAGAGTGAAGGGATTCAAGGAGACAGAGATTGACGCTCTCCATTTTATTGGGGTTGCAAATTGGTGGCAATGGGTGTAAAATAGAAGGTGCGCAGTTATGCGCAGATCTGGGGAGGGTCAGAGTCGTTGGACAGGGTAGGCAGTGGGGCCGGTATGAGGTATATACGCACATATCTCAATATGTCTACGTCTCGCAAGAAGAGCACTTGCACACATCACCTCATCTCGATCTCATTCATTACACATTCCACTAAGGATACAAATAGGAGTGACATCAACGCCTATGACTCATCAAACAACCGACCCATCACCGCAACAGGAACAAGAGCAGGAACTTGAACTTGAACAGAAACGGACACTGGAACTAGAACTAGAACTAGAACTGGAGCAGGAGGAAAGCGTCGCCACTATCGATGCCATACTTCATATGCCAGAGCTGGCATATGCGCTCCAGCGGTATCTCGAGCCAAAGCATCTGGTCACAGCCTGTTTAGTCAGTAAACCATGGTCCAGAGTTTGGACGCCCTTCCTGTGGCAAACCCTGACCCTGACCCAACCCCACCCAGTCTTTCGGGCTCACACCCCGCGTTCGACTTCCTCCTTCGCTGTCTCTCCAGCCCAGTACCACCAAGACGAGCGTTATGTTCTTTCAGTAGAATGCCTTAGTCGATTTGGGCACCACGTCCGACGACTTAATGCCTCTTGGCTGACCTCTCACGCTCTACTGCGGCTCTCTATTCACTGTGTGAATCTGCAGCAGGTCAAACTGGCCGAGACTGCAATTCCGATCAGAGTGCTGCAGCCGATGTTGAGGGCGTTGACAAGGTTGCGAAGGCTGGAGCTGGATTTGCCGTTTGAAGAGTTAGTCGAGGATGAGAAGGATGAAGAGGATGCGGATCCGCAGCCAGACGCTATCATCAACAGCTCAGATGACAGTGCCTTACTGAGAACCATTGAGACGTGTGCATCCAAAAGGCTCGAGCACCTTGAGCTTATCTTCCAGAGATCGGTCAGGATGCCCGTTAAGGCGCTATGTTCGGTGTTGAGTAGCCATTCTGCTCTTCATACAGTCAAGTTGGTGGACGCGGATATTGAGGATCCAAAGAAGAAAGGCGGCAAGAGCAAAAGGAACAAGAAAAAGAAAAATAATCGCACGCGAAGTGGAACAGCATCATGGCTTTCAACTTCAGGGTCATCGAGTTCAGTATCTTCAACATCGACCTCTGTATCATCAACCTTGACAACTTCAGCCTCGTCCTCAGCCTCAGAGGGCGAGGATGAATCATCATCAGCACCAACACCAGTAACGACAATGGCAATAGCAACAGCAGAAGAACCTTTCAGCCTCATTTTTCTATCCATCACCAGCTCCCACACGTCGAACGCCTGTCTGGGATATATTTTAGGGCGATGTCATCATCTGACGGCACTGCACCTACACTCTTGTGACACCATCACGGATGATGCGCTAGAAGGCATCGCTCGAAGTCTGCGGTCTCTCACAAGCATATCTTTATCGAGTTGCAAACAGCTTACGTCTACGGGTCTCAATAATTTCTTCAAGAGCACCCACCAGCTCGTTGCTCACGTTCATCTTTGCGACCTGGCTGCGCTTCATGACGAGACCCTGGAAATTGTAGCCCTCCGCCACGCCCACAGTCTTCGAAAGCTGGCCATTTACTTTTGTGCATTTGTGACAGATAAAGGGATCAAGGCCGTGTTGACGGCATGTCATGAGTTGCGAGTTTTAGGTCTGCAGGCGTATGGTATGACGCCAACTATTTTTGAGGAGCCCTGGGCCTGCCGCTGGACATTGGAGCAGCTGGACCTTCAAGGTGTGTTCAAAATGGCTGTGGATAGTCCTGCATCTGGAGATGGTGACAGTAACTGGAATACCACCATGGGTGGGAGCAACAGTGGCAGCAACAGCAACAGCAACAGCAATACCAGCAATATCAGTAGTAATGTCAGTATGGGAGATTTTTCTGCCACGAGAGTATGGCGTGATCGGCAGGCAAGGATTGATGCTTTTGAGAAGACAAGGCTTCGGCTGATAACGCTATCGAATCTCAAGAACTTGCGGCTATCTGCTGCTGGGATCGGGAAAGAGGTCCTCGAAGGGTTTGGACAGCATCAGCGGATAGAGGTTTTGCATCTCTATGGGCTCCAGAGCACTCAGGTTGACACGCTACCTTGGACCGAGATCCGGACACGATATCCCTTCCTGAGACAGGTCTACTGCGGAGTGATTGGTGTTCTGACCAAGGGCATCCAAGATAAACTGGCGCGGCTGCATGTAGAGCTGTTGGCGTCGTCTAGTATTCCTGACCTTGCATTTGAAAACAATTTCGATGACTAGCAGCAGCTCGCTGAGCTGCTCATAAGATGATCGTAATAAACGGCATTTCTATCCTCGTCCGCCTCCTCTTGTCTTTGCATGTGGATGTGGAATCGCTCGTGTTGCTCCACGCAGTCGTGCCTTTGCCTTGTGAAGCAGTAGGTATCTATCGGTTGACGAACATTCCATTATTTGTTTTCTTTTACATGCAGCTCCACAGGGCGACTTTGCCGATGCTACTCGATGCTATCCAAGCAAACCAGTCCAAATTGGGACGTGAGTTCTGCATGTCTCGGCCTTTGATCGTGAATGGCTCGAGTGCTCGGGCCATTCACGGCAACGACTCTGTCTCAATTGGGAATGTCTCGGGCACCAAAAAAGGACACCTTCGGTCGGCTCCAGCTCCACCGTACTTCCTTATAACAAGGGAAGGTCTCCAGCGTCATTTCAAACCCACAACTTCTGATATTTCCCCCACTTCACCACAAACATCATGGCCTCAATAAAAAGCAGATTTGACGCCTACATATCATCTTCTCTCAGCATCAACAGCGACTCCTCAGATCTACCGTGGCGGAGCGCCTATACCTGGGCACTCTGCTCATTGCTCTCAAAGGATGAAGACGATTGCTGGGATGTCCTGCTCTCTTCCCAACCCTCTATTGCCTTTCCCCACATTTCTGAAGCCCCTGTAGCTCCAATTTCTCCGCCTTCACGCCTTGGCCATGACCTTTCCGGACAGACTAAACATAAGCGCCGCCGGAATGGCCGGCATCACCGCAAACGCTCAAGCATTTCTCCTGCCGTGTCTCAAAATTCAAGCGAGTACGATTACATCGATGACCTCTGGTTGAAGCCTACGAGTCCAGGAGGCAGGCTGTCCCACGCGTTCTGTAACCTGGGATTCAGCTTTATCGATTATTTCACACCGATTGAGGACGGACCTGTGTTGAAATCGGGCCGTACCCAGCAGCCTCCACTTTTATCTCAGCATGCTGTCGACCGGTCTACGGAGATAGACACGGCCAATGAAGGCTATACCTCTGACTGGGCTACGGCTTTGTGCGGCAAGCGGACTGCGGTGCTGGAGCGGAGACGCGCTCTGTCGAGGACGTCCAGCCAAGATAGCAACGTCAGTGAACCCTGGCTTGAGGCCTTGGATCGACTTTCACATTGGGAGGATGACCGTTAACACGCTGTACATCCACTTAAGCGAAAAGCTGCTCTGTAGTCTTTATAGTGTTCGGCACTATCCTTTTCTTATTAAAAAAAAAACCCCCCTGCCGTATTGATTCATGACACGTATGGAAGGCGTATGAACGCTATTCAAACTATCTTTGATTGCAGATATACAGCTGCTTGGGCTGAAGTAGGCCCAAGACGTTGGGATGACCTGGTCATCATAGGAGTGAGAGAGCGTGATTGAGGGATAGCAGCAGTGCAAAGCAGCCGTAAGAGAAATAGCAGGAAGTTCAGCCCTCCAGGAAAAGTCCCTCCTCGTCATCATGCAGGAATTGCTGTTTTATGAAGCCATGTGGCGTACCTGCTTCTTGGTCTACTATTCTGCGATAGTCCATGGCCAGCCTCTTTTTCCGGACTGATGAGAAAATGGCAAGGACACAGGCAACAAGAAATGAACATGGGAAGGGGCACACGATAATGGATGATCTGCGGGTATCGTCATTGCTTGCTTCTTCGGGCTTTCTGTATTAGCGATCCAGGGGCTAAGTAGCTTGGACACCAAGGTGAATGGAACAACGGATGGCAAGACAGGGGTAAAAATATATATAAAAAAAGCTGCGTAGCCATGCAGGACGTGATGATGTCGATATGAGTGAGTTGATGTTGCTTCTGAGTACAAAAATAAGAAAGAGGTTGACCCCTGTTTTTTCTTTTTTTGCATCCGCGCTGATTCTCCTTTGCCATGCGCTGATGGTGGTCATGTACCCCAGAACCCTTTTATTGCTCTCCCAAAGATATGCAACATGATCGGGTTGACTCGATCAAAGTCCACTCAGCACTCAGGAGGGTCATGATGGTGCCATGCCAACTCCTTTTTTTTTGTATTTGTTATTTGGTAAAATGTGGGTGAATGAATGGCATGGACACCCTATTTTTTTTTTTTCTTTTCAGGCACACACACACGCGCACGCAGTGGGGTACCCCTTTCAACCCTCACCGCCTGATCATCTATGTTTCGCTGCATAAAGAAAGCGACCATTCCCTCTATGATGTCTGAATGTGCGGAGGAGGGCAAAGCGAATTGGGTCCCTGACATGTCATCGCTCGCAAAAAAAAACCAGCGCGGAGGAGGGAATTGACCAGGAGACTCACGATCAAGAGACCAACGACTCACAGGCACATCGACATTACGCAGCCAACACTGCACTGAAAGGGCATCTCCCTTGACCATGACATGAACTACTCTCCTCCCTCTTCTTCTTCTTCTTTTCCTTCCTTCCCATCTCATATTCTCTTTTCTTCTTACCTTCTTCCCAATCTGCTTCTTCCTTTTCAGTCCCATCTGCGTCATTTATCGATCTGTCTACATAGAACACCAAAAAACAATTTCCACCTGCGACTATCACACGTATCAAACAACAGCTCTCCACCAGCTACCGCTCCCTCCTACCTCTTCTAGCTCCTGTCCTCATTCTTCTCATTCAACCGCGCTCTCCATTGACCATCGGTCACCTTGCCACCGGAGCTCATCCACTCATCCACTCTCTCTTTCTTCTGTTTTCCACTGTCTGCACACTGCACACTCTAGACTGCACACTCTACACTGCACAATCTACACTGCATACTGTACGCTTCCCTCTTCGGCGTGATAAAATATCTTTGCCACCAAATTAAGGTCCCCTCTACAGTGCACCGGTGCACCGTGTATATATTCTCGCGAATTCCTATTAGCCTTTACAGTTCGCGTTCTTCTTTACACGTTCCCCAGCCAATCCTCTTGAGCCTTTGCCCTGCTTTCTTTGCCAAAAAGGGTTTTGACTAGGTCTGCCGTTTAAACCGCCCCTTTCTGTTCCGCTTGCTCCTTTACTCCCTTGGGTGATCATCTGCTACTGTGACCCTGTGCCTGTACCTGTACCTGTACCTGTACCTGCACCTGTACCTGACCCCTGTCCCCTACCTGACCCTGCTCACAGAGCATTACAAAGCCTTTGACATGGCAAACAAAAGCGCACAGACTGTCGTCGATCGTCAGATCACGCTAGAGACCACCTTGCCGGGTCCCGTACTCACCGGTGGCCCCGACCAAGCTTCATCTCCTCTCCTTTCCAACCCCACATCAGCCTCACACCCACCGCCTGCCCACAGTCATCAGTCATATAACATCCACCAGCGCGTCCGGCAGCACCAGGGACACCCTGGCGGACGCCTCAACCACTCGCCATCTATCCGGCAATCATGGCTCTTCCCCACCAACAGAGCATCGCCCTCAACCGCCTTGCCAGAAACGACCTCGGTCATGACCCTCAACCAGCGTCCTCACCACGGCCGTACAGATGCCTCTCCCACAGCTGCTTCGTCCGCCACGGCGCAAAGCGTCCCACCCAGTGTCGTTATGAACCACAAAGAGCGCAGGAATTTCAGCGGGAGTGCACGTTCACGACTGACCAAGATCGACCGACTTAGTAAAATGATGCTCAACCCAAACTCATCTATACCCACTCTGGCTGACGGGTCCCCCGCAGTCTTTGCCAATTCAACCTCACGGAGGCGGGCACGGCTCAGTCTGCAACCCCAGAAGGTCACCCCTACAGAGACATCGCTCTCTTCTACTACCTCAGCTCAGACATCTGATCAAATCTCGCGTTCAACATCGCATTCGTCCACAGCAGTGTCTCTTTCCTCCGTCGTATCATCCATCCCTCACAGCAGCAATAGTTACCCCCGTCATATCGTCATGCGATCCACCTCTCCTCATCGGACTATCGAAGATCATTTGGACGATACCGCCGCGACGGACTCATTCTCATCGTCCTTGCCTTCCACGTCAGCCTTCGCTGCTGGCGTGGATCCTTCACACAACAGCGAGTCCTTCACACCTGAAAACCCAGAGAAAGCTAATAGACATGCATCGATGCCGCTGCCCAAGCCTGGATGGAGACTGTACGATCTTCCAGACGTTGACGAGACCGATTCACAGACCGATCAGGGCGATAGGTTGAACTCAGCCAACGGCGAGGAGCGCTTCCAGTACTCGGCATCGAACGCGTCGTCAACGACCAATCTGGAGAATCACTCCTGTCAATACCATGCCACTCACACTCGCCAGAACTCGACCAGTACTTTTTACACCATGACCCCGAATGCCTCCTCCTTGGATTTGTCTCAGCCACCTTCGAACCAGATGAATCAGAGCTCGATTGATCCATTGACAGTAACATCGTTCGAAGGGCTGTCTCAGAGCCCGAGTACCTTTAGTCTACCACCACCAGCCCCCAAGGCGATCAAGAACACAAAGTCTCCTCTGGCCCTACGGAGATCCTCGACCTTGTCCACCTGCTCAACGTCGCCGATCAATTCGCCCTTCAACAAGGGATCGTTCCCAAAGTCGTCGCTTCTGTCTAGCACAGTTTATAGCAACAAGACACTGACGGAAGAACGTCAAAAGATTATCTTGGAAATCTTGAGGACGGAGCGATCGTATGTGGACGGGCTTGTGGTCCTGCAGACCCTGTTTTACGAACCCTTGAATGCACCGTACTCAAGCGGGAACAACTCGGGCATGAACACAACTACTGGCTTCAACCTAAACAATAGCGCCAATGCCAGCGGGTCGTGTGCAGGAGCAGGAGCAGGAACAGGCGCAGCTACGGGTGCTCCCTACTATGCCTCATCGACTGTGGGATTCAACTCGACGCTACCAGCCTCGGCAGTACCTCTGCTCTCAAAGAAGTCGGTCGGGGAGATCTTTTCCAACTTTTCAGAGATTTTGCAGATCAACACGCTGCTTCTCACACAGCTCGAGACCCGGATTTGCGGAACGACTTTTTCAACAGGCTGGGAGAGTGATGAGGATGAGACTGACGAGACCAGGGACCAGGAAGGCGATGAAGGCAGCCAGCGCTCATCAAAGAATCGTCGTGGTGCGAAACAAAAGCTGGAGCAGGTTATGGTCACTGTTGGTACTCAGGGAGGTGAGCAGGAGCAAATGTTGGTACTGGATACAGACTGGAGTGTCGGCGATATCTTTATCGAAATTGTAAGTGTTTTGTCTGCAATGGACAGCTATTTTGATAGAGCAATGAAGAAACGTGTTGACCAATGCTGTATTATATGATTGCTTTTCTTTTGCGCAGGCTCCGTTCCTTAAGATGTATTCCAACTACGTCAAGACCTATACCTCTGCTCTCACTCACATCAACGACTGCATGAGCCGTAACGAGCGCTTTACAGAGTTTCTCAAGGTATGAGACGTTTTTTTGGTGCGCTGAGCATTATGTTTGAAAAGTGAATTTGATGACTGACAATATAACACAAAAATGCGATAATATGACTATGAGTAGGCCACTGCGAAAAAACCAGAGTGCAAGAGTCTTGACTTTCAGGCTTACTTGATGCTCCCTGTTCAGAGAATCCCACGATACCGTATGCTCCTCGAGAGTCTCTTGCGCCATACCCCCGACGACCACCCAGACCATCGCAAGCTCCAGACCGCGTTCGAATCAATGGAGCAGACAGCCAACTTTGTGAACGAGACAATTCGCCAGCATGAGATGTTTGTGGAGATGGTCAACCTTCAGTCTAGGATCACGGGCATGTCTGAACCGCTCGTCATTCCTGGTCGCGTGCTTCTGAAGCGCGGGAACGTCTGGAAGGTTTGTCGCCGCAATATCCAGCTCCGGGAGATCATCTTGTTCTCGGACTGTATTGTGTGGACGAGCCCCAGCATGAACCCGTTGGATGACACACTGACATTCCATCGCAAAGTCGGGCTTGAGAACAGTACGGTCATTGGGGCCGAGGACCCGGATCCGACCAAGAATGCCTTCCAGATTATTAGCCCCGAGAAGTCGTCGCAGGTCTATGTCGATACGCCGAAGGAGAAGGAGGCCTGGATGGTAGCGATCCGTAGGGCTACACAGGAATATCTCTCGGCCAAAAGGACCCTCAAAATCTCGATCACGCCGATGCAGAGTATCAGTGCTGCGGCTACGAGCTTTGGGGCGGGACTGCTACGACGTGAGGCCGGATTGTGGTCTCCGACATCGTTTGGTAGCGAATCGAGAATGAATACGTTCAGCAGCCCCATGAGCCCCGATTCAGAGGTTCCGGGCGCCTTTGGAACCTGGCCAGTGGTAGATGGAGGATACCAGAATGCAGCGGCGCAGAAGCAGCAGCAGCAACCGATGCGGGTGGTGGAGAATTATAACGCGCCGGTTTGGGTGCCGGATCACTCTGCGACTCGATGCATGATTTGCACTGAGGAGTTTGGAACCATCTTTAGGCGGAAGCATCATTGTCGCGCCTGCGGAAAAGTGGTTTGCCACTCATGTTCCTCTCGAGTAAGTACAGGAGAACCCGTTCGTGCATTTTCAATATCACTGATGTATTTTTTTTAAAAAGAAATTGCTAACAGTCTTATTGATTGCTCTTGTTTGTATAGACAATTCTGATCAAAGGTACTGGCAATCATTCTGAAAAGGTTGGCAGAGCATGCGACGACTGCATTGATAGCATGTTCCCGGAGGAGGCGGAATTCTCCCAGCCTATTGTTGCCAACCAGATCTCGCAAGAGCTTTTGCCGACTGTTGAACAACAACAGCGTAGGGCTGAGGGTGAGATTGCCCGTCGTACGAGTAACCAAAGCCTAGACGGTGTCATGATCCGGCCTGAAGACTATGCACAGGAGGCAGGCGCATCGATTGGTGCCACGGGGATGGTTCGAGGCTTTGTCGAGGCGGGACTCAATCGGGTAGGTTCATAGTCCTGAGAGCTATTACCGATATGAGAGCACCATGGTTCTAGTGGTCATACTCTGACCGTCTATGTTTTGCTTTTCTGTTGTATGCCTTGTAGATGAAAAGCCGCTCGGGCCACGACAACATTCTGGGTACGGAAGCCAATTCGGGAGAGAATACGCGTGCCTATAACCGTAGGTCCGGTAGCCATTTTGCGAACGGGGCGGATAACAACGCAACTCAGGTTAAGGAATGTGGTCTCTGCAGGACAGAGTTCAGCATGTTCAAATGGAGGGTAAGTTGACAAGAAAAATTAAAGACGCAGGGCCGGTTACGACCTGTAATGGTTCTTATCTTTTTTGGTGGTATTTATTCTAAACAATGCATGTTTTAATTTCTCCTAAACGATTTATAGAATGTCTGCTCGCAGTGCCGCAGAGTTGTTTGCTCCGATTGCCTGACTAAGAAACAAATCGATCAACTATTCTTGATGGGTCTCCAAGCAGAACGGGAGGCGAAAGCCCGAGGCCTCGATCTCAATGCCGAAGATATCACTGTAGATCCTGAGCAACAAGAGGATGCTGCAGATCCTCAAGATTTGACAAGACCGGGGTTGCCACAGAGCGCGTCAGACAGCGCTGTCGAGACTGGCACTCGCAGCGACTTGACTGGAGTTCTCCCTCAGCGTAGCCAGAGCTTTAACATCAATGATTCCAACAGCAACAACAACAGCGGTAGTGGATATGGCGGATTCGGAAATGGCTGGCGCGGGATCAAGGGCAATACCGACAGTGGACACGGCCAGGCCGAGAAACTGTGTGACCCTTGCTACCTGGGCCTGACAGACGACCAGATCAAGGTACTCGAGTCTGGTGGAGGATGGCAATATTACCAGGCAACGCTAAGTAAGCACCAAACCCCTGGTCTTGCGGCTGCGCTGGCGTTGAGTAATATGTCGTTGGAGGACGTGGTGGAAAATGGAAAGGCTGGGAGTGAAAAGGGAGCGAAGTTGGTACCGGATGCGATGAGGGTCGAGGGGAGCCTTGTGCGCGCTGGATGAATACACGTCGATGGTCGCAGGCAGCACACAAGTTGTATATATCTCATACACTTCTACATAACCTTTTTTTCCATACTCATAATTTCTAATAACATCTGAATTAATAAATGCCCTAATAACGCAGCTGGCTATCATCAAATCGGTGTTGTGAATATTGAAAGATGCAAGGTAGAGAAGAGACGGTGTGTACAGTACTCGGCTTATTCTTATTTCTTACCCTCGACTAGTTACTAATACTCAAGAATCTTGGTGTTATATGTTTGCGTAGATTACTCTGTGGAGTCGCGGGTCAGATCTATAGATGGTATGTGCGGTAAACTAGGTGTTTCGTCGCGGAAACAGGACCGTTCATCGCTATACCACATTGGTGTATATCGAAGGATGAGCGACCTTAGGTTGATAGTGTAGTCGAGGAGACAATCATTTTGTGGAGGGATGTTCGAGACCGCTCATGTGCTGGCCGTAAATCGGGACCTTGACCTTACTACGAGTTTGTTTGTATTTTCTGAAATAGAAATGTTCGTATAGATAGGGAGTCCTACATCTCTGCCTTCATAACCGTGGTGAGATCCGCCTATCCGGACTGGATGGCTGCAGCGATATCCAACTGCTCCAACTGAACGGACTGAGACTGCAAGGTGAACTGGTAGGGGCGATCGCTAACAATTATCGCAGTGCCCCGCATGATGTTTCTCGAGTGGAGGACGGGATTGTTGTTTGAAGTGACGCCTTGATTCATGCGTCCAGGCGCACCAGCTGACGATAATACCTTGAGGACTAGGGCGGTATGCTGTTGAGGAACTGCACTTGCTGCATAGGAAACAAAATCCTTCTTCTCTGAGCCACTGACAGTCACCTTTAGAACGGTTCCCAGGTAGTGGATGGTCTTTAGAAGGGTAACGCTATGCCCCCAATGAGCAGTGAAGGACGATAGTTAGTGAGAGAATTCTTTTTTCCATACTAAGTCCAGTTCTATTTCCATTCTCGAATCCTCAATGATTTACTGTTCAAAGGTATCGCTGTCGTCGCTGAGGAACAGAATAGCTTCATTGTCATTCAGCACGCCCTTGGCATTTTCGAGGAACTGCTGGATATCTTCCACAGAATGGTATGCTGGCCGGTTCTCTTTTTGAGTCGAGTAGGGATGATGATGGCTTCGAGAGCTGAAGCTGATGTATAGAGAGATGCATGCAACCGAAAGGCCCGTGAGTGTTGTTGGTCTGCGATATCAGATGGCATGCTGGCCTTTGTTGAAGGGAGGAGCGGAGGCGAAAACAGGAGTAAAAAACCGTGAGAGATAAAAGGAGTGTAGAAAGTGTGAATATTCTGCATCGACGGCAAGGGCGAGGCGAAGCATACAGCCTAATCATTGGCCGCCATGCCCTTGTGCTATAATATTGAGAGATGCCAAAATAAAACGCCTATCTAGAAACGCGTAAATTAATAATGTGCGCTAAATCCACGCCCCCTCTCCCCTGCCCTTGCCTTGACATAGGCACTTGTGCCCTAGTAAGCCCTTGAAGAGGCATCCACGAGTGTTGTTAGTGAGTGGACAGAACTGTCTGTCAGCGAGCAGCGAAAGAGGTGTGAAGAAGGTGCAAAGGGGGCATGGGTGGGTGGTGCAAAGAAAAGGTCATGTCACAGCTATGCAAAAAATGGTGCCGACTCACAGCAAACGCAAAAACCCAGCATCCTTGAATATATCATTTTGCTTTCCATGGTCCAATTTAAGGGGTTTGTAGCTTACTCCGAGGAGATTCTTGGGGTGCCGTAATCCGGATTGATTGGCTCTACGCCTGGCTCGTAGCACTGACCACCGTGCCCAGAACCCATTTCCGTCCTTTTGTGCGGCTCAACTCTAAACGGCTCACATCATAGACCAACCTCGCCTCTTACACCCACCCTTTCTTTCGCCTTCACTCTGCCCTCACAACGTTGTTTTCCTTCTCTCTGCATCTGATGAGAGCCCAGTGCACGTTACACGAGGGCGAGGGGGTGATGTGGCTAGAAAGTATCTCGAAGCGCTCGTTTGCCTGTTTTCTCGCACTCATTTCCCTTCGTTCCCTTCTTTCCGCTCTTTCCTCTTTTTCCCTTCTCACCAGCTACACTTCCCTTAATCCATCAAGAACTGTCTCATATATTTCCGATCTTTGCTCGATCTCGATAAGCACAGTCCTACGGCGATTCATAGGTAATAAAAAACGCAGTTTATCTGCCGAGACGACTTTTCTGCCTATGCCTGAAGCAATATAGATGAGCCAAGATCGCCAATGCTGAAATGGTCGGGATAAGAGGTATCAAACGAACAACCACGCAGAGGCAATGGATATTAACCTCGTCTTGCATGGCGACAGGCATCTCTGCTAGAAGTGACCAGGGTAAGCCAATATCCCCCTCTCGACCAACGTATTCGTGTGCGGGCGGTCTTGAGCAAAGGATTGGAGTAGAACACCTTGTCCAAGGACGGACCAACTCCTCAGCCAGTGAAAAGAATCGAGAATCAGATTCATGTTGAGGTGAGGCACCGTTTCTTGTCGCTCAATAGTAGTCTATAGGCGTTTTTTATGGTTACTAATCCTTCATGCTTGACAATAGCATTTAATATCGCTGCTAGAAGACAGGAAGACAACAAAACTTCGGGGCTACCTCTGCATCCAGTCAAAGGAAACGAAAGTCGAATAATTACAATCGAGGTGAGGCTCTATCACTGGCTGGAGTAGCCACGTATGTTAGTTAACATCCATGCAGATGCTTTGGATAGTAAAAATTTCGATTGACAAAAGAACATTCCGTTGCCGCTACATCGACAGTCTCCCTGCCCATTGCGTCCTATTGAGTCCCGTTTGCACTGCAACCGTGTCGGTCAAGTGTAAGTGTATGCGCTGGTTACTCGTGCAAGTCAATTGCTCGACGACAGAGTTGTTGACGTGACCATCATCTGCTCTATAATAATAGGACGGAATTCCCGAAAATTGATATGGTCAACAATCCTTTTTCGTCATCGCGAAAAGCTCTCTCGCTACAAAGGGGACTAGAGATCGCCAATCTTCATTTGGACAATGCGCGCAAAACCAAAGATCCAGAGATCGCTTTAGCGTTGTGCAACGACGCGGAAGCCGCGTTGTCCCGGATGAAAAGAGCAGCGAAAAAGACTCTTAAGCTTCCCCTGTCCGACGAGGATCAAGCCCTGCGCGATCGATTCGCTGGCGCCTGCCTCGAGCATGCCAACCTATTGGAGAGCTTTGGATATATCAAAATGGCGCAGGTCAGCTACAAGAGGGCAGAAAAGTGGGGGTAAGTAACAGGAACCTGCTCTCTACTTGTTCGCATTAGCCCGCTATATCGTACGTCGCACCTAATGCATCTCTTACTTACTTTGTTGATTGTCCTCTGACTTTAACAGCTATGTGCGTCTTACAAAAGATCCAGGTCCTGTAATTTCCTCTGCCACCGACAGCGCCTGTTGCGACATGGCACGGGTCCCTGAGGATATCTTTCCCGATGACATGCGTCAACCCACCGTCAAGTATGCGTTACCAGATGCAGATGAGCGACTCAGCAGTACTTCCCAGCTCGCCTACTGCCTTGGCCTTCTGCAAGTGACGCCGTCACCTGAAGAGGTCTTTGAACCAGCCGCAAGAAATTGGGTGGAATCCACAGAGAAGAATACAGAGGAGAAGGAGAGGCTCAGGACGCTGGCGACAGATGTGATCCGGGCATTCACTCGCGATGAGCTCAAGGATGCCAAGGCCGTCGCAGAGGTCGTATGCCTGGGCCCAGTTCTCGAGAAGGATGATTTTCAACATTTGCTCATGCTCTTTGTCAGTGGCAGTGGCATCGAACATTCCGGTCTGCTTGATATCCATTCTCTCAAGGGACTGGCGCAATTGGTCCAAAGCGCACCCGTGGGCTGCCTCGGCGCTGATGACCTAGTCACGATCCTGCGCAACCTTAAAACCCGCCTACAAGACACTCACAATCAGTCTCCGGCTCATATCTACCAGCTGACACTCGTGGTGTCCAATGTCCTGGATGCCATGACCGATACCCATGTCTCAGGCTTACAGCGCGTAGAGCTGCACGAGCCACTCTCTGCTTATTTGAATGAGCTGCAAACCAACAGCGACCCTTACTTGATATACCAGGCTGCCTACGCCTTCCAAGCGCTGCAGTACGTCCCAGACAACGACTCACCTTGGCAAGCAACGAAGCGGCTCACTAGAGTTGCTTTGAAGGGCGTCTCAGAGACATTTAACGCCGCAAAAGATCCGAACGTCAATGGCTTCATCAGAGGACTCAGACGTCTTCAGGAGGGATTGGGGGAGGTGATCCAGGTAGCGAAAATCGGTTATGAAGGCGTGAGTGCACTGGCCGAGAGTGGACAAGGACTGTTGGAATCTCTCAAGGACGGACTCAGCTTCAACCAGAAACGTGTCTGGTATGTAGCACTACGCGTGGCAGACACACTGCTTCGGGACGGTCAACTCGCCAAGTTCAAGACCCTGGTCTGTGAAGCACCTTGCCGGCGTGATCTAGTCTTTCAATTAGGAGTATGCCAGCGCCTGCGAGACCTTGCCGCCAATTCACTGTGGGATATCAAGTCACGTCAAGGCGCTGTTGCGTTTCTAGGCGAGATGTACCGAAACGATGCGGAGTGGGGTCAGCAAGCCCTCGTCAAGCAATGTATTCTTCACATTCTTATTCAGTTGACTTCGACATTTGGCTCAGCTATGCCAGGTATGTATGATGAACAGATACGTGAGAGGCTCTTACCTTATTATAAAGTATGGAGTTCACGGCCTAGCAGGCACTAATAGCTGTACTATATTCTATTGTGGTTTATGCGATACATGTAGGTGTCGAATCTTTGTTGCAAGAGCTGGAATCGAATGGCGATGAGGCGAAAAGGATTCTTTATCAAGCTTTCCGAAAGGAAAATCGAAGCTTACATCCACTGCAGGTCGCCTTACCAATCATCGCGTCTCCATCGTTGCTTGATCTTGTCCAGAACAAGCCCGATATCGAAGCCGATCTGAGACGGCTGAGAAAGCAACGATTGAATGAACGAGGCGAAGCCGTCTACATCCCCCCTCAAGCCAAGGCTAACCTGCAAGCGCCCGATGACAAGCTTTTCGACTTGAAAAAAGAAGTTGAAGGCTTCCTGAGCAGTGACCGTAAGGTGATGCTCCTGTTAGGTGATTCTGGCGCAGGCAAGTCGACTTTTAACCGGCAGCTCGAGTGCGACTTGTGGGATGTTTATAAGAAAAAGGAAGGCAGAATTCCGCTCTTTATCAGCTTGCACACAATCGATAAACCAGAGCAGGATCTGATTGCCAAACATCTACGGAAGGCTGAATTTACCGAGTCCCAAATACGAGAGTTGAAGGTCTACCGCAAGTTCGTCTTGATTTGCGATGGGTACGATGAGAGCCAGCAAACTCACAATTTGTATATGAGCAACCGACTGAATCTGCCAGGGGAATGGAGCGCTCAGATGGTCATTAGCTGCCGCAGCGAGTACCTTGGCCTTGATTATCAAAACCGGTTCCAGCCAGCAGATCGCAACCACCAAACAGAGCCAGCATTTCAAGAGGCGGTCATTGCGCCATTCTCTATGGATCAAATTCAAGAATACATAGGGAAATATGTATCCGTAACGAGGCCGCTCTGGCAGGTGACGGACTACTTGAAGGCCCTTGATCTGATTCCCAGCCTGCTGGTCCTGGCGAAAAGTCCTTTTTTGTTGATCCTGTTCTTGGAGGTGTTGCCGCGCATGGTCGATCCGGGACAGAATCTTGCTACCGCCAAGATTACTAGGGTGGCGTTGTACGACCAATTTGTGGAGCAGTGGCTGGAGCGTGGCAAGAAACGGCTGAGTGCCAAGGACATGAGCAGTCAAGAAAAGAAGGCCTTCGAGAGCTTATCCAACGAAGGGTTTACTCAGAAAGGCATCGTGTTTTTGAAAGGCATGGCGGTGGCGATCTACGAAGAGCAGGCAGGAAATCCGGTGGTGGACTTCTCGCGCACTCAAGATCAAGGAACGTGGAAAGCATCCTTTTTCAATCGGAACGAAGAGAAGCAGCTCTTGCGTGAGGCCTGTCCTCTGATTCGCAGCGGGAACCAATTCCGATTCATCCATCGATCACTTCTAGAATATAGCTTGGCTCGAGCTGTATTTGAACCGCAGGAGGGAGAAAAAAACACAAGGAAGACTACAGCGCCGACGTCTGAGGCACGCCGATGTAGCGTAGGATCAGCCTTTAGTTTTGAACTTCAAGGAGCTCTGGGTCAGAAATCGGCCATCGTAGAACAAGGTCCTGATATCGACTCACCTTTGGTCCGGCGGAATTATGTGAGCGAGCCTTCTATTTTAGAGTTTCTGGAAGAACGCGTCCAACAGGAGCCCGTATTCAAACAGCAACTACTGGCCTTCATCGAGCACTCGAAAACCGACAGGAAATGGCGTGTTGCGGCAGCCAACGCCATCACGATATTGGTCCGAGCAGGCTTTCAGTTCAATGGCGCCGACTTGCAGGGCATCCAGATTCCAGGGGCCGACCTGAGCCATGGCGTATTTGATTCTGCACAGCTGCAAGGAGCCGATTTGAGAAAGGTCAATCTCCGCAATGTTTGGTTCCGCCAGGCCAATTTGAGCGACGCGCAGATGACTGATGTCCAGTTTGATGAGTTGCCATATCTCGAGGGAGACGGTGAGATTCTCTCCTGCGCGTATTCGCCAGATGGAAACACTTATGCAGTGGGCCAAAAGGATGGCCAGATCAATGTGTATTCGACTACGACCTGGGAAAAGACCAGGACCTTGGTTTGCCATG